CCCCTCATGGCGCGGGGTAAACCCTCATTCACGCACATGCATCGTGATCCCCGTTCATTTGCCATAGCAAGAGATCCAGCAGTTTGTGTGCTCGTAGTGTGTGCTTGCTGCTTGTTCTGTGTGGTTGGTGGGTCTATGTAAGTCCACTAACAAAGTTACAACTTGTTCGTCTGTCCCTCTCGCTCTCCCTCTGATTTGTTTCCGCCTGCCCTCCCTTTCCCCTGCCCCTCCCCCCCTCCTCCCCCCCCACTCCCTCCCCACTCTCCCCGCAATCCCCTCCTCCCTCCCCTCCTCTCTCCAGGACGTCAAGTTGCTCACGGAGGACATTGCAGAGCTCAAGCCCACCTTCTTCTGTGGCGTCCCTCGCATCTTTGACCGCATCTACGCTGGTCAGCGCCCCCCCCTTTTGAGTCTTCTTAAAAGTCACCTCGTTTGTGTCTAATCAAAAGCTCCTCACCTTCTTCTCTGGCATCCCTCGCATTTTTTACCGCATTTACGCTGATCAGCATCCCCCTCTTCCCGCTCCCTTCCCCTCCATTCGGACTTCCTTCGCCCCTCACCTCCATCAATCACTGCTGTCTCACTGGTTCACTGGGCTTGTCTCTCGTCTGCCTTCCCCGCGTCACGCTGCCATCTCAGGTTCCCGTTTCTCATAGGCCTTGCCGCTTATCATCCCCACCTGCTTCCTGCCAATTGTGAAACCGAAGCAGGAAGCAGCATTGGGAGTCACCCAGTTTTATTTGACCTGACCGTTTGACCTGACCTTCAGCCGCATGCTGGCTCGCCTCTCCGCCTCTCCATTCACCCTTTCGCACCCAATATTACCTGACCTGCTCCTTTCCATTCTCTTCATTCCCCTGCTGCCTCCAGGCGTGAAGGCGAAGGTGGAAGCAGCAGGCGGCATCAGCAAGTTCCTCTTTGACCTGGCCTACAGCCGCAAGCAGGCTCGCATCCGGGCGGGTGTCGCCGTGCAGTTTGCCGCTCCTATCTCAGATGCGATTGTGTTCAACAAGGTATATGGTCGCTATCGAGAACATGTCTGCGACACATATTCAGTTAGCAGGAGTCTCTGAGCTTCTGTCCCATGCCTTGGTTGTTTGTCAGAATCCTCAAAGCATCTCTCCCTTCCTGCGTTCTCTTGTGCCCTGCTCTCCATCCCCCTCGCTCCGTTCTCCCTCGTGTTGCCCGTGTGCAGATCAAGGCGCGCCTGGGAGGGAAGGTGAAGGCCATCTGCTCCGGTGCTGCACCACTCGCCCCCCACGTGGAGGAATTCCTCAAAATCACCATGTGCTGCCCCGTGGTGCAAGGATATGGTGAGTTTTTTTACTGGCGTATAGAGTGGTGCAATGCGGTGCTGAACCTCTTGCCCCCCACGTGGAGGAATTCCTCAAAATCACCATGTGCTGCCCCGTGGTGCAAGGATATGGTGAGCCACTGTAAAGCCAGGTATGATGAGTTCCAGGTGTAAAGCCAAGAGAAGGGTGCTGCCCCGTGGTGCAGGGGTATGGTGAGTTCCTTTACTGGCTTATAGAGTGGTGCAATGCGGCTTTGCCCTTTACGCCTCCCATGTGGAGGAGTTTCTCAAGATCACCATGTGCTCTTTGTGGTGCAGGGGCATGGTGGTGAGCCCAGTCATGCCCCCTCACCTCATTCCCTTTCTTCCTCCCAGCTTCTCCTGCCCCCTCACCTCTCTTTCTCGGTTCTCCCCTCTTCTCCTCCCTCCCACTCCCTTCACCTCTCGCGCTCCTTAAAAACCCCGTCAATCCCATCAGGTTTCATTGAAACCAATGCCAGTGGGGACAGAGGGCATCGAGCAGGCAGGCACGGTGGGCCCGCCCATGCCCACTCTGGAGACGCGCCTCGAGTCCGTCCCTGACATGAACTATGATGCTCTTGCCACTCCCACTCATGCCCCCTCGCCTCATTCCCTCTCTTTCCCCACCTTTTCGTGCCCCCTCCCACTCCCTCAATCCCACACTCCCGTTCTCTCATCACCCTCTTAATGCTATCAGGTTTGACTGAAACCAACGCCAGTGGGTTCATCTCGTACACAGAGGGCATCGAGCAGGCAGGCACGGTGGGGCCGCCCATGCCCACTCTGGAGACGCGCCTCGAGTCCGTGCCTGACATGAACTATGATGCCCTCGCCACTCCCACTCATGCCCCCTCGCCTCATTCCCTCTCTTTCCCCACCTTTTCGTGCCCCCTCCCACTCCCTCAATCCCACACTCCCGTTCTCTCATCACCCTCTTAATGCTATCAGGTTTGACTGAAACCAACGCCAGTGGGTTCATCTCGTACACAGAGGGCATCGAGCAGGCAGGCACGGTGGGCCCGCCCATGCCCACCCTCGAGACGCGCCTCGAGTCCGTCCCTGACATGAACTATGATGCGCTCGTCACGCCTGCTCGTGGAGAGATTTGTCTTCGGGGGCCGATACTGTTCTCGGGGTACTACAAGCGGGAGGATCTGACCAAGGAGGCTATCGACGCGGAGGGATGGTTCCATACAGGTGTGTGTGCGATAGAGAGGATAGGACGAGGGGATTGAGGGAGGAAGACAGGGGGGGAGGGAGGAGCGGAAGTGTGTGGGGGTGCTAACAGGGGGGGAATATTTCTCCACGACTCGGTGCTGCTGGGGTTCGGTGCGAGGAGAGGAGAGGGGAGGGAGGAGGGGATGGTCTGCATCGAAGGAAGGAGGTGTCCATTTGCAAAATCCTATCGAACTCGCTTTTCATCCGTCTGTGCATCTGTGCATGTCTGCATGTGTGAATGTGTGCATGTGTGCATGTGTGCATGTGTGCATCGGTGCATATGTGCATGTCTGCACGCTTGTGCATGTGTGCATGAATTTCTCGTGAGCAGGGGACGTGGGCGAGTGGCAGGCGGACGGGTCAATGAAGATAGTGGACCGCAAGAAAAACATCTTCAAGCTCGCTCAGGGCGAGTATGTGGCCGTCGAGAACCTCGAGAACGTCTATGGCAACTGCTCCGCTATAGACATGGTGAGTTGCTCGCTATAATATATGTATGAACAGATCTACAGTATGCAGTTATGAGTTCGCTTTTGTTTGTGGCCATGGAAGAACCTGGCGAACGTGTATGGCAACTGCTCCACGATAGACATGGTGAGTTGCTCGCCATTGAACTGAACAAACATTCTGTGTAATTTCCTTCTCTACTCCGTCTCCTCCTGTTTTACCACTCTCTACATCGGCTCACCCCATTGCATCCCGCTCTGCCCCTTTCCACCTCTCTGTACCCCTCTCCACCCCACTTCCAGGTGTGGGTGTACGGGAACAGCTTTGAAGCGGTGCTGGTGGCGGTGGTGGTGCCAAACCAGCCGGCTCTGGAGGCGTGGGCCAAGGGCGCTGGGGTGGAGGGCGACTATGCTGCCCACTGTAACTCACCGTACCCCTTTTCACCGCATTGTACCCCGTTCTACCCCACTTCCAGGTGTGGGTGTACGGGAACAGCTTTGAAGCGGTGCTGGTGGCGGTGGTGGTGCCAAACCAGCCGGCTCTAGAGGCGTGGGCCAAGGGCGCTGGGGTGGAGGGCGACTATGCTGCCCTGTGCCAGACTCCCGAGGCCAAGAAATTCATTCTGGAAAAGCTTGTAGAGACGGGGAAGAAGGGGCAGGTGAGGGAAGGGGGGATGGGCAAGGGGAGAGAGAGGGGAGAGGCAAGGGGAGAGAGAGTTTGGGTGTTACGGGAACAGCTTTGAAAGACACCCGAGGCCAAGAGCTTCATCCTGAAGAGTCTTGTGGAGACTGGGAAGAGAGGGCAGGTGAGAGTTGGAGGATAGGGGAGAGAGGGTTGGGGGAGGGGAGTGCACCCTCTCCTTCCCTTTGTCTGTGTTCTGTTCACCTTTAGCGGTTGAAGGGCTTTGACGTGGTGAAAAGGAGTGCACTTGGTCAGCCTCCCCTGTCACTTATAAAGGACAGATATCTCACACCCACCTTCGCTCTGCCCTTCCTCCCGACCTTCCTCCCTCCCTTGTTCACTCGTTGCGCCTGCTCTGAGCAGCTCAAGGGCTTTAAGATGGTGAAGGGAGTGCATCTGGACAGTGCGCCCTTCGATGCATAGAGAGACCTCCTCACACACATCTGTCCTCTCTCCCTTGCCCCCTCCTGTCTCCCCCCTTGTTCGTTCCTCCCGAGCAGCTCAAGGGCTTTGAGATGGTGAAGGGAGTGCATCTGGACAGTGCGCCCTTCGATGCAGAGAGGGATCTCCTCACACCCACCTTCAAGAAGAAACGGCCCCAGCTGCTCAAGTACTACCAGGTGCGTTTCTGCGGATCCCGTGCCTGTCCCCATGTTTCTCACAATCAGGATGTACTCTTGCAGAGGCATGTAATGCCCTATGACTTGCTACAAGAGGAGATATACCCAGTGCATGCCCATCTCAAGCACTACTGGCAATGCTCATGTTTTCACTTGCTACTATTGGAGGCTTGCCTGAAGCTTGCCATGCTGCTCTGTATGCGCCGCATTGGCAGTCATGGCACTTATCCTACATTTCCCTGCTGCTTTCCTCCCCGTTGCCATGTTTTCAGGAGCACATTGATGCCATGTATGCAAAGCTCAAAGCATGACCATTGTTGCCTCTGACCTCACACTACATCCCGTCTGCTTCCTTGTCGCTCACTCTACATTTCAGCATTGCTTTAGTACGGTAGCATTTTTTTTGCTGGAATGTGCCCGTGTTATGTTGTAGATATATGCGGGATATAGTAACTCTGGTAGTGGTCAGATTATAACTTCTGCATGTCACGGGTCATAGGATAAGAGAAAAAACCGTAGGCTGTTTGTTACTACAACACACCCTCTCCCCAGCTTCCCACAGAAGCTCTTAACCAGGAGCACCAATCATACAACACAGCAGAGTAACAGGCACCCAGCAAGACAAACAGTGACCATAGAACCAGCTACCGCTAGCATCTGAATAATCACGATTCGCAACCCTACATATGCATTCGTCGAGGCAAGCAAACAAAACGACCCTACTTGGATTCATCCGAAGACGAACCGCCATCCGAGCGAGCAGGGGAGCGACTGCGGGAACGCCCACCAGACGGCCCCCCAGAACCTGCCCTAGGCGCTCCCTTAGAGTCCCCCCTTACCCTCTTAGAATCACCCTTAGACCCAGAGTCCCCTCTAGATGCAGCAGGGGACCCTCTGCTTGTGCCCTCATCCCTGTCTATATCCACTTCGTCCTCCTCATCTTCCCCCCCTCCTGACCTCCCTCCACTAGCTTCGGACCGTGCCTTCTTCTCTCCACCCCTCGCCCCGCCTTCCCTGTTGGCCGCTGCACTCCTGTCCTGCTCGTCCCTGTCGCCTCCCGATCTGGCCCGTTTCGGGCTGCCACTGTTGCTGCTCACACTCCCTCCTCTCTCTCCCCCTCCCTTCCTTTCGCTGCTTTCTCTACTGTCACCCCTCTTAGTCGCCCCACCTGCTGCTGCCTTCCTTCCGCCCTCCTCCCCTCCTCCCTTCACGTCCCTCCTACCGCTTCCCTTCTCATCGTCACTCCTATCCCCTCGGCCCCCACTCCTCCCGCTATCCACACTCCGTCTCTCCCCACTCTTCCCACTATCAACACTCCTTTCCCTGCTCCTTCCCCTAGGCCTCTCACTCCCTTCACTATTCTCCCCGCTCCTCCCACTCCCATCACTCTCCTGCCTCCTTCTTGGGCTCTTTCTGCCCCTCGGGCTGCCCGGCCCACCTCTCAGGCTATTTTCTTTCCTGCCCGGACTGCCCCTGCCACTTGCACCGCTGCGCCGGCCTTTGCTGACGTCATCCTCATCATCACTGCGCCCCTTGCTGACATCATCGTCCTCATCATCCTCGTCAGACGACCGGCTGCTAGAAGACAATTGAGACCGCCCACCTCCCTCTTCCCCTGCTCCTGCTCCCCTCTTCCCTCCTGCTTCTTCTCCTCCCCTTCCTCCTCCACTACCTCCCCCTCTTCCCCCTCCCCCTCCTCCTCCCCCTCCCCTTGCTGCCCCCTCCCTGCCCTTGCCACTGGCTGTGGAGGGTTCAGAAGCAGAAGGGGAGACTGGTGGGGAGAAACAAAGGCGGAGGGTGGGCAGAAAAAAACAAGGAAAACGGTGGTGGGGGAAGCAGAGAAATGGGGAGAAAGTGACCAGTTAGGAGCCTCAGCAGGTGAGTAGCCTCAGCAGGTGAGTGTGAGAATCATGGTTTGCTTGCAGAGGAGGGGAGGAAACGAGGAGGAGCCGTTTGGGGCATCCAGATGGACGAACAGAAAGGGTGGAGGAGCCGTTTGGGGCATCCAGATGGACGGACAGAAAGGGTGGAGGAGCCGTTTGGGGCATCCAGATGGACGGACAGAAAGGGTGGAGGAGCCGTTTGGGGCATCCAGATGGACGGACAGAAAGGGTGGAGGAGCCGTTTGGGGCATCCAGATGGACGGACAGAAAGGGTGGAGGAGCCGTTTGGGGCATCCAGATGGACGGACAGAAAGGGTGGAGGAGCCGTTTGGGGCATCCAGATGGACGGACAGAAAGGGTGGAGGAGCCGTTTGGGGCATCCAGATGGACGGACAGAAAGGGTGGAGGAGCCGTTTGGGGCATCCAGATGGACGGACAGAAAGGGTGGAGGAGCCGTTTGGGGCATCCAGATGGACGGACAGAAAGGGTGGAGGAGCCGTTTGGGGCATCCAGATGGACGGACAGAAAGGGTGGAGGAGCCGTTTGGGGCATCCAGATGGACGGACAGAAAGGGTGGAGGAGCCGTTTGGGGCATCCAGATGGACGGACAGAAAGGGTGGAGGAGCCGTTTGGGGCATCCAGATGGACGGACAGAAAGGGTGGAGGAGCCGTTTGGGGCATCCAGATGGACGGACAGAAAGGGTGGAGGAGCTGTTTGGGGCATCCAGATGGACGGACAGAAAGGGTGGAGGAGCCGTTTGGGGCATGCAGATGGACGGACAGAAAGGGTGGAGGAGCCGTTTGGGGCATGCAGATGGACGGACAGAAAGGGTGGAGGAGCCGTTTGGGGCATCCAGATGGACGGACAGAAAGGGTGGAGGAGCCGTTTGGGGCATCCAGATGGACGGACAGAAAGGGTGGAGGAGCCGTTTGGGGCATCCAGATAAACGGACAGAAGGGGTGGAGGAGCCGTTTGGGGCATCCAGATGGACGGACAGAAAGGGTGGAGGAGCCGTTTGGGGCATCCAGATGGACGGACAGAAGGGGTGGAGGAGCCGTTTGGGGCATCCAGATGGACGGACAGAAGGGGTGGAGGAGCCGTTTGGGGCATCCAGATGGACGGACAGAAAGGGTGGAGGAGCCGTTTGGGGCATCCAGATGGACGGACAGAAAGGGTGGAGGAGCCGTTTGGGGCATCCAGATGGACGGACAGAAAGGGTGGAGGAGCCGTTTGGGGCATCCAGATGGACGGACAGAAAGGGTGGAGGAGCCGTTTGGGGCATCCAGATGGACGGACAGAAAGGGTGGAGGAGCCGTTTGGGGCATGCAGATGGACGGACAGAAAGGGTGGAGGAGCCGTTTGGGGCATCCAGATGGACGGACAGAAAGGGTGGAGGAGCCGTTTGGGGCATCCAGATGGACGGACAGAAAGGGTGGCCATGGGGGGTGGAAGAGCAGTTGTGTTGAAGCACGTTTTGAGACGTCTCAAAACACCACTTTTATCACGTAGAAGAAGCACGTGCAATCCAGCAGAAATTGGCAAAGGTTTTGGAGCGCAGCGTTACACACACAAACAAAAAACAAACACCACCACCACCACCTCTCAAACACCCCTTTCCAACCCTCTCCATCCCTCTCCACCCGTCTCCACCCCTCGCACCTGACTGCTTGGAAGAGCCTCGTTTGGCAGTGCCGCCCTTCTCCCTCTCCCCTCCTCCCCTCTCCTTCCCCCCTTCCTCCTCGTCCTCCTCACTGTCCTCTCCTAGCATTGCCAGCGCTCTCCGCAGCTCATTCTCTCGCTCCTGAACCACAGGATCGGATTAAAGAAGGGATGGATCAACGGTGGAGATGGGTTGACGGCGGAGATGGTTTGATGGTAGAAATGAATCGACGGCATAGATCAAATGATGGAAAAGATGGTTCGACGGCAGAAACAGATCGATGGCAAGGATCGCTCGACAGCAGAGGTGGATTGACGGCAGAGACTGATTGATGGCAGTGATGGTTGATTGAAGGAACAAAACGAAATATCATTCCAAGGACTCTGACGCATGCTGAGGGGCATATACAGGAGCACTCAATGAGACATAGATAGAGCAGAGCTATGGCGTGGGAGTCCTTTGAGTGCCATATACAGGACATACCTTGATCAGCCTCTTGGCATCTGCCAGCTTGGCCAGATTATCCTCCTCTTCTACATTCACCAGCTGACGTGGATGCAGGGGTGGCGTGGATGCAGGGGTGGCGTGGATGCAGGGGTGGCGTGGATGCAGGGGTGGCGTGGATGCAGGGGTGGCGTGGATGCAGGGTGGCGTGGATGCAGGGGTGACGTGGATGCAGGGGTGGCGTGGATGCAGGGGTGGCGTGGATGCAGGGGTGGCGTGGATACATGGAAGAGTACCGGACCGCAAGGGATGGGAGATTTTAAAGTTGTCTAAAATATGGAAGAGGCACCTTGCAATAAAAACAAACAAATAGCTGGACCACAAGAGAAAAGAAATCTAACAAACAAACAAACGACCCACAATCAAAACCAAAAACTTTCTCTTTCAGAGCTCAAAACGCTCACCTTGAGTATCTCCACTAGCGGCGGCAGGCTCGCCACTCGCCTCAACCACCCTGCCACCCCCTCTCCTCCCTCCCCGTCCCCCCTACCTCCAGGCCCCCCTCCCGCCGTCACCCCTGAAACATTCCCGTAATAGCTCGCGCCAACCCCTCCCCCTGCTCCCACCCCCACCCCCCCTCCTGCCCCTGCCCCTCCTGCAGCGCCGGCGGCAGCAGCAGCAGCGGTTGTTTTCCCCAGTGCACGTGGTGCAGCGGCAGAGGGGACAACCAAGGCCATTCGTGCCGCGGCTGCTGACGCTGCTGCTGCTGTTGCTGCAGCTGCTGCTGCCTTCTTGCCCTCTTTATCCCCCGTAGCAGCCAAAAGAGCAGCGGAAGCAGCAGGAGCGGCGGCAGCGGCAGCAGCTGCGGTGGTGGGTAGAGGCACGGCGGGTGGGCGGATAAAGTCAAGTACTGGGGGGCCCTCCACCCATATGATGTCTTCCTTTGGGATCTGAGGGGTGGGAGGGGAGGGGGAGGGAAGGGAGAAGGTGAGAGATAGAACGAAAGAGGAAAAGGAAGCGCGGGTGGGCGGATAAAGTCAAGTACTGGGGGGCCTTCCACCCATATAATGTCTTCCTTTGGGATCTGGGGGAGTGGATGAGAGGAGAAGGGAGGGCGAGAGAAGATTAGGCGGCAGCGGCGGTGGTGGGCAGGGGGAGGGCGGGTGGGCGGATGAAATTGAGCACAAGGGGGCCCTTCACCCATATGATGTCCTCCTTTGGAATTTGGGAGGGGGAAGAGAGGAGAAGGGAGGGGAGCAAGTGGGCAGGTGGGCGGATAAAGTCGAGCACCGCGGCCCCTCTCGCCACCCACCCATATGATGCCCTCTCTTCACGAGACCCATATAGTTTCTTCCTTGAGCTCATACACCAGCGAGTGCAACAGTGCAACATTCCCTCCTTCATCCTCACCAGGTTAAGGTCGACCCATTCGAAGCTCTCGTTGGGAGTGTTGAGCTCATAAACCAATGAATACATGCCATCCTCTGGCCTCACGTCTGTTATCACCGCCTCATAGAACCGCGACCCGCCTCCCTCCTCCACCCACCGCGTCTTCACCCGCCGGCCTATGAGCGGGTCTATGACTATCCCCCCCACCGCCCCCACTCCCCCTGCTGCCACTCCTCCCGCTCCTGCCCCCCGCCCTGCTCCCCCAGGTGCACCCGCGGACTGAAGGGGCGGAGGGGGAAGGGGAAGTCAATAGGAAATGACGGGGGGGAAAGGGGAAGAAGGGTCATGAAGCAAGGGGGGATGCGGGCGGGGGAGTGATCGAAGGGCAAGGGAGAGAGATGGAAGGGGAAGGGGGTGGGGGGGAGCGGACAGCAGGGGAAGGGGAAGACGGGTTGAAGGAGCGGGGGAACGAAAGATGGGAAAGAGCGAGGAGATGGATATGGTAGGTGGAAACGCAGCTATTATCATGCACCTCATGTCCCCCATACACATCACCAACTCACTCGCCCATAGTCCCCGTCGCCCCTTCCCCATTCCCCCTCTCCACCCAGACCCCACAGCCTCCGCAGGTGCCACTGCAAACGGCGCCCCCACGCCAACCCCCCCACTCACCCACTCACTCACTCAACGATCCTCACAGCACAGCATAGCAGAACTATAAGCTACTCACCCATCGTCCGCGTCGCCCCTTCCCCTTCCCCCCTCGCCTCCCTGACCCCACAGCCTCCACAGGCGCCACTGCAAACGGCGCACCCACGCCCGCCCCCACTCCCCCTACGCCCCCCCTCATAAACATCCCCCACTCACCCATCGCCCGCGTCGGCCCTTTCCTTTCCCCCCTCTCCGCCCTGACCCCACAGCCTCCACAGGTGCCACTGCAAACGGCGCCCCCACCCCCGCGCCCACTCCCCCGCCCCCCCCAACCGCCCCCACGCCCTTCCCCAAAGGCGCTGCCGAAAGGGCGGCCATTTTTGGCCGCTTGCGGGAGGAGGCTGGAGGGATGAGCTCAGGGGGGGGCGCAACTGGGGGAGGCGCGGGCGCGGGGGGAGGGGGGGGAGGCGGGTGGTGTACATACGCCCCCGCATCCCTCGCCGTCTTCCAATTGCTGCAGGATCGGGGGAACGGGGGGAAAGTGGGGAGGGGAAGAGGGGATGGGTGGGAAGGGGGCAGGAGGATAGTGAGGGAAGGGAAGAAGGGACGGGAGGGGAGAGGGGTAGGGGGGAAAGAGGGGGTGGGGGGTGAACATGTGAGAGAAAAAGGGCGTAAAGGGGCGGAGGGTGGGGGAGAGGTGGTGGGGTGTGTTCATGTAGTGGAAAAGACGTATATGGAGGTATGACGTTGGAAGCGAGAGGATATAACAGTAGTACCAGCCAAATAGGAGGGTGTGACAGTGCGTGACAGTGCGTGACAGTGCGTGACAGTGCATGACAGTGCGTGACAGTTTCGTCATTGCACACGCGTGCGAGCAAGCAGCAGGCAGCGCACGGCGTCCTGAATGCCCCTTTTTAAGATGCCTCAGTAACAAACCAGCCAAGCCAACCAGCCAAGCCAACCCCACCAACCCACCCAACCAGCCAAGCCAACCCCATCAAACGAGCAACCCAGCCGAGCTAACCCCACCAACCCACCAGATGAGGCGGATGTTCTTGTCGTCATGCACGCGCGCGAGCAGCAGGCGATGCACGTCGTCCGAGATGTGCCTTCTCATCTAAGGTGCCTCATTATTCAACGTACCCACCAACCAGCCGTCCCTACCAGCCGACCCTACCAGCCGACCCTACCAGCCGACCCTACCAGCCGACCCTACCAGCCGACCCTACCAGCCGACCCTACCAGCCGACCCTACCAGCCGACCCTACCAGCCGACCCTACCAGCCGACCCTACCAGCCGACCCTACCAGCCGACCCTACCAGCCGACCCTACCAGCCGACCCTACCAGACTACCACCACCCCACCAACCCACCAGATGAGGCGGATGTTTTTGTCGTCATGCACGCGCGCCAGCAGCAGGCGATGCACGTCGTCCGAGATGTTGAGCTCCTTGCGCAGATCCGACATCAGCGCCTCCTTCGCCTGCCACGTCAACATCCCATGCCATGTCATGCCATGCCATCATCAGCACGCATGCGCGCATGAGAGGAGGTGCAGCAGAGGCGAAAGGGGAGTGAGCAAAAGGAGTAGAAGATGCACATCATCCCGGAATGTTGAGCTCCTTGCGCAGATCCGACATCAGCGCCTCCTTCGCCTGCCATTCCAGCATACATGTGCCATGCGATTGCCACCATGCCGCCAAGCCACCATGCATGCACCAAGGGACCGCTCAGCTAGTGAGGCAGAGGGGCAATGGGAGCGGAAGATGTGTGTCGATGTACTGGCATGCATGCGCCTACGCGGGTGCTCGCCCCGACCCACATTATCGCACCTATCCACGTGATCGTCCTACTCACATGATCGCCCTACCCACTTAATCGCAACTATCCACTTGATCGATCCAACCCACGTTCTCGACCATACCCACACGATCACCCTACCCACGTGATCGCCGTACAAAATGATCCCCCTACCCACATGGTCGCACTACCCGCGTGATCGCCACGTGATCGACCCTACCCACGCGATCGCCCTACCCATGTGATCGCCCCTACCCACGTGGTCGCCCTACCCACGTGGTCACCCTACCCTCGTGGTCACCCTACCCACGTGGTCGCCCTACCCACGTGGTCACCCTACCCTCGTGGTCACCCTACCCACGTGGTCGCCCTACCCACGTGGTCACCCTACCCTCGTGGTCACCCTACCCACGTGGTCGCCCTACCCAGGTGATCGCTTCGGACTGCGCGCCGAACGCGCGGAGCACGGCGAGATACGAGTCGCGCTCCAGCTGCTGCAGCATGGCCTCCCACCCGCTGCCCCCCTCCTCCACGCCCTCCATCCCCGCGGGCCCCCCTCCGCCGCCCCCGACCATCCCCGCGCCCGCCGCCGCCGCTACCGCCGCGGCCGCAGCTGCGGCGGCTGTTGTGGAGAGGTTGGAGCCTCGGACGCTGCTGCCTCGGCCGAGCCTCTTAGGCGGGGATGGGTACGCGTCGTCGTCCGAACCTGCGGAGCAGGCGCGGAAGGCGTCAGGAAGAACGACGAGAGGAGCGTTAGGGTTAAAACCGACCGTTGAATGCAGCAACGGCTACCCGAAAGGCGGAAAAGGTCATCCAATAAATATGAATTATAGGAAAGGACAGGCTGAAAGAGAAGAAAAGCGTCTATGGTGAAAGGGCTAATGGCGGAGGTTGAGCGCGCGAGAGTGTGCAAGCCTGATTAACGGAAGCGGATCAGGTTGAGGGTGAGGTGACGAGGTACCAGGGACGAGGGTACTAGTAACGAATGTTATAGCAGGTACGAGGGGAAGGATGGGAGGGTAATACGGACCGTCATGCGCTGCGGCCGGCACAGGCTTGCTGGCCCCTCGCTGCTTTGCCTGCATACATCAGCGTGACGCAACACGAACATCGTAGGATTATCGAAAAGGAAAAGGGTTGGGTCGTCGATAGGTGGGGAGAGACCAAGAACGGAACAGCGTAGAGACGACCACGGCACTCACCATCGTTCAAGAATGGGCCTAACTCAGCTAACGGAAGTGATAAGGGAGGTGGGAAGACCTAACCCTAACCCTAAACTGGCTTCTTCAAATATTTGAAGAATATTCAGCAAAGAGCGGTACAGGATCTGCACAGCCTGCTTGCTCATAGGTGTACGTGTAATGATTTTCCACAAGGAAAACAGATCTACAGTAATCGCGTATGAAATTGCACGGGCCGAGCTGTGATCGGCGTGCGACGGACGGTTCGGAACCAAGTTCGGTTCACCTGCCTGCCTGGATTCTTTCTTGCGTCGTGCGGGTCGCGCTGTCAGGAATGCTTGATTTCTGCGATCGCGTTTCCCTTCCTAATCTTTCGCCTGTATGATGCTGACGAGTCGTCGGCCAACCATAGCCTTCGTCAAATGACAGGCTGTAAGCACCGCTTTGCAAAGAGTGGTGGACGACGTTCGATGAAGGTCGTGCACACCTTCCTGCCTTTCCTCGCATGCACTCCACAGCCCATTTCCCCTCAGTTCTCACGAACTGTTCTGCCGGCAGCCTAGTTCTCGCGCGAGCACCTTCCCCTCTGCCCTGCGTTCCCCCCCGCCTCTACCCCGCCTACTTTCCCCCTCTACCCCGCTTAATTTCCCCCTCTACCCCGCCTACTTCCCCGCCTCTACCCCGCCTACTTCGTTCTTTGTCACCCCAATTTCTTTGCTGGGCTCGGGGAGTTCAGAGTTTGACCGACCTTTCACATACCTCGTGTCCCAGTTCCAACTGAATCTAGTGCTGGTGCAGCACAATTTTTCGCAGGCTCCAGTTTCCTTAGCTCTCAGGCTGACACGCTGAGTGCCGCATGTGTTATGGCCTGACAGCGTCTCTTGCTAGCGTCTCGGGAATGCAAGCGTGGCCGCAACGTCGCAACCGCAGATAGCTACCTTCCGCACGTCCTGGTCTCATCGAATAATTAGAGAAGTCGAATAAGTGAAGCCATGGGCCCGGTTCGATTAAGTCGAATAAGCCATCCGTCCTGCTCTCCGTCGTCCACAACATTATGTTGTAGAGTTTCCTCTACTCCAGCTCGACACAGTCCGGCCCTCAATATCCCACCCCGCCAACACCGACACCACCGACCGCATCATCCGCAACCGCTCGTCCTCTTCCTCCTCCCGCTGCTTCTCTCTATCGCCAGTTCACTCTCCTACTGTTCCGCCGCGAAGCCGGCTCCCTCCACCATGAAACCTCCCCGCGCAGCGCTCTCCTCCCATTCCGTGGATTCCGCTCATTCCGCGCCCGACCCGTTCGGCAACGCCGAGGTGCTCGGCTTTCCCAAGCCTCCCAACCTCATTTCCGACGGCACACCCGCAGCGACCATACGTCAACGTCCGGCTGACGATAACGATGACGGTTTCCGTCAAGAGTTCCTTTCCGTCAACCCGCCTAAATCACCCGTTTCCGTACTGACCGTCAGTATCCTGACGGTGCTAATGGCGGCAGCGACAGGCCTCGGGTCGCTACCTTTCTTCTTTATGGAGATGGAGGAGGAATGGGCTGGCGTGTGTAACGGCGTGGCTTGCGGCGTGATGATGGCGGCTAGTTTCGACTTAGTCTCCGAGGGAAGGTTGCACGACAGCGGAACGGGCGGCGCGTGCGTGGTGGTAGGGATAATTCTAGGCGGTCTGTTCATTGTTCTAAGCCAGAAGGTGCTGGAGCAGTTCGGCGACGTTAAAATGATGGACTTAAAAGGCGCATCGGCCAACCGCGTGGTTCTCATCCTCGTTATAATGACCCTCCACTCCTTCGGCGAAGGCTCGGGAGTCGGCGTCTCCTTCGCCGGTCCTCGCGGGCTGTCGCAGGGGCTGCTGGTAACCATCGCCATCGCCGTGCACAACGTTCCCGAAGGCCTCGCGATGACTCTCGTCATGGTCGCGCGCGGCGTGCGACCGCGCAACGCCATGCTCTGGAGCGTCTTCACGAGCCTCCCGCAGCCGCTCGTCGCCGTCCCCGCGTTTCTCGGCGCCAACACCTTCACGCAGTTCCTCCCGCTCTGCATGGGCTTCGCAGCGGGATGCATGATCTGGATCGTGTTCGGCGAGGTTCTCCCAGAGTGCATTAAAGAAGGCGCCAACTCCTCCCACGTCGCCTCCGCCGCGACGCTCTCCGTCGCGTTCATGGAGGCACTAGGAGCTTTCCTCGAAGGCGCGGACGCGCCTGAAAGCTGGCACCGATTGGTACCGATCGCCTGGGCGCTGCTGTTCTTCCTGGGCCCGCTCCTCGGGTCCGTACTCCCGCTCATCCTCTCGCACTCGCTCCCTGCCCCTGTGTCGCCGCCTCTGCTATCCGGGCTAGCGGGAGGGGCGCTGCTCGGTTTGGCGCTGTGGCAGCCGGTGCAGCTGCTGGTAACCGGGCAGATGGAGGTGTTGCCGCTGCTGTCAGTGTTCTATGTGGGCTGTGTGCTGCATTACTTCTGTGCCAGTATGGGACGGGGTTTGGGCAGTGGGTGTGTGGGCAACGCGCAGCAGAAATTGCAGGGCGGATTTAGTGACGTTCAGTATAGTCACGGGCTGTGGGCTGGGGACGGGGATGAGAAGGAGGTGCTCCGGGCGTGCAAGCCGAGCCTGCAGCTTAGCTACGGAATCCGAGCCTCCATTCTGGTCTGTATTGCTGTCTCAGGCCATGCTTTCGCGGAGGGGCTTCTGTTGGGGCAGAAAGCAGCGCCAGGAGGGGACCTAGGAGGAGATTTAGGAGCAAGAGGAGGAGGAGGAGGAGGGGGAGTAGGAGAGATTGGGATGCGCATGCTGCTTCCAGCAGCCATTCACGGAGTGCCACGTGGCATTGCTGCAGCAGCCGCTGCACTAGGTTCCTTCTCCATCACTCGTTCCACCCCGGAGCTTCCCGTAGCAGCTGTTCCGTTAGCACTCGCATCGGCGGCTGTAGCAGGGCTGGCTGGGCCTATCGGTGCTGTAGCGTCCTTCTTTTTTCTGCATAGTTTTGGATCTGGGCTGCTGAACTGGCTTGTGCTGGCCTGTGGCTTGCTGGCCCCTGCAGGGCTGGATCAACTGTTGCCTGGAGGGTTGTGGGTGGCTGGTGGGAGAGGAGTTGTGGGTGGGAAAGGAGATTGGGGTTGGAGTGTGTTGGACAGGAGACGAGTGGTTGTCGGGGCGGTGTTGGGAATCATGCTTGTGGTGGCGAGTTTCATGGGGAAGCGAACGATATGTGCGCACTCGAGTTACTGTAATGCGGCTCCAGTGGCGCTGACATGAGTTGGTCCGTAGATTGAAGTGGCATTGCAGCATATGCGTCTGTGTTATCAATGCTCAAATTCTGCTAGGTGTACATTGTCTACATGTTCTCGAAATCCATGTTTTTGTAAATCTGTAGGCTCGTAGAACAATTGTACCGGTACATGTTGAGTTGAATGCTATGTGACAACATTGATTTATTCTCTGTAGCGATACAATCACTGTTTACTGTAGCCTTCCGAGGTCAATTATGTTGCCTAATCGCTGATGTCAGGGCATCCATTTCAGCAGGCGACATTCCCTGCCCTGACATGCCGCCGCCTTTCCCCAGTCTCCCTGCAACCCCTCGCCTTCCTCCCACCTTCAAGTTCGGAATTCTACGCCCATTTCCTTCCTTCTGGCCTTGGGATCTGATGTGGGGAGAATTCTGAATGGTGCGTCGAGAATCTAGACCCCGCGTCGCCCTTGCTCCAGAACTTCGAGACGCTTCGCTGACCCCTTTCCGCCGCCAGATCAGTGTCATGGCTCGAAGCTTGTGTCCGCTTGCTGCGGTAGGAGAGCGTTCATGGAAAACGCTCACCATGAGAGGCACCTCTGAAACGCATCATCCTATCTATACTAGGAAGCGAGTGATTCAAGCTCTCTTTTGCCTGCATCATCGCTGTAGTACAGACGTTTTTCGACGGAGGATACTAAAACGTTCTGACTGCTTTCTGTAGAAGGAGCGCTCGCACATTTTAGTAAATCAGGCTTCTGAGTCGACTCAGAAACTTTTTCAAAGCCCAGCTTCAAGCTGTAGTTGACGTTTGTTGCTGCCAGAGGAGGCATAAGTCATGGCTTCCGCTTCTTCTCAGGCTGGATTTTTAGCGAAACAGGGTCTGAGTTTCTTGTACAGCGCCACTGTGACCGGGGTGAACGCGGTGTCTACAGGAATCAGCAAGGCGTGTAAGCACTACGCGGATCTGCACGAACGGGAGAAGATCGAATCCATGCGCAAGTCAGGGAAACGTCCAGAAGACGTGCTCTTCGCAGGTGCGGCATGGGATTTTATCAGCAAATCCACTTAATCCATCCAATCAATCTATAAGTCTAATTATTCAGTTTTGTCCGTCTAGACCTTAGTACCACTGGAAGTTGCTCGTTTATGGATTCCTAACATACGTCTTACGGACCTCTTTCTGCGTTCTCGTCTCTCGCAGCCCTTCAGCGGCTGCTTCACCTGGAAATGGCAGGTTACCACCACGAAGTGGCTGCAGTTGCACAAAAGATCGCCACTAAGCTGGTATGGTAGTTGTATATTCGCCTAGCTCGAAAGCTAATTTTAACGCTTGACGCCTCGTATCATAAGCTAAACTTCTATTGTAACCGCCAATGTAACTCTCTACATGAACCGTAGCTCTTTTATCACTTCCTGTTTGATCCAAGTATCTCACTGCTCGTGTAATTCAGGGCACAGCGGCCGACTTCTGAGATTTCTTATTGTCTTTCGCTGTATGTGTGTTTCAGGGCACAGTAGACGACAGGAGCAGCGTGGAGCATCAGACGCTGCAGGCACTCAGCCGGACCCTGGTGGAAGCCTGTCGTCAGCATGGCATGGACGTGACGCCATCAGTGAAGGGCGGGAAGCTGGGGTTTCAAGGCCTCAAGGACTTTCTGAACTCGTCGCGAATGGGAACTGACCACTATGATCGCGACAAGCTGGTTACTGACCTGTATTTCGCCTTCCTGTTCGCCCAAGATGTGAGTTGTCTGCCATGGTTCTCACACTTCATGCAGAGTATTTTGTGTTTTCCTTTAACTTTGCAAGGGTGCACGTGCACCTCTTTTGTTGCAGGCATATTTGTGAATATTCTCCTACCAAGGTTTATTCTTATTTTTTTTTATCACAAGTGCTCCTCATTTGCCTTACTCATTTTCTGCTTTCTCTCGCTCTTTGTCTCTCAGGTCGCTCAAGGCAACACTCAGCGCATTGAAGCAGCACTTAACGAAGCAGTGGAGAGGCTTATATCAGGACCAGCTCGAGACTGCCTGTCGCCTGTATCCCCTCTGAGCCCAGCATCCAGTGGGGGCGCACCTTCTCCTGGCAAAAGCGTTGGAGGTTTTTCCTCTGGCTGCGTCCGTGCTGCTTCTGGCAATGACCTCCCTGCTTACGCTCGCCCAGATGCTCTCAAACTTCCCCAGCCCCGTCCGACATCAAAGTCTTTTTTTCCCACCACCACCACTACCAGCAGCAGCAGTAGCAGTGGAGGAACATGGGGGTTGTCACCTTCGTCAGTAAGCAGGCAGTCAGGGAACAAGGCAACACCTCTTGTTGGCGTTGGAGCAGAAGATGATAAGACGTGAGTGCCCCATGAGCTCTTTCCCAATCTACATGGATAACGAACCAGCTTCCCTCATGGATTTGTGACAGTCAGACACGTGTCTGTGTGTGATTGGCAGGTCGGGAGGACTGCTGGTGCTCAAGCGGCTGGCATGCTGCGTGGCAAGGGCGGCAGCAGAGGCAGAGGCGCGCAGGCAGAGAGGGCTGCTGGACGCACAGGAGGTGGTGAGGAGAGAGCAGGAGAAGGCCAGCAGAGCAGCAGCCATGGCTGGTGGCGGAGCGGGTGGAGGGGGCGGAGTGGGGGCTGGCGTGGGTGGGGTTGGAGTGGGTAGGGGTATTCCCATGGGTGGGGGAAGGCCCATTCCTGTGCCTGGTGGTGCTCCTAGTGTGTGGGGCTCTGCCGCTCCCCTCAGTAGTGCAGGGAGCGTGGGCGGACCCCCTGCTGCCAGAGCGGCTGCTGTGTCTAATTGGAAGGGGGGTAGTTGCAGTGCTGTGTCTGGGGATGTTTCGGTTGGGGCTTATGGTGGGGGGATGGGGGGGTTTACTGGGGGAGTAGGTGGGGGGACAGGCAGTTATGGGACGCCTGCTGGGGGTGGCAAGGTGGCGGGTGAGGCAGGGAAGAGCAGTGGAGGGGGATGGGGGCGAGGGAAGAGTGTTGGAGGTTGGTGAGATAGCAAGCAGCAAGGATGGGTGGAGGGAGTGCTGATGTCAGAGGAATAAACCTTGTTGGAAGGATGGAGAGTCACAGGTGGGGCTGCAGAGAAGAGGTATTGCAGGTGATTTTTCGAGATTCTGGCAAGCACCGTGGCTTCAGGTCAAGATGAGTCAATTTGGCTTATTGAGATTACCATGTGTATTGAAGCCTCGTATAGAAATGTCACGTTATAAGCAAGCATTGGATACAGAACTGGAACTGATACCGTACATCTGAACATACATACACCATGCTGTTCCTAAGCAGCCTAGCCAAACACCATTTTTACATCACCCTTCTTATATGCGCTCAGAAAGATGCAACGGGAAGGCCCTCGGGATTGTGTCTGGCACCGTAGGCCCAGTGACTCAGCACACCTCTAAGGGGTCATGTGCTTGGCTCTACTGGAAAATCGCACCGCTACTACCCTCCACTCAAGGCTTTACCGTGGCAAGGGCTGTAGACACGGGAGAGAATTCGTCTGTTCCTGCAATCTACAACCCCTTCCACATTTATTTGCTGATACCGTATGCTGCGTATCAGGGTAACGAGTCTCCTTTGTAGGGACCCAGAACCCGTTACCGCGATGTGATTGGTCGGATCAGCATATGGCCTGCGGAATCCAACGGCGGAAGATCTGCCCGCGAATAGCGCCGTTGGGAAACGCCTGCGTGTTGATCTGCACGTAGTAACGTCCCGGATTCGCGTCGATCTTCTTAATCAGATCGTAGATCGACGTGTCTGAGTCCAGCGGCTTTATACTTTTTGTCATGCTAAAGCCGCCGCCGCTGCTCGCGCCCGTCGCGCTCGACGTGTTCGCCGGTTTTATGACGTTCGCTTTCCCGTCAGACGGGGCGCGAGTGAACGCCGAATCCGGCGGCGTGACCCCGCTGTTGCTTGCAGTGGATCCACCCCCGCCCCCGTTATTGTCAACAACGCCCAGGCTGATGTACTTGTTGTCGGCATCTGTGATCCACGAGTCGACCTTCAATTCGTTGATATCGTCGAGAGTCCAGGGGTTCGGCAGGCGCCAGACGAGCGCGCCGCTGCTGCCGCGGCGGCCGTCAAAGAGCGCCTGGCCGGTCGGCGGCAGCGGCGCGGTGAGCGACTCGATGTCGAAGTGAAGCTTAATGTTGATCTTGCTGCCTTGCCTGCAAATGTCGACGGAGTATCGCAGGAAGTAGAGAAGCATTGCACGTCAGAGGCAGTCGTAGTATTGAGAGGGAAGAGAGAAAGGAGGACGGTGATTGCAAGACGATTTGATATGAAGCCCGGGAAACTCACAGCAAGACAATTTGATATAAGCCCGAAACACTCACTGGAAGACGAGGATACGGAAATAGCCGTACGCGCCGGAGTCGCCGCCGAGGTTGGAGCTGAGCACCTTGTTGGGCTTGAGGTTCGAGATCAGGGTGCCTGCGCGAGCAAACAGAGGGGTCAAGAGCGGTGAGGTGAGGTTTCACTCGTGCTCTGGCCTGAGTCGCCGCCGAGATTCGAGCTGAGCACCTTATTAGCTTGAGGTTCGAGATCAGCGTGCCTGCGGGACGACGAGTAGTCCAGTGCACACAGAAGGGGTCAAGAGCGGTGAGGCGAGGTGAGGGTGAGGTAAGGTACGGTGAATTGAGGAGCGGCTCAACAGACGGGCGTGATGTCGATTGCCCAGCCAGGGGGCATAGGGGTATGAGGTATGTTGAACATGGCAAACCGTCGATGTGCGACATTGCGACGATTCGCGAAAGTCTGTGGAAGGTGGCGAAAGTCGACTCAACAATCAGCACGGGAGGCGGAAGATCAATGGAGAATGACTGGCAGATGGTTTGGGGCTGTAAGTCGAGTAGATACACACGAGAGGGGCGACTAGGGGGCAATCGGACAACAAATGGCGCGTCATTAAGAGGTGTGCGACAAGGGGTGTGCGACGAAGGGCGTGCGACAAGGGCGTGCGATAGGCGGGCGAGGCTCACATCTTGGAATCCCAGGGAAGGGGATTGATTGCGCGTCTGCCGCTAGTGAGGATACTAGTACGAGCAGGGCCGACAGCAGCACCGTGAGCACCATGGCGGACGGCGATTGCGCCATTATCGAGAAGATGCGAGAGAAAGGAGACGAGATGGGATGCAAACGCCTCGCGGAGTTTTGAAGAGCTCAGAGCTACGCTACGCGGAGTGGAAGCTGAGCGATGTGTTTGTACCTGCGGAAGGTAAGAACCAGAACAAGTCTAACAATAGTAGCTCACTGTAGTCTAAGTCAGTGTCTACGGTGCTTCGGAATGTTAACTGTGATTCAAGTCCAGCTTACGACCACCGACGTTTTTTTCCTGGTGACGCATACACGCATCTGCCAACGAGTCTGCCGACGATGCTTGGAAGAAGCGGCTACGCACTGATAGGGGTTTGACCGACACGGCTAGTGAGGGGCAAGACTAGGTGATGAATGTGGACCGTTATGGAGGGATGGGAGAGAGAGGGAAGGACATCAGACGGGAGAAAAACCTCCACGTCAGGTACAAGCAAGAGTCTAGTGCCCCGCCAGGCACTAATGTTGGAAGGAGCGAGGCAGGGGCGGTGTCTGAACTGAAGCCTTGACGACATTCGAAATGCCGGAGTGAGTGGGTGGGAGAGAAGCAAATTCTTTGAGCCAAAACGCGGAAATTCGCCCTCCATCAAGTCGCTTTTCCGAGTCGCGCCACCAAATTCTTGCACGACGGGGCTCCCTCAAGCCCCGAGGTTCAATTCGCCGTCGATAATTCGTTCGATATTATCATCCACACTTCCAGAAGAACGCCAAAGCCCCCGCAAAAATCGCAAACCGTCAGAAACACTTCTATAACATAATATTTGGTTATGCGAGATTTGAGTGCAATATCGGATTACATAAAAGTTACTAAACAACTGGATAAACTTTGAACTACCACCAGTGAAGTTGCAGATTACAGGGTTTTCTTACTTCACGTTTTCCTATCTTCCGCGAACAGCACTGTTCATCAGATCTGCTGCCTGTGTGCTCTCTCGTAAGCACTCCCGACATCGATGGGCTGCAAAATATGGTATGGTGGTGCTGCTACTCAAGCTTTGTTTGTCTGCAGAATGGCTCATTAGGGTACATTCCTGCGAGGACTTGCGAATCTTGTGGTGTGTCACCAGAGACCAGACAGTGGTTGATGTTTGGGCCCGAGAGGCTAGTACGTGTGAAATCCCTACTAAACTAGAACCACATGCCCTTACCTCCGCCCATAATGTCGGCTCCGAGCCGGGGTCTTATCATCAGGCATCATACGAATGCTCCTCATGCGTACATGCGAACCATGCTGCTGCATCCGGGGTGAATAGCACTGGAGAACTTCAACCTCTACAGCCGAGAAAAAACACGTGTCATGCTGATCAACAACAGGGAAGTTCTAATGTGTGTACTACAGTACCTACTCACTAACTGCATGGCTTCGATACCCCATATTCAGTGCTTTGAAAAAATTGGCGTTTACCATTCAGCTACTTAGTGTGAATCCTAACAGAGCTTCTGAAATCCAGTTTGCAAGTCAATCATCCTGATATTAAGGAAATTCTACGAAGGAGCATCGTCTTGATGTGATGGGTCCTCCCGCATAACAAGGAATCCTACGCGGAGCCATTGAGTCGACATGGCATGCACTATTCAAACTAAAGGCGCTTGGTGCGGAAGGAAACATCACATCCGCGCTGCTGTAAGCCCTAAGTATAACCTGCACTCGTATAACCTGCCGTGAGAGTCTCACAGGCGAGCACTTTCCCGTATACGCTTCAAGCGGACCCTCTCCCATGTCCGCTTTCGCAAGCGGGCAGCTTTGGTGCCGTTTCCCCTACAGTATTTGTTTTACGCGGGCAGCTTGGTGCCCACGGGGAATTGCGGGTTGTCAACGCCGTGCGCGACGAAGTACGGCCCGACGTACATCTCGGGATCCATCACCGTGCTCCACGTCGCCTTCGCCAGCCCCTGCTGCCCCAGGACCACGCTCGGGCCCGCCTTCGACGTTTTCACGAGGCTTACGCCGTTGAGCTGCGTCGGCAGCAGCTGCCCCTTTTTAACGGCCTGCAGCTGCGGCAGCGTGAGGCGCGTCGCGACGATCTGCACGGCCGTGAGGTTGTAGGCCGCGTCGTTGGAGAGCGTCTTGCCCTTGAAGCGCAGCGCGAGGCGGTCCGCCACCGCGTCGCTCATCAGCAGAATCGTGGCGCTCTGCAGCGCCGTGAGGTTGTACTTGGAGTTCACTGTATCGGGGATGGACGAGGGGGAAAGGGAGGGGAAATGGACACGGTGAGGGAAGGAAGGATGCCTGACACGGAAGCGTCTGACGCAGGAGACAAAGCATACGAAAGAAGTGCGGTTAAACATGATGGGAGGATCGAGAAAAGAGAGTTTGGAGAGTGGCTCAGGAGACTGAGTATTCCCCGCAAGAAGGCCCGTTATCGAGCATTTCAGGGGCGAAATTTCGAGTTGTTTTGCGTGATGGCGTTGAAGTTGACGGCACGCATCTGCAGCGACGGGACTCACGGGCGATGTTGATGGCCTTGTTGACTTGCGTCGAGTACTTGGCGTATTTGGGGTACTTGGCCGTGATCGCCGCCGACAGCTTCTTCAGCTCGGCGCGCAGCTGCGCCTTCGTCGGAGGCGGCGCTGGCTTGGGCGCTGTTCCGCTCGCCGCTGGCTTTGGCGATGCTCCTCTCACTGCTGGGGGGACGGGCACTCCCTTGGCGGACGGGGCTGGTACTGTTGCGGGCGAGGGGGTTACGGCGCTGACGGACGACGCGGCGCAGATGACGGCGGCCAGCGCGGCTAAAACGACGGCGATGGCGGTTGAACGAGCCATGGCTCCTATCGAATGACGTCGAGTCTAGCAGCGGATGGAAAGGTTCAGGCAACGGGTAGTAATACTCTATCGGTGGCTGGCTGGAAAGGCGGACGGATGGAGAATGATCGCTTTCGAGACAATTCTGGATGGTGGTGTATTCTCAGTCGCGGTTCAACGGCGTCGAACGGAAGTCGTCAGTCGACACGACAGTTCTTGGTTGAATTGAGAAGATCGAATTGCTGAAGACGATTGTGATGTGCACTTGGCTGGTTTGCAAATGATTTCACGGAGCTCAATTTATGTGGCATGGGATGGGATGCCCAGCGACTGTTCTCATTTCGTCGGTGGTGTGTTTGTCGAATCGAAACATTTTGGCGAGGCCCCGACCCGATCCGATGGTACAACCTTGCCACCGAAGGAGCGTCCAAGTAGCCGTTTCAGCACGACTCGGCGGTGGATCACGCTTCTTCAGCTCTGCGCTTTGACTTGGCGCCTACTATGACGGTTCCTTTCTTCATTTCCCTTCCAACTTCCCATGTCTGCAGTGGTGGTAGGCATCTGGGGTGTGGGGGGGTTAGCGGGGGGTGGAGGGGGTGTGGTGGGAGGAGGGGGAGGTGCGGGGCGCGAGCGGAGGTGCCTGGGTATTACAATTTCTGCGCCCCTCTATTTTTCTGGCGGTGCATTCATTCGCGCGTGGCTTTCGGTGTCCAGAGGAGCTGCGTCCGCCCATGGTCTGGGTCCTCGTGAGAGTGGGTGGGGTGGGGAAAATGGAAAAGTCGAGAGACGACGTGAGAACCGACCAGCTGTGTGTTCTCGACTCGACGCGCCTTGGTGATTTGAAAATGAGGCACTTGCGGTGCGGAGCGAACGACGACATTTGGGAAATGCGGCTCGAGGGCTCGCGGAAGTTCTGTATTCAGTATGAGCATTTTGATTAACCTCGTATTGTTCTATGGAAAGGGAAATGTTACAAAACTTTCATCCAGCAAGTTAATGTCTTCCCTTTTATGCACTTTAGGTTGAGGTTGAGGTTGAGGGTGTGGTGACCATAATGATATATGCACTTTAGAGTGGATGGGAATCCCCTGTCTGTATAATATATGATGTATCAGCAAACATACCTTGGAATAGTGTAGTTATGCGGTTATGCTGGCACATTAATTGTGGATGCTTGTACCCTAAGCACTGGTTTACAAAAGTGGGCTCATTGGTGAAAGGCCTACACACCTCATTCACTTCTCCCATTGAAGCGCCGTTATTTCTAGAGAGGATCGGGTAGGACCCCACCCGAGACCCAAAAGAGTGTCGCGAGAGCAGGTCTCTCCAGAGTCCCACCCGTCTGCCCTCTGTATCTGTCTCGGTCAACTCGCAAGGCCAAGAAAGGCCTCAAGAACCCCCAGCTGAACCCGTTATTAGCAATTTGATTTCCCGTTACTAGCACACTGGCTTGGACGCCCAGCGCACCAGCGAAGGCCGTCCCATCTGCCCGCGAAGCGCGCCGTTGGGGAAGGCCTCCGTCCGAATCACAATGTAGAAATTCCGCGGAGTCGCGTCGATCTTCTGAAACAAGCTGTAAAACGTCATCGATGTCCCTGGCACGAGCTTGCGCGTCGCGTCCGTAATCCACGTGTCCATTTTCAACTCGTCGGGAGCGCCCCCGACAGTCCACGCGTTGGGCAGCTCCCAAATCGGCATGCCGTTGCTGCCGCGGCGGCCGTCGTAGAGCGTTTGGTTGGTGGGCGGCAGCGGGAGCGTGAGACCCTCAACATCGAAGTGAATCTTGATGTTGATCGTGCGGTTGCCCTGCCTGCTCACATACACACACGCAACGGATGCACGCATGTCAGTGACAAGTCTGAGGGATGGTGTCTGCTCATTTCCAATCTTGTGCATTTAGTGAGATGCGCACGATTCCGTGAGTCGGAGGGAGTGGGAGGCACGGAAGCTGCAACACAGCTTGAAACGAAACAGGGTTGGCGGGGCTCACAACACTTACGGCACTCACGACGTTCACGGCCTTCACGACACTCGCAACACTCATGAAATTTGCGACATTCACGACTTCACGACGCTCACGCACAACACTTACTGGTAGATCGTGGAGCGGAAGCTGCCGGTGGCGAGCGAATCTCCTCCCAAGCTCGCACTGAGCACCTTCTTCGAGCTGAGGCTGGACGTGAGCAGACCTGTTAGATCAGCAGGGCGAGCATGAGAGTGAAGATTCATTGAGCTGGTTTTTTTTACCACTCAATAACCGCTGAGGCTCGACGTGAGCAGACCGGTTAAGTCGGACAGGGTAATCCGGACAGGGTGAACGGGAGAGAGGAAAGATTGAGCTGGGACACGAGGTCCAGGGACGATGGGGAATGCCGTCGAAACAAGTATAACGAGATGGGTTGTGACTAGAACGAAGGGTAGCATCATGGGAGAGGTGCGGGCGAATGGAGTAGGTACGGGAAGGTGAGGAAGAGCGAGAGGAAAAAAGCCACGTTCCACTCACATCTTCGAATGCCGGGAAACGGAACGCCGGTGATTTTGGGCATGGGCGGGAGACTGGGAACTTTAGTTTTAGGCGGGGCTGCGAGAGTGCATGATGCAGCGGCGGCGAGAAGGATGCAGGCTAGAAAAGCTGCTGCAGGGGACGAGGCAAGCAGGGCAGGGAAGCCAAGAAGGTAGGAATGGAAGGAATGAGAGGGATGGGAGGAATGGGAGACAGGGCAGGATGCGGTACAGGATATATGGCCATTAACTTATGGTTCCGTACTTTACGCTTTACGCTTTATGCGGTACAGAATGGTGACTATTGTTACTAAAGACATCTCGTATTTCTGGACTTGGCAGACGGCAGAGTATGATGGGGGTGGACTGCGCTGTGATGCTGGATGTTATTGGCAAACTAGTGAAAACAGTGGCTTAGCTGAGTCAGGAAGGAAACGTAAGTACTAGTAGGTAATTTTCTTGTTAGAGCGCACCTGTTGCGGGCGATCGGTTTACGCGAGCCATGGTGGTGGGTTCAATGTACTGGGCTTGGAAGGGGCGCGCTAGGAAATACTTTTGAATCAAGCTGTCAGTCACACGACTCTAGTGGTTATACGGAGAATAAATTCAAGGGTGGTGTTAATCGGGAATCTCTTTGGCGGCTTGCCACCGCTTTCTATCTCGTGTCGGCCACCGGCGAGGGCCATTTTCCGAAATAGCTGCCGACGCTGCAGATACAGGGCGACAGCCATGAGGAACCACGCTGTTCCGTGCTGTTCGATGTTGCTCCGCGAAATAGCCGTTGTTGCGAGTGACCCGCCACCCACACCATGCAACAAAGGCCACAGCTAGGGTTGTTGGTTGGGGATGTTGGTTGGTGGAGGGTCGAATGTTCGCTTGGACTGATTGGTTGGGGGCTGGCTTCGGGTGGAAAGGAGGTCTGGTTGGAGCCGGGCCAACCACCACAATCAGCGCCTCTGAAAATCGATGAGTCTGTCGGTCGCCCCGCCGAAAGTGAAAGTTGCGAAAATGTCGAATTGGCCAAATGTTGGCACGGAGCGCGGAATAAACTCCCCCGCATTCGACGCTGGCGTCCCCAAACAGCAAGCCCTCTTAGGACCATTTCCTTCCGCATGCACTTTCACTGTGCATGAGTTTTTCACCTCGAATATACGAAAAACTCTAAGATTTATACCCAAAGACTCCATTCTTGACTTCAGTTTCACTTGCATATTGGCATACATACATAATCATCCATATTACACTTTAGAAAGCTATAACGAGCACAGAGAGAGTGCTCAATCATAGCACAGCATACAAGATAAAGCCCTACAACCAGCCATGCCGTAACAAACAGCAGCAAACGGCAGGCACAGAAGCAAGAGTAGTCCCCACCCAGCCCTACTCTTGACCCTGTGCCCAGCTTCGATTCCACAACTCCCAACTTCCATACGAACAAACTGGTAACCCACACCACCCATCTTGTACAAGCTTGATCGCCATGCATTACTCCATGCATCCTCCTCACCCAAGATCAAAGTCCGGGCTGTTGCATTTTTGGGAAATTATCTTCCCTCCTTTAAGCACGTACTTAACGTAACACGTGGTTCTGACCTGCAGGTGTTGGATCAGATAGTGAGAGGTAGAGCAGGTGGGGGGGGTGGGGGAGAAGGGGAGGGGAAAAGGGGGGGGGGGGGGGTGTCAAGGGCGTAGCAGAGGTGTGCAAAGAAACCCAAGGGGGAGAAGGGCAGTGGAAACAGAACTCTTCTGCTAGAGATGCGTGAGATGCGAAAATTTAGTGCAAGGCATGGTAGTGCAAAGAGGTTCGGAATTCAGTTATGGTTGTGCATAGCTGGCAAGGGCAATTGATTCAGAAAATTGTTCTAACCTCATCAAAATTCACATAAAATGCTGCATGCAAGCAGGATCCACGCACCAGGCGAATGTGAGAGCAAGGGAACCTTGTCACCTGAGAATCGTGGGAACAAGCACACCTGCGCTAGTAAGGAAGCCCAACTCACCTGCATTACAGGACTTTTGATTCCAAAGCCGGTGAATCTACCAAATCCTTGAATGTCAATCTGGGGGTTGGCGATGGCAAAAGGAGAGGAAGGATGGCACAAGGAGAATCATTTTTGCAGCTGCAACAACAAGGGCTGATGGCAAAACAGGAAAACGTTAGGGACTTAGGACCCATATGGAGGGAACTGACAGCAACGCAACTGTACTGGAGGATTAACACCCACTCTCCATTGACAGTATTGATTGCAGATAGTGCAAGTACCAGGAAGGAAAGCGGATGCAGAAACAGAACTGCTGCTATGGTTCCTTGCAATATGAAAAAACGGAAGTGCAGGATGAAGCAAGGTGGAAGCACGGTTTCTAGAACCACACTCACCTTCGTTGCAAGCACATCCCCCTTCTGGTATATCCGCCATCCCCTCTTCATAGGGATATTCACCAGGTTGAAGGGTGCTTTTACTGGGGATGACTTTAACGGGTACACGTTCATGGGGGGAAGCTGGGGCATGGAGCAAGGGGAAAAGGAAGTGGGAAACAAATTCAGGCACCGTTACAAAAAGGAGATTGAAGGGAGTAAATGAGGAATCCCGCAATGATGCTACATCCAGGCACACGAGCGTGATTAAGCCTGAAATAACGAGGCAAGCGTGGTTGCACTCTGCATGCATGTAGATGGTGTTCACCATCGGCTTGTATATACTCGAAATGCACACCTTGTGGGCGCGAGGGCAATTCGCCTTGGAGTTGCCAAGAAACATGTTGCTGTACTCAGCGTGCACGTGAGGGGGCTGACCTGCGACCTTAATGTGCCATCATTGCACACCTGGGCTGGGCGCGACAAACTACCTTGGAATTGCCGAGAAACGTGTTGTTGTATTCCGCGTGCACATAGATGGCGTTGATCTTGAGTCCATACGCGTTGGGATTGTAGATGAGCGCGTTGAAAGTCAGCACGCCTGTGAGGAACACGTCGAAGCCGTTCAACGGGTCGCCGCCTAGCCGCGCGTGCTTTACGGTCCAGTCCATGGTGTCGATCTTCAGCTCTGGCTGCTGCTAGACGCAGAGGTTGGGGGGGGGGAGGTGGGGAGGAGATTTTGTGTGGGGGGGGGGGGGGGGGAGGGGGTAGACAAATGAGAGCTCGAGTTGACGGGTCAACGTGAGTGCTTCACGGTCCAGTCCATGGTTTCGATCTTCAGTTCCGGCTGCTGCGGAGGGGAAGCAGGAGTTGGGTGGGGAGGAGGGAAGAAGCAAGAGCATGCATATTCTGTCGAAAGTGTGATTGCTTCACGGCCTAGTCCATGGTGCCGCTTGTCAGCTCTGGCTATTGCGCAAAGGGGGAGAAGAGGGACGAGGAGGGGGGGGGGGGGGGGGGGGAGGTGGGATGGGGGGGAGGTGTATGTGGGTTGAAAGAGACGAGGGGGCTTGAGTTGAAATGAGGGTGCGCGATTCACGGACCACTCTGCTTTGGCTACCGCGAGTGAGGGAGTGGAGGAGTAGAGGGCGGGGAGGGTGGGGGAGCGAAAGGGCGCGGGGAGAAGGGGGGAGAGGGTACGAGGTGGGAAGGATAAGGAAAGAACAGGAGGGGTGTTCAACAAGGCACGGGTGTCGTGTGCAGGGGGGCGCACCTTGTATGTGAACGGGCTGCTGGTTTTGCGCTGCGCAGACGAGGTGACTTTTGCGTCCACTCAAAAGGTGACTTTGACTTTTGAGTCGACTCAAAAGTCACCTCGTGTGCTGGGGGACGCACCTTGTATGTTAACGGGCTGCTGGTTTTGCGCTGCGCTGACGCCAGAACCCTCTTCGTCCAGAGCACCCGTGCCGCGCCATCCCTGCCACGTCATGTCACGTCAGGCAAGGCCACAGCACCTTAATGAATCAGAGTGAAGAGGACGTTACGGTCGGGACCCGGAACACTTTACGTTTCTCCGTACGGACAGGCGATGCGAGACGACGGAATGGGACGACTGCTGGATAAAACGTTGCAACGTGAACAAGCCGGCCCCCCCTCCCCAACCCCCCATCATCTTCTCCCCCCCTCCCCCCAAACGAATCACGAGTCCAGTCGTCGGCATATCGTCCAAACCTCACCCGAACGTCGCTGGTCTCCGCAGTTGTCGCGACGTTTGTTCAGTTCCAGCCGTAGCCGTAGCCGTAGCCGCAACCGTAGCCGTCGGCTTGGCCGTAACGGATAAACTACTAGGTGGACCGGAAGACCATCTAAGGCTCGAAGGAGCTGTTGCAACCTGGCTTCTAAAGACTTGGTTTCTAATGACGTGGCCGCCTGTAGCGCCCTGGACTGCTGGGTTAACCGGAGCAGCGAGGGCGAGAAGCAGGAGGATCGAGAGAACTGTAGCTACTAGGGATAGCGATGCGCCGATCCCGGGGGAGGAACCTGCCATACGGATCGGAGATTATAAGGTCTCTCCTAACTCGTCGCCGCTTAGAGCAGGCGAGGAGCCAATAGGAAGGAAGAGCGGATAATTCCTGTGTACAAGATCCCAGCTAGAGATTTCCTTACGGTGAATAGTGAATAGAAGCGACGGTGCTACCATCTAGCCTTGGTCTACTAGTTGAGATATTATGATTGAGCGACAGTTGAGCCACTAGTGTGATCGGTTGTGAATTGACGGAGGCGGAGCAACGAACGAGCGACGAGATGAAGATAAGTGCTGCTTGCCACTAATGGGGCGAAGGAGCGCTGCATATATATACGCGATCGAATCGCTTCGTTTAGAGTCACAAGTCGCAGGTACTAAAGCCGAAACAGGATTCCTAACGAAGAAGGTGCTGGTGAACTGACAACAGGCTCGCCTCGTCGCCACGTGTATCGCGTGCCTGCGACTCGGTCACCAGCAGCAGCGACGACTGTCTACATTAGAGACGACAAGAACGAGGCTGCTTTCAATTGCAATTTGCATCATGGAAATATTAACTAGGTATGTGGACCGGAAATCACGAACATATGCATTTCGTGGAGGAGATATCTAGGAGGTGATAACAAAAAAATGACTGCTAGCGCCGTATGGACTTCGGTCAGCATATGACTGGTCAACTCGGCTTTTAGGATGGAGAGAGAACAAAGCGGTGAAGTACGTTGTAGAATAATCATTCGCGGTATTCTGGTGAGATGTATTGTGCCGTCGTGTTTCTTCTCGAATCTTGGGCCCTCGAAATTGGTTCCCCTTTTCCAGAGCAACATCCGTCCGTCCATTCCTCCGTATGCCTGCTCCTAGGCAGGCGCGGAGCAGTGTGCAGTACAGTATTATCGAATTTCGCGTCGCTCTTTGCACGCCTGGCGGAAAGGGTGCGCGGTTCGGTTTTGCCCGTCGCTGCGTGTCATTTCTAGAGACGCAACGCAACGGCCTCGAAGTCGAAGTCCCCTCGTTAGAAGTGGAAAAATATTACGTCATCCTACCTACCTTCTTGTTACAAGCACGCGCCTACCCACTCGATTCTCCTTTTCAAGTGTGATTCTCGTTTGAAGGTAACATGCTACACAGTCTTACCAGGAATATAATTCAAAGCTAGTGTTTACTAGTTCTGGGTCGGTTGACAGATTAAATGGGAAATCTCTGTGGCCCTTCAAAGAGAGATATATGAGAGGGACGACTGCGGAACTTCGCGTTAAATATAACCATCAGTACAATTACTACTTCACAAATTCCTGCTACTCCCTTTTTATGTGTACCCCTGATTCCTTCACAGACGGATCGCCAGACTGGGGAGACGAGAGACATGCATGGTTGGCAGGTGGGGGATGGGAAGCAGAGGAGGGGGATGCTGGCAGAGCGGAGAGAAGGGATTGAGGAGGAGAGGAGGTGTGGGAGTGAGGCGAGGGGGGGTGGGAGTGTAGCCCTTTAACAAGGTGCGAGAGCGAGACCACCTGATAGCCCTGCCTTCTCAGCTCTGGCAGCATCATCCGCAGAATCTGCAAAGAAACGGGGGAAAGGAAGGATGCCTCAAAGTTTATATCACTTGATGTGCAACAAAAGCAGACACGAGCCATAAACAGCAGTCACAAGAGGCCTGTGCGCTTCACCTCTAAAGTTTGAAAGACTAGAAGCAGAACGCCGGCGGCCTCACCTCAACGGTTTGTGTGCCCTGCTGGGGACGGTCATGCAGGATAATAATAGCACCTGGGTACACCTGCGTGCTGTACGAGTGATGGAAGTAAGGCCTCCGCAGCCCACCTGTCCGTTACTGACAGCTCCTCACCTCAACGGTTTGTGTTCCCTGCTGGGGCCGGTCGTGCAGGATAATAATAGCACCTGGGTACACCTGCGTGCAGACAAGTGGAAGGGAAGGCAAGGGAAGTAGATTGAAAGGGTGCCTTGCTGTGGGTGGTCATGCAGTATGATGATGGCGCCAAGGGGAGGGATGAAGAGATGGGGATGGTGGGGATGGTGGGGATGGTGGGGATGGTGGGGATGGTGGGGATGATGGGTCCATGAAAAACACAGAGCAGCAAATCGCATCCCCAACAGCTCCCATACCCATAGCAGTACCTTCCACAAGCAGTAGCGAGCAACAGTGAGGCTGCTGTCTCTGAAAAGCGGGTCCACGGGGAACACAGAGCCCAGAGCCACAGAGAGATGCAACCTTGCTCCCCGATTCTACAGGCGCAGTCAGTACCTTCCAGAGACAGTAGGCGGCAAGGGGGCGGCTGCTGTCCTTGAAAAGCGGGTCCACGGGGAACACAGAGCCCAGCGCCACGTTGTATCCGTGCCGTTGTGCCTGCTGCCGCATGCGCTTGGTGTACCACCCATGGCCCTGGAGGTGGGGTAGGGAGAGCGATGAAGGAGGAAGAGGGGAGGGTGAGGAAGACATTCGAGGCACCTCGAAAGGTGCTGCGCTTGCTGCCGCATGCGCTTGGTGTACCACCCATGGCCGTGGAGGTGGGGTAGGGAGAGAGAGGAGGATGTTGCCCCCTCAATCTCGTCGAAAGTAGCGGAGGAGCTTGGCATCCAATTTTGAGATGTCTCGAAAATCGTCCACTGCCAGCAGCGAGAGACGACTCAAACAAGAAGTAGACGCCTAGCAGGGCAAAGCTGACAGCAAAACTAACAGGTCTGAAGCACTAGACAGGGTTGCCCCCGGAATCTCTTTGTAAGTAGCGGAGGAGATTGGTGTCCACTGGCAGCAGCGAGAGACGACTCAAACAACAAGTAGGCGCCTAGCAGGGCAAAGCTGACAGCAAAACTAATCGGCTGGAACCACGTGACTGGGTTGCCCCCGGAGTCTGTACGGAAGTAGCGGAGCAGCTTGGCATCCACCGCCAGCAGCGACGATTCACACGAGAAGCCATGCAAACTCTATACAGGGCAGGCTCAAAGCACATAGAAAGCACACTGACCCACCAGTCGGAACCACGTGACTGGGTTGCCCCCCGTATCTCTCCGGAAGTAGTGGTGGAGCTTGGCATCCAGCGCCAGCAGTGCCGACTCAAACGAGGAGTAGGCTCGAGGCAAGGCAACTTGACAGACATCCAGTGCCAGCAGTGCCAGCAGTGCCAGCAGTGACGACTCAAACGAGGAGTAGGCTCGAGGCAAGGCAACTTGACAGACATCCAGTGCCAGCAGTGCCAGCAGTGCCAGCAGTGCCAGCAGTGCCAGCAGTGACGACTCAAACGAGGAGTAGGCGCCGCCAGGCAAGGCAACTTGACAGGCATCCAGTGCCAGCAGTGACGACTCAAACAGGAAGGCATGCAATCCACACAAACCCACATGTCTACCAAACCACGTGACCTACCGGTCTGAACCACTTGACAGGTTTTCCAGCAGCGTCTCGTCGGAAGTAGTGGTGGAGCTTGGCATCCACTTCCAGTAGTGACGACTCAAACTCGCCCGCTGACAGGCGCCAGCTGGGTTTGTCCTCTGTCATATGGTTGCCCACCTCGTGGCCTGATGGGGAGAGGAAAGGAAATGGAGAGGCATAGGGAAACAGATGAGCAGAGGTGGGGAGTGCAGACAGGCGCCCGCTGGGTTTGTCCTCTGTCATGTGGTTGCCCACCTCGTGGCCTGGTTAAGGGGGGGGGGAGGGGGAAAGGATAGAGAGAGGCAGGAAGAGAGAAACGGTTGGCTGCTGTGTCAACATGGGAGCCAGCTGGGTCCAATGAAAAAGAATCACCTTGTTCCATTCCAACAACGCTACACAACAGCAAATTACCTTCAGCATGCATGCGATCCACAATGTTGGGGTACCTGTCCTGTCAGTGTTCAAAACAGGTGACTGTCAAAGTCACCACGTTCCAACGCCTCATGGCGGCACATTACATACCTTCAGCATGCAATCCACGATGTTGGGGTATCTGTCAATGTTGGATCCAATCAGACCGTTTATGAGTCGACTCTACAGCCACCTTATTCCAATAGTGCATGGCATGTTATGCACCTTCAGCATGCATGCGATCCACTATGCTGGGGTATCGGTCGATGTTGGATCCAATCACGAAGAACGTGGCCGTGCACCCGTGCTCCTTGAGAATATCCAGCAGCTGAGAATGCATGGCATAAGAGGTGAGGGGAAGGGGATAGAGTGGGCACAGATTAAGACCAATGTGGCCGTGGTCCTTGGTAAGGTCCAGAAGCTGTGAGAATCCGTGGCATGAGCAGTGGCGGAGAAGGGTATAGAGAGGGCGGGATTGAGGCGAATGTGGCCGTGCACCCGTGCTCCTTGGGAATATCCAGCAGATGGTAATTCGTGGAAAGAGCGGCGGGTTCGGGAGGGGAGGGCGAGAGAGGCAGGAGATAGGAGAAGGGGGGAAGAAGGGGAAGGACTGGAAGTTGGCATGAGCGGTGGGGGTAAAAGGGAAAGCGGAGTCAGGATCAAGAGCCGTGTGGTTGTGCACCCATATCCTTGAAACGTTTTCACATATTGAGTACTATTAGTTTTTTGTTTTTTCAATACACGCCAAATCCCCCAGACGTATCTTAAATCGTTCCAATATAGGCGCGCACTCTAGTAAACAAGAACATCATACCTCGTAGGTCGTGTCTCCATTCGGCCCATCATCGATCGTCAGAGCAACCAGGCGATCTGATTGGTCAACAGGAAAGGGAGGGAGGGATAAGGAGGATAGATGAAAGGAGGGATGGAGTGGAGGGATGGGGTGCATCATGCATGGTAGTAACGGATGACAGGGTAGGTGAGTGAGAGGGAAGGAGGGGAAGGTGATGACGGGTGCTCTTAGTGACGTACCTTTGGTGACATGCACCTTTGGTGACGTGTACCTTTAGTGACCTGTACCTTTAGTGACCTGTACCTTTGGTGACGTGTACCTTTGGTGACCTGTACCTTTAGTGACCTGTACCTTTGGTGACGTGTACCTTTGGTGACGTGTACCTTTGGTGACGTGTACCTTTGGTGACGTGTTCGAAGAGTATGTGGGGCTGGTTCTGCCGCACCCAGGTGATGATCCACCGTGGCTGGAACAGCACCCTGCACCCCACGCACGCACAGGCACAATGTAAGTTGGCTACATTATCCCATGCCCTGCCATGCCATGCCATCTTAGGCGAAACCATGCCATGATCCACCGTGGCTGGAACAGCACCCTGCACCCCACGCACACGGGTCATGGACGATTGCACAGGCACAGTGGAAGTTGGTTGCTGAGAATTCTCAAAGTGACTCAGATATAGCCGTGGCTGGAACAGAACCCTCCACCCAACGCACAGGCACAATGGAAGTTGGCTAGACTATCCCATGCCCTGCCATGTTATGTCATCCCAGGCGAAACCATGCCATGACAAACTATCCCATTCACCTGGTAACCATTTGAATAAGGCTTATATGGTAATCATAGGGATCTTGCAATCTATTCCACGGCGATGAACACCGTGAAGCCCAGGCCCCAGCACCTGCAGTGGCTGTGAGAGCGACTTTTGAGGTACCTCAAAGGGCCAGCGCACCTGCGGTGGCTATGAGTGCGCTGTCAGTGCAATCAGGTAACCCACTCACGTGGTGGTAACCATACGAAAAGCAACTTTCATGTGGTAACCATATGAGAAGTGACTCACCCACAGCGACGAACAGCGCAAAGCCCAGTCCGAGAGCGCAAGCAGCGGCGGTGGCGGCGAGGAGGGCGCTAGCAGGCCCACCAGCGACGGCACCACCACCTCCCACTCCACGAGTAGGGTTACCACACATGTGCAGTGCCCTTACAGACTCACCCCACAGCGATGAACAGCGCGAAGCCGAGTCCCAGCGCGCCTGCAGCGGCGGTGGCGGCGAGGAGGGCACTAGAGGGCGTCACCCCCACCAGCGACGGGACCAGCACTTCCCACTCCACTCCGCTGCCGCTCATTGCCGACGCTGTAGCGAGCGGAGGAGCCTGGGTGACTGTAGCGAGAGGTATGGTCGAGGTTGTAGAGAGGGAAGTTGGAAACGCTGTGGCGTGAGGAAGGCCGATTTCCTGGGGAGACGCGGCAGGAGCGGCGAGCGCGGGCGAGCAGCAGACGACCAGAGCGAATAATGCTGATGCTGCTGCAGCGGTGGCGGCTGAATCGGCAGTGGCGGCAGTGGCGGGGACGAATTCGTCTGCGGCAGAAATTCGAGGAAAGGCAATCCCACCAGGAGGCGTTGCGATGAAGCGAGCTGGGGGCGACAAGCTGGCGACGATTCGAGCGACGGTTGCGACAGGAATAATCGCAGACTCTGGAGCAAATGAGCGGCAGAAATTGTCGCAGACTTTGTATTTTTGAGCGGAAGGATCGGCAGGAGAGAATTTGCGGGATGGAATAAACTTGAGGAGGGGCAATGGCAAGGGCGGACTAGTCTTGATTATGGCGGGATTTGGGGGCGTAGGAGAGCGAACAGCGCAAGGGCGTGCCGAGCGGTCTAGTCGAATGCGATTGGGGATGCGACGGTTCACGCGAAGGGCTGCAGCGCAGGTGATAGACGGTGGGCGACAACGACGGCCGGTGAGTGCGACGGGTGCGACTGGCTGTGCGACGACACGGGCTGCTCGCATGAGGCCAGCGACGCGTTATGGAGAGAAAATGAGGCGAGAGGCGAAGGATGTGAGCATTGAAGTGAGGAGAGGCAATAAGGGGTGGCTTCGTCTTGCAGTTGATCGACGCGTGTCGTCGAGTCAAACGAAGCCACCTAGCAACGCACAGGGGGCATCAGCCAGCAACCATCAGCCATCAACAGAGCCCCATCTTTTCTGGTTTGATGGGACTTGCCTTGCCAACCAACTGACGAGGGAGCGAGCCTGGGGGATGAATGGGTGGCGGAGATGTTGGAAGGCGCGGAGTTGGTGGCGCGCTGGCGGTGACGAAATGCTGACGAGAGGTGTGGTGGCTCTGATGAAGCACGAGGTACAGCGGAACCGTGGCACGCGCCCGCGCTAATCTGCGACATACCGTAACATAATTGTCAGCTGGGACCTCTTAGAGTTACAGCAAAGCCAATCTTCCAGTAACTTCACCAGAAAACATTCTTCTCCCTCCCAACTCACTTCCATGCAGGCTCCAGCCTAATCTGTGGTTTCACCTGCTTGAGAACAAAACATGGCATTATGACAAAAATTGCCCTTGATGTTTCTACCTAGTTGTTGCTGGACAGCAATTATTTATGCCGCCACTGTTTTCTAGCTGAGCTTGGCATGTGCCTCGTGCAACTTCTCCATGAGCACTTCACTCATCTTACTGCACCCCACCACCTCCTGCAACAACAAAACATGTAAGGAGAGTGATGCAGTGTTGAAAGATATGGTCCACAAAGTTAACACGATAAAAGGATAAGCCAACGTCGCCAGCAGTTACAAAAAACAAGACTACACTCCAAGGAGATTGTGGAACAAAACAAGATAACACAAACTTACCATGCCAGGAGAAGCAATGTCGCCAGTCCTGTACCCGGCCTCCAGAGTACTCATGACAGCAGCCTCCAATAGGTCAGCGCCACGTGGCAGGTTGAGCCCGTAGCGCAGCATCATGGCGGCTGAGAGCACCTGTGCCATCGGGTTAGCCTTGTCCTGCCCCGCAATGTCCGGTGCCGAACCGTGCACCGGCTCATAGATGCCCGGGCCCTGAGGAGTGGTGGAGGAGTGGGAAATTGTGGAGAGGGGAGTTTATTTACTAGGTGCCTCAGAAAAAGGGTTGCTTTGTCCTGCCCTGCAATGTCCGGTGTCAACCCATGCACTGGCTCATAGATGCCCGGGCCCTGAGGAGTGGTGAAAGAGTGAGGAGACGGGAGAGGCGAAGGGGACAGCAGGGTGGTTTGGTTGGATTGAGTGAGCGGGCACCGCAGATGAATAGAGAGGATGGGGGGAAATGCTTGACAGTCGTGCAAGAAGTCCCTTTGCAAGTAAGTAATGTGGCACGATATTCCGTCATGCCAGCAAACTCCCTTTCTTCGCCCCTCCTCCCCCCTCCTCCACCCTCCTCCCCCTCCACTGACTCACATCAGAGCCAATGCTGGCGGAGGGCAGCATGCCAATGGACCCCGTCGGCATGGACGCCTCGTCTGAAAGAATATCCCCAAAGATGTTGCCGGTGACGATGGTGTCAAACTGGACCTTTCCCCCCCCCTCTCCCCCACCCCAAGGAGACTCACATCAGAGCCAATGCTGGCGGAGGGCAGCATGCCGATAGACCCCGTCAGCATGGACGCCTCGTCGGAGAGGATATCCCCAAAGATGTTGCTGGTGACGATGGTGTCAAACTGGCGCGGGTTGCGGATGAGCTGCATGGCGGCGTTGTCCACATACATGTGCGACAGCTCCACGTCCGGGTACTCCTCTGCCCCGATGGCTGTCACGCGCTCGCGCCACAGCTGCGACACCTCCAGCACGTTCGACTTCTCCACGGAGCACAGCCGCCCGCTGCGCTTGCGCGCCGCCTCAAACCCCACCCGTGCAATCCGGTCAATCTGGCAGGCAAGGAGAGGGGGAGCACGGGGGGGAATTGGGAAGGAAGGCGGAGGGGGTTGGGGGAAGGGGGAAGGGGAAGGAGATGGGAGGGGGAACGGGGAAGGGGAAGGGGAGGGAAACGAATGGGTGGGAGTCATCTCAAGTGTCTTGGAGTGAGCTCCACGTCCGGGTACTCCTCCGCCCCGATGGCCGTCACGCGCTCGCGCCACAGCTGCGACACCTCCAGCACGTTCGACTTCTCCACGGAGCACAGCCGCCCGCTGCGTTTGCGCGCCGCCTCAAACCCCACTCGGGCAATGCGGTCGATCTGGGAAGCCAGGGAAAGGGGAAGAGAGGGGAGAAATCGGGAAAGGAAAGGGGGGTGGGGGTGGGGGTGGGGGTGGGGGTGGGCGGGGGAAGGAGGAAGAGGAGGGAGAAATAAAGTGGAAGGAGGGAGGCAGGGGGAGGGTAGGGCATGGTGAGAGACGGTTCAGGAGTCTTGGAGTGAGGTCCACCACATCCGGGTTCTCCTCGGCCCCGATGGCCGTGACGCGCTCGCGCCACAGCTGCGACACTTCCAGCATGTTCGAAGAGAGGAAGCGGGGAGGGGGCGGAGGAAGAGGGGAAGCGAGCAGGGGGAAGAGCGTGGGTGGAAGACATTCAAGGTGTTCTCAAATCCCAACCAGACAAACGGTCGAATTGGGCAGCACGACGAGGGGAAAGGGGAGAGAGACGTTGAGACGCAAGGAGAGCGTGACGCAAGGGAAGGGCGTGGGTGGGAGAAGTTCAGGTGTCCTCGGGACACACCCCAGGAGATGCGGTCGCTCTGTCAGGTTTAGATGGAAAAATGGGGTGGAGGGTGGTTGAGTGGGAATGAACTCAAGTGGTGAGAAGGGATTAGAGCAGAAGTTCTAGAAGAATGAAGAGATTGGGGGACATTGGGTTGGCACGGACGGAAAAAACAGGGGGAAACTGGAAAAAGGAGGCAAGGGTGGCAGGACAGTGGAAGAAAGGAGATTTTAAGGAATATATGTGAAGAACATACCTCAGGAGCGGAGTAGATCATGGTGTTGAAGCCTGTCCTGTTGCCCTCTGCATCCTGTCCGAAGCCCTTGGGCTCCCCGAAGTAGATTCCTGCACCATGTTACGAGCAGCACGCAGAGCCGTGAAGGGAACGGGGGGGGGGGGGGGGGGGGGGGGAGGAGGGGGGTTTAACATTTGTTTCAGAGAATGAAACTCAAGCTCCACATACCAAGCACAAACAAACATCACAGCCTTACAGGTTCACCAGGATGATCGCGTTTCAATCCTGCTGCTCCTATGATTTCAGGCACGATTGTAGTCCTCACATCCCCTTCGTTTGCTTCTCTTCCAATTCCTCGCCTTCAATTAAATTCCAATTCCCCCTTCGCCTCACTCCCATTTCCTTCGCTCTACTCGTGATTCCTTTGCTCCACTTCCAACTCCTTCGCCTCACCTCCATTTCATTCAGCTCAATTGCCCCACACCTCGTCAGTTCTCGCACCACAACGACTCACCGCCCGTCAGTTCTCGCACCACCACGACTCACCGCCCGTCAGTTCTCGCACCACCACGACTCACCGCCCGTAAGTTCGCGAATCACCATGATGTCAACGCCCTCCACCACCTCGCGCTTCAACGACGACGCCTCGATCAGCTGCGGGATGCGTGAAGAGGAAATCGCGGGAAGTGGACGGGATATGTGAACCAGGGGGAAGGAGGTGTGGGAACCAGGGGGACAAGACATGCCAGGCAGGGGAGCACAGCATGATGCAGGATCGGTGGAAAAGATACGTTCCTTGCACCAGGAGAGCAGAAGGCGATTAACAAAGACCTAGCCGATACACGTCAACGCTTCGTCCACGTGTTAACAAATTCATCGTACTTCAAGCGCGCAATCCGAACACCATCTCATGACTAGGCCAATCTGCCCGTTAGTAGAATGAGGAGCTACACAGCGAGTAAACCAGCTCATCAAGCGTGCTGGTGCAACTCGTGCAATGCAACTAGCACAGAGACCGCTACCACTCTGTTACTGTGTGCCGCCACACATGAGGGACGAGGGTGGCGACTCGACTAAACAAGGAATCATGCGCGCTAGCGCAAAGCGTGCGATGCAACTAGCCCAGGGCAACTTCCAGTCTGTTCAGAAATGTCGCTGCGCCTGGGGACGACTGCTAAGGCGCGCCTCGAAAGAGCAATTATCCTGTAACTACTACCGCCATCGGTCTGTTCAGGAATACGGCCGCACCTGGGGGAAGACGGTGGCGGGGCGCAGATTAGCGAATGCGCCGAGCCCCGCGCGCAGCCCCAGCAGCCCGCGCTCAGGGCGGAGATCTGCGGGCAGGGTGTCCCACTTGTACCTGCGGAGCGGGAGTGGGTGATTAGGGCAATGCGGGGGATGTCAAGGGAAAGAGAGTTGGAAGGTAGTGGTGGGGTTGTAACTGGAAATAACGAGGCATGCACCAGTCGGGAGCAATAGCAACGACGGGAAATCAGGACCGCCTTATTTCCTGATCTAATGTTGCTGCATTTATACACTTCTACCTCTACAAGCGAACAATTGGCTAATCGTGGCTCCACCCACCCTCCAATGGCAGCGAGCAGAACGGCATCGCTGTCGCGGCACGTGGCGAGGGTTGATTCGGGGAGAGGCACGCCGAATTCGTCGATGGCCGCACCTCCGACCAGAGCCTCCTGGAACTCAAAGGTGATGCCTTCCAATTCGCCGAGAGCCTTGAGCAGCTTCACAGCCACTGCCATGATCTCAGGGCCGATTCCGTCGCCCGGCAGCAGCGTGATGCGACACTTCTTCGTCGCACCGTCGCCTGCCGCCGCCATCACTGGCTGTCTTCTGCGACTGCTGCTCCCATTCGCACAGGTCCTGCGACGATTCGCGACAGACTTGCGGCTGTGGGGGACCGCAGAGAGACCGTTCGACTTCACGGACTTGGCGAAAGCCTTTAGAGAGGACGACTCTCCCTCTGCAGAGGAGAGTTGCGCGGCGGTGAAATGCGCGCAGACCAACGAGCGAGCAGTCGCAGTCGCCATGGAGGAAGGCGGGATGCAGCAGATCACTCTGGTCAACGGAGTTGATGGCTATAAGAGAAACCCTCAGCCCTGCGAAATGCAGCTCTAGGTAAAATGGGAGGTGGAGGGAGTTTAGGCGTGAGGCGAGTGTGTGAAATCTGACCAGCAGGGCACACTTCGGAGGGACGATGTTGACGTGACAATGTGCCAGCGTTGCGGGAGCCAATAACAGCCACGCTTTGTTGAGATGTTGCTTGGTGGAACCACGTCAGCCAATGTAGAATTTACAGAATAATGCTACACTTTCATGAACAAAAGGCTTTGGAAAGCTAAGCCTCATCCACCTCATAATCCTCCTCCTGTGGAGCAACAAAGAACTCTACAAATGATGTCCTTGCACTCCTATTCTGCTGAGTTTGGCTCCTAGCCCCATCCTGGGTTGGTTGAGAAAAGGCAGGAAGACTGCCCACTCCAAATGCATCTGGAGCATCATTAGCATTTCTTCCACCAGGCCCAGTGGCTCGCATATTCACAACATGCTGCACTCTCAACAGGCCATGACGGTCGATTGTCAGTTTACTCGCATGGTTTTCCTTTAGAACAGCAGCAGGAATGCTAGCAGTTGCTGCACTGAGATGCTTGTAGCGATACCTGCACAGCGAGGCATGGGAAGTTCAGCTATGGCTTAAATTGAAAGACACATCCAGAAATATTAGTCCTTACAGGAATGAAACAGGCCGGTGACATTTGAAGTCAACAAAAAGGTTGTTGCACCGCCCAACAAGGAGATCAACCTGCAAAGATCAGAACGGTTGCCAAAACGTCATGGATGAGAAAATAGCACAGGCAAAAAGAAAAGTAGCTATGTCAAAGTGTGGCATCCATCAGTTACCCCAACTTGCTGACCTGTAAGTCACCATGGCCTTGTGCCAAAAACGTCACTCCTGCTGGCTGGGGGCTGATGGAGATTCGAACACTGGCACCAGGCCATTCCAGATCCTCAATCAACTCCTTGAGAACACCAGACTGGGAATGTCACAAAGAAACCGTTATTACTCGGAAATGAAAAAGATGCTGCAAAAGCGAGGGGATGCTGCAGAATAAAACTCACCCGAATTGCAAAGCTGACCGGTGCGTTTTGCGGAGTCGATGTGTCAACATCCAGCGCCCATTCAGGCGGGTTCATATCAGGAAGCAGAGTACGAATCTCCGCTCCAATGCTGCTGTTGCTATTGGATGGATCCGAAAGCCTGAAGACGCCTGATTGCAAATCCCCCACCACACAGGCAGAAGAAATATCCTCACAATCACGATAAGAAACGTATCCCCCGGAACACACGCACAGCTGCTGTAAGGTAAGTCTCACTTGAGCAGGAGTTGATTATCAGGCCCAGGATACCGCAAAGTTAGTACATGTCCTGTGGTAGCTGACGCAGAGAACGCCGACAAGCAGTCAATCAGTAGAGACAAATTGATGCCGAAACGATAACGGACATCTGGTCGATAAACGTAGTCCATGAAGAGCTGCATGGGCACTTAATAAGGTTAGAAGATATTTCTAAGAATAACCTCATTTGACAGTCCTACAGAAGGGCCTCAAATGGTTCAGGTGACAAATTCCGACCTCTTTCCTGAAAAAGGCACGTGCGTGCAGGCAATTAAGCTCCTCTGCTACGACCACAAGACCCGTCTCGGACATCTCAACAACCGCTTCCTGCGATTAAATTTTGAAGAGAAGGCTCTGTAAGTAACGTGGACCGCACAAATAAAGGTAATGATAATGCTAAATTGGTTCTACCTCGTACCTGCTGACGTTTCCATTTGATCGTGGTAAGCTCGTCAACGAGACTGGATGTGCTTACAAGGGTACAAACTAGGTCGAAATCCATGGCCAAGGCTCGAACAGAAGCCACTAGAATGCTAAGTCAACGTAGAATGCGACCAGACACTAAAGATGAATACCATTTCTGAGAGCAGGGATGGTGACTCATGGGTCCAGGAACAAAAGCGTCAACTTCACCCTTCCCCCAATTGGGTACTCGGGGATGGGAAATGGGTTTGTTGTGGTGGATGAGTGGAAAACAAGGCGGAAATCTGGCGGAAACTGTTACCGAGGTGCTTGAAATCCCAGGTTCCGCGCAAAAGGGTTGAGCTGTGCGGCTTTGTGCAGGGCGGAGCGTTGTTGGAATTCGCGCGTAAATCTCTGGGCGCTCGCGCAAAAAGGCGGAGAGTAGCCCCTGCTGATTGGAGGTTTGGTAGAACGAGCCCAATGGTCGGCCTGGAGCCTCCGAGGTTTCGAGCAGATGGGGTGAGAGTGGGGGTGGCTCGGAAGAGGGTGTTCCGCGGGAAAGCGGGCAGCAGCCAGCCACATTTGAGTGAGCTGTGATGGCTCTCCTCTCCAACCAATCCCAAGGCGAGGTCGAGGGAACACGTCAAACAAATGGATGATCCCAAGGCTGGGCCTCAGCTCTGCACTTCTGGGTCCGGCCGGGGTCTTTGGGTGTTCGGTCTTGTAATTTCTGAAGATAATTTCCCCGGTCATATTATTCTGTGACTGTGCTAAAAAACAAAAAAAACAGAAAACATCAAATGTCATGGTGGTCGGGACTGAATTCCCAGACAAAAAAAAGAAAGGCATCCAGGGTGAATAACCACCGAAGAGAACTAAGCTGCCCGTTTTCGCGATTTGCTCGGCTCCCATTTTCGCTTCCTCTGGTCGTCCAACCATCCTTGCGTCCTCATATTCTCTATCCATCGTTTGTCTTCATTTCTCCGACTCTAGTTTCCTGGTCCCTCATCCATCCAGTGAACCTGCCAAGCTTTTCTCTGTCATCTCGTTTACTTTGAAACCCTTCCGATGGTTGACATGGGTTGGACCTTTCTTCTTGATAGTTTTCCAGATCTTCATCACCGTCGACTGTGCCCTTGACTATCAGCTTTACTTAAGACTCGAGGGATTGTAAGTCGCATGATGTCCTCAGCATCTCGTTGAGTGCATTCTTCTTACAGAAGAAAAAGTGGTGGTCTTAGAAAACAGAGAAACTCAATTAGTGCGACTACTCATTCTTTCATCATGCATAGGTCGAAGGCCATCCGTGAGCGGGACTGGTGGAGTGTTCTTGAGATTCACGAATAGCATTCGCCTTTGCTTCCGCGCTCAAACCTGACAGATCTTATTTGTTTCTTTCACTCTCATTTAGTTTTCCACCTTTTTTGTATCAACGATGACATCATTTGACTTGGGGTGCTGAGATCTGTGGGCTTCTCCACCCTCTCCCTTCCCCCCCTCCCTTTTTTTTTGCAATCTATCTGCTTATAGCTCGCATAAGAGAATTTCAAGTGGTCATTTTTTTGTCTCTTTTGCCTGACCCTTCCTGTCTTTTCTTCTCAGGTCAGAGAGCGTACTGGAGAAGTTCAGAGGAGTCCAGACTCTCAGCACCCCTCAATTTTCTAGTAAAAGGCAACAGCGATGCAGAATCCGAACCAACACCTGCAGCCGGACCAGTCCCACCAGCAGCAGTACCCACCCCATCCCCAGCATCCCCAGGGTCCTCCCTTATCACAAACGCCACCCACCCTGCTTTCCGGCCCACAGCAGCCGAAGCACCTTGGCCCTTCCCAACAGATCCCTTTGACTCAAGCATTAGGGGCTCATCCAGGCCCGACTCCCCACGGAATCCCGCCTCATCTCCTGCAGCAGCGGCATCTGCAGCAGTCCGCGCAGCCTCCGGTGCAGGCGCAGCAGAGGGCGGTGCAACGGCAGCAGCAGACGCTGCTCACCCAGCCGCAGCAGCAGGGTCCTCTGTCGCAGCCTCAGCATATGCCGAAGCAGCAGCCGTTGTCGCAGCAGCAGCATAAGCAACAGAAGCATGAGCACGCAGCGCAGTCCATGCAGCCGAAGCAGCAGGGTCCGCCGCAGATGCAAGCCATGGCTCAGCAGATGCAACCGCAGCTGCAGGCGCAGTTGCTGCAGCGGCAGCAGCAGCAGCAGCAGCAGCAGCAGCAACAGCCGCAGGATCAAAGGCGGCAGCAGCCGTTACACCAGCAGGTCCCACCTCACGCGCTCCAACAGCAAGGGATGCACCCAGGCCAGCCCATGCACCAGCAACAGCGGCAGGTGCAGCAATCCCCAGCGTTGGCGCCAAGACAGCAGCTGATGATGGCTCAGCAGCAGCAGCAGCACCAGCAGCAGCAACACGTGCCTTCAGGACTCATGCAGCCGCAGCAGCCGCCGCAGTTGCAGCAGCAGCATCAACAGCAGGCGGGAGTCGCAGCACAGAAGCATCCACAGCATCAACAGCATCAGCAGCAGCATCCGAGGCCGTTAGGCCAGCTTCCCGCCCAGCAGCAGGTGCTGATGGGACAGCAGCAGGCAGCAGTGCACGGGCAGAAGCCGGTGCAGCAGCAGGGTGTGCTGATGCAGCAGCCGGGTATGGGGCAGCAGAGACAGCTGAAGCCACAGCAGCCGGCGCAACAAGCTGCGCATGCAGTGCAAACAGATGCACAGCATCCCGTGCCTGCAGCGCAGATGCAGCAGCATCAGCATCATCCGCAGCAACAGCAGCAGCAACATCAGCAGCAGCAGCAGCAGCCGCAGCCGCAGCAGCAGCAGCAGCAGCAGCAGCAGCAGCAGCAGCAGCAGCAGCAACAGCAGCAGCAGCAGCAACAACAGCAGCAACAGCAGCAACAGCAGCAGCAGCAACAACAGCAACAGCAACAGCAGCAGCAGCAACAGCAGCAGCAGCAAAGGCAGCAGCAGCAACAGCAGCAACAGCAGCAACAGCAGCAGCAGCAGCAGGGCGGTAAACTGACAACAAACGACGCCCTTGCGTATCTGAAGGCTGTGAAGGAACGGTTTCGAGACGAGAAGGACAAATACGACGAGTTCCTCGATGTCATGAAGAACTTTAAGGCACAGCTGTGAGTCTTGCACCTTGCAAGTTCGTCACACAATTGCATGCCCTTTCTCAATCGCATGATTGTAATTCTGTAAATACTCCCTCCTTCTCCCTCGTCCGCTTTTCTTCTCTTTTCTCTTCTTCCATTCCCTCGCTCGCGTCTGTCTTTGCTCCTCTTTCCACCCCCCTCAGGCTGTCTGACACTGCCCCTATGTTCTCACACCTTTTTGTTCTTTCCATCTATTGTTTCCCGTGTGCCAGGATCGACACAGCAGGAGTGATAGCGCGCGTGAAAGAGCTCTTTGTGGGGCACAGGCAGCTCATTCTCGGCTTCAACACCTTCCTGCCCAAGGGCTACGAAATCACCCTTCCGCCCGAACCTACAACTCCAGTCCCTGCCCCCGCACCCGCACCTCCGCCTCAGCCTCGGTCCGCGCCTCCTGCGGTGGCTCGGCCGCCCATCACCCCTTCCGGACCTGCAGGGCCCATGCCGGTCGCTCCTGCTGGTGGGGTTCCCCTAGGGCCTGGAGCAACTAGTGCAGCCCCCCATGGCCCCCCACTGTCAGTGCCGCATGGGGGTGCTGGGAGTGGGGCTGTAGCAGCCACACGCACCCCGCCCCTCCCTGTGGCGCCCGTGGGAGCAGGCGCAGGAGCAGGAGCAGGAGCAGCAGCAGGAGTGGGAGGAGCTGCAGCAGTGGTTGCTCCTGGTGCAGGTCATGCTGGGGGAGGTGCACCTGCCGCTGCTGCTGCGGCTGTGCCTGGTGGTGGTGGGGCTGCTGTTGCTCCTAGTGCGGCCGGTGCTCCTGGTAGTGCTGGTGCTGGCGCTGTTGCTGGTGCGGGTGCTCCTGCTGGTGCTGCTGCGGCTGGGCCTGCAGCAGCAGCGGGAGGCGCAGGAGGAGCAGCGGGCGCGGCAGCAGCGCCAGCTGCTCGGAGCAAGATGGTGGAGTTTGACCAGGCAATCAGCTATGTCAACAAGATTAAGGTATCGTACAACCTTGCCAACACCAATATCAACACCAACGCCAGTCATGTTGACCATCGCACAGTTCTTGCCCTTTTCCTGCTGCGGCATCTCGTTTTGCGCGTCGATGGCATGTCAGTCAGTTCTCTTTTGGCCCTCTGCTGGGTACTAGTCGGCATTAAAAATAATCTCTGTCATCCAGATAAACGTCCGCGTGCCGAGCTCCTTATCTTGACCACGACGCGCCTCTCTCTCTCGCTCGTTCCTCCAGGCCCGCTTCGCGGATGACGAGTCGGTGTACAAGAGCTTTTTAAGCTTGATAAGCAATGGTCGTTCCGGTGCTCATTTTGCTGCTTGTTTGCTTTCCTGTGTGAATCGCTCCCCCAGGCTCGCTTTGCGGACGACGAGTCCGTGTACAAGAGCTTTCTGGAGATCCTTAACATGTACCGCAAGGGCAACAACAACATTGGTGACGTTTATAAGGAGGTTAGTAGTCTGTCGGTGCTTGCTTGTTGTCGTTCCATCCTCGATGTGCAATGCTGGCTGTGCTGGTGTAGTCTGCTGGCTCCTCTTCCTGCCAGACTCTTCTGCTGCCCATGCATCTGTGAATTCAGCAGCAGCGATTCTTTTATCTGTCAGCAGCAGCTGACCACTTGGACCTGCTACCTTGAGGAGTCACATTCTTCATGCCAAGCTCTGCTGCTGCAGGCCATACATGCATCAATTGACTTCAACAAATTCCTTGCTTCTTTCGTTCCCCCCTCATGCTCCAGGTGGCCACGCTGTTCAAGGACCACTTAGACCTCCTAGAAGAGTTCACCTTCTTCCTGCCGGACTCTGCTGCTGCTGGCTATGCACCAGTCAACTCACAGAGGTCCCGTCATCCCTTCATTCCGCCATCCCCCACTCACACACACCCCACTCGCTCCAGGTGGCAACGCTGTTCAAGGACCACTCGGACCTCCTAGAGGAGTTCACCTTCTTCCTGCCCGACTCCGCTGCCAGTCACCTACCCCAGTGGCGAGGGGTGGGCCCGCCCCCACCCGGAACTGCTGCTGCTGGCGCCAGTGCTGCTGGAGGTGCAGCAGGGGCAGCAGCAGGCGCAGCAGCAGGGGCAGCAGCAGGGGCAGCAGGAGGGGGAGCAGGAGTGGCAGGGGCGGCGGCGGCACCGGGAGCACGGGCGGGTGCAGCAGCTGCTGCTGCTACAGCTGGCGCTGCTCCTGGGGCTGCTGTTGCCGCTACAGCCGCTGCTACAGCTGCTGGAGCTGTGGCTCCTGGTGGCCGGGCAGAGAAGGCCAAGGTGTGTTTGGTTGTAGGCCATAGCGTCTATTCTGTTTCTTGTTTACTCGTGTGCATTCCTCAAGATCTGCTCTGTTCCTCTGATCTTGTCTTGAGGCCCTCAAGTTGAGGGTCTCAGTGCTTTCTCACCTTACGTCTTTAAGAGCCCCTACCTAGTCAGTGATTCAATCATGTGTTCCTCCTCTTGCTTGCAAGTTTTCTTGCCCTGCAGTGGCATCTCTGGCTGCTTCTGCTGTTGTGTGGTGGTGGTGATGGCTCGCCGAGGTCCCTTCCAGCTAAATGCTATCTAGCCCTCCTCTCCCTACAAGACTGCCTCCTGTGTTTCTTGACTCTGATGTGCAGAGGGAGAAGGATGGGGACCAATCAGAGAGGAGGAGGAAGGGGGCGGAGGGGCGGGGCAAGGAGAAAGACGCGGAGGGCCGAGGGAAGGTGAAGGAGGAGGTAGAGGAAGACCCCTCAGCACACCATCCGAAGCGTCTGCAGCAACAGCAGCAGCATGTGGATGCTGCCCATCCACATTTGCACCCCGCACACCAACCAGCGGGCCTAGGTGTGGGAGGGGTGCAGCAAGCTGGGGAGGAGGGCTCTCACAGAAAGCAGCCTCTGCTGCTGGACCTGCAGAAACCACCAAGGGAGGCAGAGCTGCAGGTAGAGGAGAAACGGGTTGGGCTGGTGCCGCCGCAGCTGCAGCACCCGCAGCCCATGCAGGTGGACGGGACTGGGAAGGAGGGGCATGGGGAGTGGGGGCAGCAGCAGCAGGAGGAGCGTGAGGGAGCGGGGCATGCGGTGGTGCAGCCGCCGCAGCAGGCGCAGCAGGGGCCGAAACGGAAGGGGCGGAAGGGGGAAGAGGGAGGGAAGAAGAAGGAACCTGCAGGAGCGGCAGGGGAGGGTGCAGGAGCGGACGAGAGGAAAGGGAGCAGGGGTGAGTGGGGCTAGTAGGATTTATCGGCAGGGATGTTAGTGTGGGGTCGAATTAAAGGGGTGGGCTGGTATGGTTTCATAAGTCTCTGTCAATGCCTAACTTTCTCTCTCCCTCCCACGTGCCTGCTTCTTCCTCCCTTCCTCTCACTCCTCACTATCTTCCTCCGTTCCTTGTTTTTCTATCCCTCTCACTTTCTTCCCCTACCTCCCCTTCCTCCCCTCCCCCCCCCCCCCAGCCCTGGGCATGCACAGGGAGCTGGCGTTTTTCGAGAGGGTGAAGGCGAGGGTGCGCAGCAGGGAGGTGTATCAGGAGTTCCTCAAGTGCCTCAACATCTTCTCCCAGGAGATCATCGCCCGCGCCGAGCTGCAGAGCTTGGTGGGGGATATTCTCGCCAAGCACCCCGACCTGGTCGAGGGATTCAACGAGTTTCTGGCACGATGCGAAAACCTAGGTGAGCCTTCGTGGTACTGGGGGGAATGTTTTCTGAGGTGACCCAGAGTCTGGGTGCTTTCCTAGGCGCGCCGAGCTGCAGAGCCTAGTTGGGGATATTCTCGCCAAGCACCCCGACCTGGTTGAAGGGCTTTAACGAGTTCCTAGCTCGATGCGAGAACCTAGGTGAGTTGTTAGTCTCTCGTGGTCTCAGAGTAGTACCTCGGTGACCCAGACCCGAGCTGCAGAGCCTCGTGGGGGACATTCTCGCCAAGCACCCCGACCTGGTCGAGGGCTTCAACGAGTTCCTGGCTCGATGCGAAAATATAGGTGAGTGTTTGTGGTACTGGGTGGAGATGTTCTTATAGGCAACCCAAAGTCCTGGAAATCTTGAAAGGAGTGACGAGCTGCAGAGCCTCGTGGGGGACATTCTCGCCGCCAAGCACCCGGACTTGGTGGAGGGTTTCAACGAGTTCCTTGCACGATGCGAAAACCTAGGTGAGTTGTTAGTCTCTCATGATTTTAGGGTGGTATCTGGCTGACCCAGACCCGAGCTGCAGAGCCTAGTTGGGGATATTCTCGCCAAGCACCCCGACCTGGTTGAGGGCTTTAAGGAGTTTCTGGCTTGATGCGAAAACCTAGGTGCGTATTTGCGGCACTGGGGAAGTGTTTTTTTAGGCACACCTGGTTGCTTACTCTTATCTAGCGTAAAAGCATTACATTTAGATCTACATGCGCGTGCTGATTCGTACATGTATTGTCTGTTGTGCATGTGTGTCGACTGGTTTTCCAATCGTTTTGCAGACTTTGAGACGTTGGAGTCAGCAGCAGGAGGGCCAGGGGTGAAGGTGGAGGAGGAAGAGCGGAAGGAGGGTGGGGAGAAGGAGAGGGAGCATGAGAGAGCGGAGACGAAGGAGAGGGAGAGGAAGGAGGTGGGGGAGCGTGAGAAGGAAAAGGAGGGATTGAGGAAGAAGGAGAGGGAAAGGGAGCGAGGGAAGGACCATGGGCATGTGGAGAAGGAGGTAGAGGAGCGAGAGAGGGAGGAGAGGGAGAGGGAAGAGAGAGAACGTGAGGAGAAAGAGCGGATTAAGGAGAGGGAGAGGGAGGAGCGGGAGAGGGAACGAGAGAGGGAGCGGGAACGGGAGAAGGAGAGGGAGAGGGAGGCGAGGGAGCGGGAGCGGGAAGCAAGGGAGAAGGAGAAGGAGAAAGAGCGAGCAGCGGCAGCAGCAGCGGCGGCGGCGGCAGCTGCAGCCAAGTCAGTTGTAGCGAGGAAGGAGCAAGTGCAGTACAAGTCGATCTGTGAAATGGATCTGTCTGCTGCTGAGCGCTGTTCACCAAGCTACCGCCTCCTCCCCAAACCGGTGAGTTCCTTCGTTCTCTCTCCGCTCTCCTCTTCGTTTACTCCTTTTAACGCAACTTAAAAGGAGCAAGTGCAGTACAAGTCTATCTGTGAAATGGATCTCTCTGCTGCTGAGCGCTGTTCCCCCAGCTACCGCCTCCTCCCCAAACCAGTAAGTTCGCTTTCAGACAAATGCGCCCCATGTCATGCCACCGCACGGAGCGGGGACTGAATGTGCTTAGCAATGTGAGGTGACCCCCCCACCCTTTCCTCCCCTCCTCCCCCCACTACCCCCAAATCCTCCCTCCTCCCCCCTGCTGCAGCAAATGCGCCCTGTCTCGTGTCACCGCACGGAGCTGGGAATGAAGGTGCTGAACGATGTTTGGGTGTCTTCCCCAACCCGCACTTACTGTCCCCCTCACTCTAACCCTTTTTGATGCAGCAAATGCGCCCCGTGTCGTGCCATCGCACGGAGCTAGGAATGAAGGTGCTGAACGATGTGTGGGTGTCGGTGACGTCAGGCAGTGAGGACTACTCCTTCACGCACATGCGCAAGAACCAGTACGAGGAGTCGCTCTTCCGCTGCGAGGACGACCGGTGAGTTCCACCCATGCGCACCCAACTCCACCACTGCACACCCCTGCCCACTCCTGCCCACCCAGCCCCACCCATGACATGCCTCCCTCCCGCCACCTGTCCGCACCACTCCTTCACGCACATGCGCAAGAACCAGTACGAGGAGTCGCTCTTCCGCTGCGAGGACGACCGGTGAGTGCCACACCCATGCTCACCCATTTCCGCCCATGCCAACCCATGCGCACCCTTAAGCACCCATCCCCACCCGTCTCCATCCAACCTCCTCCCCTTCCTCCTCGCTCCCTATCAACCTATTGCAGCTTCGAGCTGGACATGCTGCTGGAGTCCACGGCAGTGACGGCAATACTTGACTCACACACACATTCCCCCCCCCCCCCTCTCCCCCCCCCCCCCCTCCCTCCCACTTCTCCCCTCTCACCCGCTGGCAGCTTCGAGCTGGATATGCTGCTGGAGTCCACGGCAGTGACGGCGCGGCGAGTGCAGGAGGTGATCGACCGCATGCACGGCATGACCGACGCCGAGAGGAGCGGCTTCAGGGTGGAAGAGAATCTCACTGGTGAGAGGGGCAGGGAGGGGAACAGGGCGCGGAGGGGCTTTTTTATTGCTAAGGACAAGTGACAGGGGCAGGGTACTTGTTCAAAGTCGAGTGCAGGAGGTGATTGATCGCATGCACGGCATGACCGACGCTGAGAGGAGCGGCTTCCGCGTGGAAGAGAACCTCACAGGTGAGAGAGGGAAGGGTGATGATGCCAGGTGACAGGGGCGGGGAACTCTTTGAAGGGCGAGTGCAGGAGGTGATTGATCGCATGCACGGCATGACCGACGCTGAGAGGAGCGGGTTCCGCGTGGAGGAGAACCTCACAGGTGAGAGAGACGGGGTATCTAACATCGCATGCATGGCACGACAGATGCAGGGGTGGGTGTGGTGCATAGAGCGCATATACGGCGACCATGGGCTGGACATCCAAGAATTGGTCAAGTGCACCCTGCTTCAACCGCTCCCCCATGGCACTCCCACTGTTCCTCCTACCACCACCACCACCACCACCACCCCTCCCCCACTCCCTCCAGCCATCAACATGTGGTGCATAGAGCGCATATACGGCGACCACGGGCTGGACATCCAAGAGCTGGTCAAGTGCACCCTGCTTCAACCGCTCCCCACGCCGCACTTTCTGTCTTTCCCCACCCTTGGCCCGTTCCCCACTTCCCCCTCTCCCCCCAGCCATCAACATGAGGTGCATCGAGCGCATATACGGCGACCACGGGCTGGACATTCAAGAGTTGGTCAAGCGCACCCTGCTTCACTCGCTCCCCTGTGCCCCCATTTCTCCCGTACCCACCCAGCCATCAACATGCGGTGCATAGAGCGCATATACGGCGACCATGGGCTGGACATCCAAGAATTGGTCAAGCGCACCCTGCTTCAACCGCTCCCCCATGGCACTCCCACTGTTCCTCCTACCACCACCACCACCCCTCCCTCACTCCCCCCAGCCATCAACATGCGGTGCATAGAGCGCATAGACGGCGACCACGGGCTGGACATTCAAGAGCTAGTCAAGCGCACCCTGCTTCAACCTGCTCTTTCCCACCATGCCCCTTCCGCTCCCCTCTCCCCCCAACCCCCATCCCCACACAGCCATCAACATGCGGTGCATAGAGCGCATATACGGCGACCATGGTCTAGACATTCAAGAGCTGGTGAAAAGGACGCCGGCGGTGGCGCTGCCGGTGGTGCTGCAGCGGCTGAAGCAGAAGCAGGAGGAGTGGGTGCGGTGCCGGGCGGAGATGAACCGCGTGTGGGCGGACGTGTATGCCAAGAACTACGCCAAGTCGCTCGACCACCGCAGCTTCTACTTCAAGCAGCAGGACAAGAAGAGCCTCAGCATGAAAGGTGCGCGTGCTTGGGGGGTGGGGTGGGCCGACAGCATGAAAGGTGCGTGTAAGGGGGGGCGGAGGGGTCGTGCCTGGTGGGAAGGTGGGCGTTTAGCTGCTTCATATGCAGGGAGGGCGGGAGCATGGAAGGTGGGAAGCAGGTGAGTGGGTGGGAGCAGAAGCAGGAGGAGTGGGTGCGGTGCCGGGCGGAGATGAACCGCGTGTGGGCGGACGTGTATGCCAAGAACTACGCCAAGTCGCTGGACCACCGCAGCTTCTACTTCAAGCAGCAGGACAAGAAGAGCCTCAGCATGAAAGGTGCGTGCTGGGTGGGCATTTAGCTGACCAATGTCCCACCCTTGGTCTCCATGTCGCTCTCATATTCCTATGACTTGGCCCCACATTTCTTTCATTTACACCCCCCCCCCCCCTCCCCCTCTCCCCCCCCCGTTCCACAGGTCTGCTGTCGGAGATTCGGGAGCTGAACGAGCAGAAGCACAAGCAGGACGAGGTGGTGGCGGCACTAGCTGTTCCCACACGCCCCTTTCATGTACCCCCCCCTTCCCTCCTCCTCCCTCCCCCAACCCCACAGGTCTGCTGTCGGAGAGTAGGGAGCCGAACGAGCAGAAGCACGAGCAGGACGAGGTGGTGGTGGCAGTGGCACTAGTTGTTCCCACACGCCCCCTTCATTTACCACCCCTCTCCCCCCCCTTCCCCCCTTCTTTCCCACAGGGCTGCTGTCAGAGATACGGGAGCTGAACGAGCAAAAGCACAAGCAGGACGAGGTGGCCGCAGCAGCACTAGCTGTTCCCACACGCCCCTTTGATTTATCTCCTCCCCCTCCTTCCCCCCCCCCCTCCCTTCTTCTTCCGCCTCTTCCCCCACAGGGCTGCTGTCGGAGATTCGGGAGCTGAACGAGCAGAAGCACAAGCAGGACGAGGTGGTGGCGGCGCTAGCTGTTCCCACACGCCGCCCGCTCATCCCGGACGTGCGGATGGCATACAACGACTCTGCCATCCACGAGGATTTGCACGAAATCATAAAATTCTCAACTGAGGAAGTGTGCAACTCGCCTGAGCAGTCCGCTAGGGTTATGAAGCTCTGGACGGGCTTCATCGAAATGTTTTTGAATGTGCCCGCAGTCTGGTCGAAAGTTGTTGCGGAGGAGAAAGCTGCCCGGGACGCGGAGATTGCTGCCCGAGAAGCTGCGAGGGCTGCCCGGGGAGGGGCGGGAGGGCGTGAGGGGGAGGGGAATGGAGAGGCTGGTGGGGGGGAGGGGGAGGGGGAGGGGAGGGAGAAGAGTAGAGATAAGGGGAGAGGGGAGGAGAGAAAGCGGGAGAGGCAAGGTGGGGAGGCAGAGGGGAAGAGGAAGAGAGGGAGGCATGATGGGGAGGGTGATGGGGCGGGGGTTGCCAGTGAGGGGCAGAGATCAGGGGGTAGGGAGGCAGGGTGGGATGGTCTGGAAGAAGGTGAATTCAATCCTGGGGGAAAGGCGTCAGAGGTAGCAGGAGGGGGAGGGGGAGAGGAAGAAGAGCCGCATGTGGTGAGGAAGAGCAGAAGCAGCTTGGTGCATGTGGGGGGAGGGGGCGGCAATGGGGGAGGAGCAGGGGCGGGGGGGATGGTGAATGGGGCAGCGCCGGGGGGAGCAGCAGGGAAAGGCAAGGATGCTAGTTCACGTGCTGCCGCTGCTGTTGCTGCTTCGGCTGCTGCTGCTGCTGCTGCAGCAAAGAGGAGGAAGAGGGGGAGGAGGGATAGGGAGGAGGGGGAGGATGAGAGTGTGAGGTCGGAGGGATCTAGTGCGGGTGAGTCTGATAGTGGGGGCGACGAGAGGAGGAGGCAGAGGCGGAGGAGGAGGGAGAGCGAGGGGCGTGAGGACGAGGAGGGGAGAGGGGAGGAGGAGGAAGACGATGAGGAGGCAGAGGATAGGGAAAGCGGGGGAGAGATGGGGGAGGAGGGTGGGGCAGGGGACGAGGAGGAGGAGGATGAAGAGGAGGAGGAGGGGGCGAGGGGTTGGATATCAGGGCTGGGACCAAAGGAGAGGCGGCACAGGGGGGGGAAGAAGTGGGGGAAGCATTGGTACAAGGCATGCCGCCCTGTGGTGGCCCATAGAGATTCGTTTGAAGCAGCTCGCTTGGGATCTGGTGGTGGTATACCACCAGCCGGTGTGCCTCTGTTGCTCCCTGCTGCTGCAGGCGAGGGTGTGGGGCGCAGAGGGAGGGATAGTGGGAACGGGAGGAAGGGAGAGAATGGTGCTGGTGGGGTGGGAGAGGGAGGGAGGGGAAGGAAGGGGAAGGGGCGAGCAGAGGTGGGGGGGGACGAGGAGGGCAAGGAGGGGAGGGAGCGTGAGGAGAAGGAGGAGAGGGAGAAGGAGAGGGAGAGGGAGCGAGAGAGGGAGCTGTCTGAGGAGCTGTGGGGAAGAGCGCAGGCAGAGGCAGGGGCGAGCAGAGTGATGTATGGCAACGACAGCATGTACATGCTCTTCAGGTTGCACCATGTGAGTGATAGCAAGCGAGTCACTATGTACATGCTGTTTAAAGTGCACCATGTGAGTCATGGCAAGTCACAATGTAAGTCATGGCAAGTCACAATGTACGGCGAGCAGAGTGGTGTATGGCAACGACAGCATGTACATGCTCTTCAGGTTGCACCATGTGAGTGATAGCAAGCGAGTCACTATGTACATGCTGTTTAAAGTGCACCATGTGAGTCATGGCAAGTCACAATGTAAGTCATGGCAAGTCACAATATACGGCGAGCAGAGTGGTGTATGGCAACGACAGCATGTACATGCTCTTCAGGTTACACCATGTGAGTAACAGCGAGTCATGCCATGTTGAGCAGTATCTATAGTTGTGCTTCTTGGACAAGATGACTGTGTGGCTTGAAGGAAAGGTGTTAGTAAATTCCGTGGCTGCAATCGACCTGTCACATTTCGTCACATTCTGACTGGGAGACTGTGGTTGGAAAGTTTTCAGCGTCTCTTCGACCAGCTTTTGATCGAATGGAGTGGGTTAAGGCTGTGACTGCAGAATATAAGACATGGGTAACCCTGTTGGGAGGTAGCACGGTAGCACTATGACTTACCCATGTCTTATATTCTGCAGTCACAGCCCCACTCCACTCGATCAAAAGCTGGTCGAAGAGACGCTGGAATCTTTCCAGCCGCAGTCTCCCAGTCGAATTGTGGAGGCATTGATGGCAGTGTTGCTGCAATCGACCTATCACATGTTTCATCATCTCACCACCTGTTCCCCTGCCTCTCTCCCTCACCTCCTTTATGCGCCCCTCTCCACCACCAGACGCTGTACGAGCGCATTCTGAGTGCCAAGGTGAATGCGCGGGCATCAGAGGAGAAGTACCGTGCACTCAACCACTCCGACCCGCCTGACCTCTACGCCAAGTGAGTGTGCCTTCACTTGTACTGCTTTGGGGAGTTTATTTCCTTGTGCAAGTCTTGCAAGTACCAACAGAAACCGTTTTTGGAACGCCTCAGGAACAGACTTCGCAACCTGCTGGATGGGCAGAGAAGGGCACATGGTGTGCTGCGCGTGCGCTAACTGTTGACTTTCTTGACTTCTCCCTTTGACTGAGCAGGTTTCTGGAGGTGCTATACAACCTGCTGGACGGGCAGATTGATAACGTGTTAGACGGGCAGAGAAGGCTGCAGCTGCAGGGACTCTATTTGAAAACTGTTCTCAAGACTGTGTTCCCTCGTTTCTCCCATTGACTGAGCAGGTTCCTAGAGGTGCTGTACCTGCTGGACGGGCAGAGCAGGGCACATAGTAATGCTGACTTTCTTGAGTCACTTGACTGCTCTCATCAGCTGAGCAGGTTCCTGGAGGTTCTGTAAAACCTGCTGGACTAGCAGAGCCAGGCACAATTCAGTACTGACTTTCTTGACTTCCTTGACTACCTTGACTGCTCCTGTTAACCAAGCAGGTTCCTGGAGGTGCTGTGCAACCCGTTGCACGGGCAGAGGAGGGCACACGGTGTGCTATGCAACTGCTAACCTCCTTAAATCTCTTGACTGCACCCAACTACCCGAGCAGGTTCCTGGAGGTGCTGTACAACCCGTTGCACGGGCAGCAGAGGAGCACATAGAGGTTTCAATTCTGACTTCCTTGACTTCCTTGACTTTCGTGACTGCTCTCATCCCCTGAGCAGGTTCCTGGAGGTGCTGTACAACCTGCTGGACGGGCAGATAGACAACACGCGGTTTGAGGACGAGTGCCGTGCCGCCATCGGCACCCAGTCATACGTGCTGTTCACCATTGACAAGCTCATCTACCGCCTCGTGAAGCAGGTGAGTTGCTGGCTGTGCCTGTTTCATGCCACTCTCTCATATGTCACTCTCACCTGTCACCCTCTCGCCATCGGCACCCAGTCCCACGTGCTCTTCACCATGGACAAGCTCATCTACCGCCTCGTCAAGCAGGTGAGGCTGTGTGAAGCAGGTGACTGATAGGATAGTGTGGGGATGTTAGTGTAATGTGAGAGTGCCGTGCCGCCATCGGCACCCACTCCTATGTGCTCTTCACCATCCACAAGCTCATCTACCGCCTCGTCAAGCAGGTGCGCTGCTACGGTGCTACCTGTCACGTGTCACACTCTCACGTGTCACCATCCATCTCGCCATCGGCACCCAGTCCTACGTGCTCTTCACCATTGACAAGCTCATCCACCGCCTTGTCAAGCAGGTGAGACCATGTGTGGTACGTGTGTGGCATGCGAGTGTGTCACATGTGAGTGCCATTCTCTCAGCACACGTGCTCTTCACCATCGACAAGCTCATCTACCGCCTCGTCAAGCAGTTGCTGGTTGTGTCTGTTCTGTTCCCTGACACTCTCTCTCATGCTACTCTCTCGCATATCACTTGCACCGTGTCCCATCTCGCCATCGGCACCCAGTCCTATGTGCTCTTCACCATCGACAAGCTCATCTACCGCCTCGTCAAGCAGGTGAGTTGCTGGATGGCTGCATCTCATGTCACTCTCGCATGTCATGAGGCTGCTCTCTTATGCCACTTTCCTCTGAATCCCTCTCTCTCATGTTTTTCCCCTGCTCTCTTCCCCCCTTCCCTCTTCCCTCCCCCCCCCCTCCCCTCGCCCTCCCACCAACAGCTGCAGGCGTGTGCGGGGGACGAGGTGGGGGCGAAGCTGCAGCAGCTGCACGACTACGAGGTGGCCAAGGGGGCGCGCGGCTACGTGGACCTTGTCTACCAGGCCAATGCGTGTGCTCTCATGCACGATGACTCGCTCTACCGAATTGAGCTGGTGAGTTTAGAGGTGTTACTTACTTGGCAAGTGACAGGAGGGGGCACGCGGCTATGTGGACCCAGTCTACCAGGCCAACGCATGTGCTCTCATGCACGATGACTCGCTCTATAGGATCGAAGTGGTGAGTGCGGGAAGGGAAGGGCATGTTTTTTGAGAATTCTCAAAAAGCATTCGAACTGGTGAGTGCGGGAAGGGAAGGGCTTGGTTGGGGGCTTTGTGGAGTTGGTGGAACGGGCAGGCGAGGGCGAGGTGGCAATACAGCTGATGGAAGGCGTCAGTCGCCTCACCCACCCGTCTCAGTCACTGCATGCTTCCACCAGGAAATGAACTCACTCCTTGCATCGCTCTTTTCTCGCTTCTGATCCACAGTTGGCACAGCAACCAGGTGAGGGCGAGATGACGGTGCAGCTGATGGAAGGCGGGCCGGAGAAGGTGGAGGTGCCGGCAGCAACCACCCTCTCCCTAGCCCTCTCTCACCCTACACCCTCCCTTCTCGCTTCTATCCCCCATCACAGCTAGCGCAGCAGCCAGGCGAGGGGGAGATGACTGTGCAGCTGATGGAGGGCGGGCCAGAGAAGGTGGAGGTGCCAGCAGCAGCCATGGAGTCCGCCTTCCTGCACTACCTCTGGCACTTCCTGCACTCGCCGCCCTCGCACGCCCCGGCTCGCGGCCACGTGTTCCTCTCCAGGTATGCGCTGTGTTCTAGCCCTCCTCTCGCTGGCTTTTGTGAGTGGGACTTGTGAGTGCGCCCTGTCGTGCCATGGACTCCGCCTTCCTGCATACCTCTGGCACTTCCTGCACTCCCCGCCCAGGTATGCGCTGCACTCCTGCCCTCCTCTCTCGCCCTCCGCTCCGTCCCGCCGCCCTACCTCTGGCACTTTCTGCATCCCCGCCCTACCTCTGGCACTTTCTGCATCTCCGCCCTACCTTGCACCGAGCCGCATCCATGCCTTCGTTGCCAGGCATGCACTGCTGCCTTGCCGTGCATTCCTGCGCTTCTCTCTTGTCCCACACTCTCTTGCCACTTGTTCCTCAGATGTTGCCATGTCTTTTGAGGCGCCTCAAAAGCCAGGCTTGCAGTGCTTGTGTGCCCTCCTCTCTTGCCACTGCTTCCTCACATGCTGCCATGTCTGTGCGCTGTGATATGGGTGCACTTGTTGCCATGTCTGTGCGCTGTGATATGTGTGCACTTGTTGCCAATGCGTGTGCATCACCAGGAACGTGAGAAAGGCATCGTCATCATCAGCAGCAGCAGCAGCAGCAGCAGCAGCAGCAGCAGCAGCAGCAGCAGCAGCAGCAGCAGCAGCGGGGAAGAGGGGGCGCAGCAAGGAGGACGAGGAGAGGGCTGCGCTGGAGAGTGTGCTTATAGTGAACGGCCTCGAGTGCAAGCTCTCCTGTGTCACCTCCAAGGTAACCCCCAACCTCTTTTTTTCCACCCAGGTGGAGGTTGGCTATTCTTGGCTTACATCCTGTCTTCATCCCACCCAGGTGTCCTATGTGTTCAACACAGAAGCCCCACTCCTCACACCCCCTTCGTTCCCCCCCCCCGCATACGTAACCCCCGTCCAGGTTTCTTATGTGTTAGACACAGAGGACTACCTGTTCCGCCACAAGAAGCACCGCCGACCCAGGAGTGCATCTCAGGCACCTGCGCTGCCACACAAGGTTCAGGGGACAGCTGGCACGCAGGGATTGGCCGAGCGCTCGCACCGAGCGGCCAGGCGGTTACGGCGTTACCAGCAGTGGATTTCGGCAGGAGTGCCCCCACCCTCCTCGTGAGGGGTTTACCTTGCTTAAGTTAAACGAGCAGCTAGAGATAATATGTAAGTGCTGCTGCTGCTTCTGTGTAATTTGGGACGTGTGTAGAACCGCGTTGACTTGGAATCACTTAACCTGCCCTTTGTGCGTGAAAGTTGAAGGTGGTGGTGCTGTTTCTTTCTGTCCTGCCTGCATTGTTCACCTTGTTTGCACTGTGAAAATGTGCTCTTTAACTTTCTCATGAAGTCATATAATTTGACCCTCTTCTCTGTTCCCTGCCCTCCTTGCCTCCATCTGTGTGTACTGTGTGTCATGCAGAGCTCTCCTCCCTGCTGCTCTTATGCGAGCATTAGCCTTCATGAAGTTGTAGGAGCTGCAGACGTCTGTTGTGCCTTTGGTGGAATTAGCACTTTGAAGGGCGCCCTATCAGGCCGCAGCATTTTGTGGCCGCAAATTATGTTCTTGCCAGCAATACAACCTCTTGATGTTGTGTGTTGTACTATCATTGTTGTGTAGACACTGTGCACGTCGAATTGGGATTCTAGTGTAGCAAGATTCTGCAGAAACGGAATAGTGTTACGAGTGCAATTGAGTGAACAAGCGAGAATTGCACTATCGAAGCAAGAGTACAATGAGCGAAGGCATGAGCGAAGAATATATAGCGAAACTACAGTGGTAACGGTAAAGTGGGAAATTGAGGTGCGCTACGGGCCTAGCGCCGAGGTTTGGAGAATTGTCGAGGCGGAGGTCCGGAGCGCGGGTTACCAACCGAACCGTTAGGTTGGGTCGCGTCGTGAACAGTGGCGGGAGTCGTGGTCGAGGCGAGTGTCGTGAACGGGTAACGTGCATGGATGGGTGCTGATGGCGGGAACGGTTATGTACACGGTAAGCAGGGACGCGAAGTAAGGAAAAGGAATTTTCCTTACACTACCCCCCTCTCCAAGGAGGCCCCTCTTACGAGAGCGCGTGTACATCTCGGAAGTTTCGGCTGCGCAGATACTCAGTGAGGACAGGGTGATTCTCAATTCTATCCAAGGGGACCCAGTTGTCTTCGGTGGGCGTGCGGTCTTTCCAGCGGATCAGGAATTCGATTCTGCGGGCTCCCCGTGGGTCACTTACTCGATGGCTTAGTATTTTCTCAGACGTGATGATTGGCTCAGTCGGCGGTCGTGTCATGCTGGCGGGGCGGTTGCGAGGCAGTTGGCTGGTGGATGGCACGTACGGGCGAAGCAGGCTGACGTGGAATGACGGGCTGACGTACCAATCAGCAGGGAGGAGGAGATGGGCGGTGACGGGTGTGATCATGTGGCTGATGCGAAATGGCCCGCAATATCGGGGGCGGAGTTTTGGGGTGATGGGCAGGCGGAGGTTTTGAGTGTCGAGTAGAACTAGGTCGTCTGGCTGGTAAGTGACAGGTCGGCGGTGGCGGTCAGCGTTGCGTTTAGCGATGATGTTTGGTTTTTTTATTGCTTCTGCTGCTCGGGTCCGTGCTGCTTGCAGTATTTCTGCGAACTGTTGCGCGCGTGGGACTGGGTTGTCGGGATTCGGGGTCATGGGTACTGTGGGGTCTTGTCCGTAGTTCAGGTAAAACAGTGACTGTTGGGTCGTGGCGGATGGCGAGTTGTTGTATGCGAATTCGATGAGTGGCAGTTGCTGTTCCCACGTGGTCGGGTCATCGCACGTGGCCCGGATGAGCTGTTCCATGGTCTGATCTGTCCGTTCTGTCTGTCCGTCGGTTTCGGGGTGGTATGATGAGCTGAACTGCAGTCGCGTGCCGAACTGCCGCCAGAAATTGCTGGTGAATTTCGTGTCGCGGTCGCTGATGATCGCTGCTGGTATCCCGTGTAATCGAACGATGGTGGCGATGAAGAGGCGAGCTGTTTCTTCGGCTGTGATTGATTTCTTACATGCTGCGAAGTGTGCCATTTTCGTCAGCCGATCGACGACGACCAAGATCGCGTCGTTCCCACTTGCTCCAGCCGGTAACCCCGTGACGAAGTCCATCGTCACCTGCTGCCAAGCACGCTCTGGGGGTGGTATCGGCTGCAACTATCCTGCCGGTCGTTGTCGTGACGACTTCATGAGCTGGTAGGTGGGACACGATGCCACGTGTCGTTGCACGTCGGTCAGCATCTCGGGCCAATAGTAATACCGCTGCAGCTGCTGCCGTGTTTTCTCTACCCCGAAATGTCCCGAGGTAACTCCGTCGTGTGCCTCCTGTAACAGTAATTCCCGTAGCAGTGTGTACCCTGGTACCCAGATGCGGTCGGTCCCGGCTTTTACGTAATAGACTCCCTTGGCTGCTGCGAACTGCTGCGAATTTCCTCTTGTGAAGAATGGGTCCGTTTGGTACCCGTGGGTAAATAGTCCTGTCAGTAGCGAGCTGGTCTGGGCGAGTAGTATCGCGTGGATTTGGGCAGTGGGGCGGGTCAGTGCGTCAGCGATGTTGGATGCTCCCTTTTTGTAGGTGACCGTGTAGTGGAAGTTTGACTCGAGGAAATCGAGCGAGCGGATCTGTCGTGGGTTGAGGTGGGGCTGTGTGCGCGGAGGTACTGTAGGGATCGGTGGTCTGTCCGTACTGTCACGTCTGCGCCGGTCAAGTAACAGCGCCAGACCTTGAACACATGCACGATTGCGAGCATTTCGCGGTCGTGTATCGGGTAATTTTTTTCGGGCGGATGCAGCTTTCGTGACTCGTAGGCGATGGGCTGTAGGCCGTTGCCGAAATCCTGTAGCAGTACGGCTCCAATGGCGATGTCGCTTGCGTCGGTTACGACTTCGAAGGGGCGGTGTGGGTCAGCGATGCGCAGTACGGGCGGTGAACAGAGAACAGTTTTCAGGGCAGAGAAGGCAGCATGCTCTTTCTCCCCCCACGTAAATGGGACCCCCTTCCGCAGCAGATCCGTCAGTGGGGCTGTCAATTGCGCCATGTCGGGGACGAACCGACGCACGTAATTAACGAACCCTAAAAAACTCTGCAGCTCTGTGATATTTGTTGGGGGGTGCCACGCTTTGACCGTGTCCAGCTTCTTTGGGTCGATTTCAACCCCAGCCTCCGAAATAACGTGTCCTAAAAATTCTAACCTGTCCTGAAAAAACTCGCACTTGGAACCCTTGGTCAGTAGTCTGTGCTCGTCTAAAACTTTAAACACTGCTTCCAGATCTGCTAAATGCTGTTGCTTATCACGACTGTAGACTAGGATGTCGTCGAGGTAAACTATCACGCATTTATCTAAAAGTGGCCTAAACGCCTCGTTCATGGTTATCTGAAATGTTTCCGGTGCGTTGGTCAACCCGAATGGCATCACGGTGTACTCGAATGAACCGTACCTAGTCCTAAATGCTGTCTTTGCGCAGTCTGATGGTTCGACCCGAATCTGATGGTAACCTCCCCGTAAATCTATTTTCGAAAAAACCCGTGCTGTTCGCAGTTGGTCGATCAATTCGTCAGCGCGGGGAATGGGGTATCGCGACTTGACTGTTACCCGGTTCAGTGCTCTGTAATCGATGCACATGCGAAACCCTCCGTCTTTTTTCGGTGTGAACGGTATCGGCGCGGCGAACGGTGACGAGCTCGGTCGGTTGATTTTTTTCTCTAACAGGTAGTCTAACTGCTTCCTCAGCTCATCGAGCTCGGGTTGTGTCAGTCTGAACTGTCGCTGTACGGTTGGCTGTGCCCCGGGTTCTAACTCTATGCGGTGGTCGTGTGCTCGCTGAGGTGGCAGTCCCTCCGGTAAGTCGTCGGGAAAAATCCCCGGGTACCGTTTCAATAGCTCCTGCAGTTCGGCCGGTACCGCTGTCAGCAGTTTCTGAAAATCACTCGGCTGCCCTGCTTCTCCTATCAACGCTATATCCACTGCGTACACGTCAGCTCCAGAGACGACAGCCCGTTTCATCGTGATGGCGTTGACGTGGACCGTTGAGGACTCGGGCGACTGCCAGCGTGGTAGCGACACCCAGTTACCGCTATTTCGCACAGTGCAGCTACCCGTCGTCCAGTCAATTCGCGGGTTATACCGTCGCAACCAATCACGTCCCAGTAAAATGTCGTGCCCATCCAGTGTCGTCGCGAGCATTTCCTGTGTAAAACCGAAGTTCCCCCCGCAGCGGACCTTTACTCTCTCCACTTTTTCCCGTATGGCCAGTGGTGTGCCGTCAACTAAGCGTGCGTCTATCTCTGGTAAACACCGACTCAGTGTCAGTTGTAGTTTTTGTGCGGCCGCGGTATTAACTAAGCTGTGACTTGCGCCTCCGTCGATAAAAATCTTCACTGCTGCTCCCTGTATTTTTCCGTGAATCAGTACTGGGCAATCCGTCGTTGTACCCTCCTTATTCATCCGAGCCCGATCGATAGCGTGAATCGGTACTGTGACTCGGTGAGGGTCGGTGTGGTTGGGCGAGCAGGCAGTTTCGTCAGTAGTTGGCCCGATTCCTACTGACTGCTGGCGTTTCCCTGCCTTAGAGATGTCGAAATAGCAGGCTAAAACGATAAACACGAAAAAAGGGGTTTTCACTAGCATTCAGTTGAGTACATATAGCAAACCCTAATTCGGGCTGTACTCGCTACAGAGTACCCCACTGCAGGCTACACAAACATCACATTCTGACACACCCCCATAGTCAAAGTGGGGTACAATCAACACAACAAGCAGTCATAGAGCAATAGTTCACAATGAAAAGCAAAGCTAGAGGCTGTCACAGAGGGCAAGTGAGGAGGAGGAGAGACTATGAGAGGAGTGAAGATAGAAGGCGACGGGTGAAGCCGCAGACACACGGGCAACAGGAACGGCGCGCACGGTGGCTACCGGAGCACTCAACCTCCGGACTACAGGAGTAACTGGCTCCGCGCTAAGCAGCAGCAGGAGCAACAGACCCACGGGCGACTGGCAGCAGCAGGCTCGCTGGGCTACCGGAGTACTCAACCCCCGGACTACTGGCGCTGCAGACGTCACAACGGCCACCTCCTGTCAACCTCCCCCAACTGTCCCACACCCCTTTCACACACTCCCTGCTGAACCACTAGCACCGCTCACACGCCACCCCCCTCGTACCACTCCGACGGCTCCAACACATCCACCCCCCTCAGCGGCAGCTGCAGCAGTGGGAGACGGAGGAGGAGGAGGAGGAGGAGGGGACGGCTCACACACCCGGCACCCCCACACTCTCCACCCCCAAACCCTAACACAGGAGCGCGGGCAGCAGCGGGGGTGGGGCGTGGTCAGAAGCTCAAGACGAACCGCACGCGGGCTGCCCGGGCCGCGCGCGGGCCTGGCGCAGCCCGTACGGGCCACGCGCGGGCCGCGTCGGGCGACGGGGGGCGACGCGACGGTCGACAGGGGGCGACGCGCGGTTCGACGGGGCAGAAAACCGCCGCGCGCCCCGAGCGCGCGGCGGGATGAAAAATAGCCGCGCGCCCGGGGCGCGCGGCAGGCAGGGGACAGCAGGAAACCGCAACGGAAGCATTGGGTGGGGCCCACCCACAGGATCGACCCAGGAGGGTCGACCTGCTCTGATAGCATGTCGAAATAGCAGGCTAAAACGATAAACACGAAAAAAGGGGTTTTCACTAGCATGCAGTTGAGTACATATAGCAAACCCTGATTCGGGCTGTACTCGCTACAGAGTACCCCACTGCAGGCTACACAAACATCACATTCTGACAAGAGACTCCCTCCCTTCTCTGCTCCGCGGCGCCTCAGCTTCTCTGGGCACTCACTCTTACGATGGCCCGGCCTATTGCAAGCGAAGCAGCGCCCCTTAAACGGCGCGGCAGCTGCGTTCGTCGCAACAGCGTGTACAGTGGCGTGCTCGATTGATCCCCGAGGGCGATGTCCGTAGTAGGACCCCGGTCTCGGACGGCGTAAAATGTCGATTTTCTCGGCGAGCGCGAGAATCTCGTTGAAATTCGAGAGTCCGCGTAGCATGATTTCGTGCGAGATGTCCGGCTTCAGCCCTCCGACGTAACGGTCCACCCGCTCCGCTTCGTGCATATAGTCGACTTGCTCGCATAATGCGAGAAAACCGCTCGTGTAGTCTTGGACCGATCCGAGCTGCCGCCAAGTACGCAGTTTCTGACGCGCCGAAATAGAAGCCGCGATCGGCTCGAAGCGCGCCCGAAGCCCTGCGCACCACGCATCCCACGTGCTGTATTGGGCGGTTTCGCAGAATGAACTCCAGGTGACAGCAGGGCCCGTGGGCCCTTCCTCTTGCGACGATGGCTCGTAGGCGCGTGGCGACGTCACGATGACTCGCCACCAGTCCATGGCGGGGCCCCTCAGCAGCGAGACGGCGTATTTGATCTTCGCTGCGTCCGACTCGACGTAGTTTGCGTCGAAGAAGACGTTCATCGTGAAGACCCACGATTGAACCGTCGGACCTCCACGTTGGCTCGGGTCGAAGCAAGGCGGGCGCCGCGGCTTGAGTGGCATTGGTGCCATGCTGGCGTGGTCGCCACTTGTCGCCGCAAATTCCACGTGCCGACGGGCTTCACGAGGCTCCCGCGGGCTTGGTGCGACCCTGTTCCTTTCCATGCCAGGCATCGAGTGAGCGGCGCCATCACTGGCTGCGCCTGAGCGCTGTCCCACACTGTCGTTCTGTGTTGGTGTGCCGGATGAAATGACGATCGGCTCCTCCGATTGTGCGGGTACATTTGCAGGTGCGTGTGGTGGTGCTGGAGTATTCACCGTGGATTGCTAACGCGCGGAGTCACGTTCCGCCGTGAGCGTCGCAATTTCGAGTGCCGAATCCTCGACTTGGCGCACGAGACGGTCGAGTTGCTCCTGCGTCAGTGTCGCGAGAGTAAATTCGGCCATGGCGGGGGTGTCGGGCAAGCTCAGCGAGAGCCTCGGTCGTGGCCGTGCGTGCTTTCGGGAGAGCACTTCGAGCGGTGGTGCTTGTTCGCTGAGAGACGTCTACCCCCCCCAAAGATTTGAGATAGTGGGGAAGCGAAGGTGTGGGTACGGTCAGAGAAGAGATCGTAGGCTCTGAATACCAAGTGTTACGAGTGCAATTGAGTGAACGAGCGAGAATTGCACTATCGAAGCAAGAGTACAATGAGCGAAGGCATGAGCGAAGAATATATAGCGAAACTACAGTGGTAACGGTAAAGTGGGAAATTGAGGTGCGCTACGGGCCTAGCGCCGAGGTTTGGAGAATTGTCGAGGCGGAGGTCCGGAGCGCGGGTTACCAACCGAACCGTTAGGTTGGGTCGCGTCGTGAACAGTGGCGGGAGTCGTGGTCGAGGCGAGTGTCGTGAACGGGTAACGTGCATGGATGGGTGCTGATGGCGGGAACGGTTATGTACGCGGTAAGCAGGGACGCGAAGTAAGGAAAAGGAATTTTCCTTACAAATAGAATGAAGGGAATGAAGAGAATGACGTGGAAAATTCTGTAGACGAGCTGAGTGTAATTTGAACCATATCAAATGTTGCAAAAGTTCGCCGTCAATTCGCTATTCACGAATCTGCCAATATCAACCCGCATAAGGCTTCAGTTCTTCCGCAGCCGCACTTCCTCAACCCAGCAAACTCCGTTTCAGCAAGTCTTCCGCGAGGCTGCAGCAGAATTCCTCTACGTTCTCTGCTTACTGCCGCACGGAGCAGCAACGAAGCACCCCTTCCTTCTCGCCTCACTTCGTTCCCACTTCCCCCCGGTTCTCGCGCCTCCTCGCCCCCATCGTGCGCGCCAATGGCGGCGGCGGCGGCGTCAGCGGCGCTGGGCGATTTGCTGCTGCTGCAGGGGCAGGCGAAGCGCGACCCGGAGGGGTACCGCGAGGAGTTCGAGCGGCAGCACCGCCACTACCGCGCGTTGCTCGCCGTTTTCTCGTTAAAGCCCCACGCGGAGAGCAAGGAGTTCGGCGACCTCGTCATGTTCCTCGCGCAGGTGGGCTTTAAGCCGCTTCTTCGAGCGGCGTCAACGCCGCTGCCCCGCGCCGTGCTGGCCCTCCTGTTGTTCGAGCCGATAGTGATGCTGGCGTGTGTTAGGGTTTGGAGCTCGAACGGAAATTAGGCGTTGAGGGACTCTCGCCCACAGGGGGCTAAGAGTTTATAATTTAGGGCTAGCAAGCGTGCGTGAAGCACGCGATGAGCGTACGGGGCCGGAGGGAGTGAGAGTTCAGTGCACGGAGTAGCTGGGATCAGGTTCAGGGTTTCGGTGTTGGGTTTTTTACAGCAGCGGATTGATTGAACCTGGCGGTAGGATTATTCTATGCGAGGTGGTATGATATATGCCTGCCTGAGTCGGGTCCATTCCAGTACAGCGCGTGTAAACCCAAAACCTCCCATCTCCAGCCTTAAACATGTCCGATCCCCCCTTCCCCTCCTCCACAGCTCGCCCCCTTCTACCGCAGCACTATGGGGGGGTTCCCCGGGGAGGTGATGGGGCTGCTGCAGTCGCACGTGGACGTGCTGCATCCAATGCTGCGCCGCCAGCTGGCGCACGCGCTCATCCTCCTGCGCAACCGCCAGGTGCATAGCTAACCTGTGCATTTAAAATCCTTAGAGGAACTGTACTGTGCAATTTGAAATTTCAAGAGAAAGTTGCTGGGCACCTCTGACTTTTGAGTCGACTCAAAAGTCACCTCAAAAGTCACCTCGTTTTGAGTCGACTCAAAAGTCACCTCAAAAGTCACCTCGTTTTGAGTCGACTCAAAAGTCACCTCAAAAGTCACCTCGTTTTGAGTCGACTCAAAAGTCACCTCGTTTTGAGTCGACTCAAAAGTCACCTCAAAAGTCACCTCGTTTTGAGTCGACTCAAAAGTCACCTCGTTTTGAGTCGACTCAAAAGTCACCTCAAAAGTCACCTCGTTTTGAGTCGACTCAAAAGTCATCTCAAAAGTCACCTCGTTTTGAGTCGACTCAAAAGTCACCTCAAAAGTCACCTCGTTTTGAGTCGACTCAAAAGTCACCTCAAAAGTCACCTCAAAAGTCACCTCGTTTTGAGTCGACTCAAAAGTCACCTCGTTTTGAGTCCACTCAAAAGTCACTAAGTTGCTGGGCACCTCTGCTTCCGCTAAACCCCTCCCCATCGTCCCATCGTCCTCCCATCGAGGAACTGACAAATGCTGGTTCTTACCCCATCCCATCGTCCTCCCACCCATCTTCCCAGCTTTTAAACCCGACGGACATCATTCCGTGCTTATTGTGCCTCTCTCTCCCTTCCCTCCCCTCAGTTCCCTCCCCTCAGTTCCCTCCCCTCAGTTCCCTCCCCTCGGTTCCCACTGACCTCATCCCTCACTTCTTCCGCCTCTTCCGCTGCCCCTTTTTAATTTTCCCTTCCTTTGTTGTTAGACTGCCTCTACCTCTGACTGACCCCTCAGCCCCTGACGCTTCAAATGTCAGAGTGTCATTGGAGGTCCGTGGGGGGACTTGAAAGTGGCCCTCTTCTATCCTTGCGCTGTTTCCCGCTCCCTCCCATCTTTCTTCCACCCATCGCCCGCAAGCTAATGTTCTCACACATCGTTAACGGCGTGTTCTATCCCTTTCCCTACCCGCTACTACCACCTTCCCACAACCCTTGCTACTGTTATGCACCTGTTTCCCTGCAGCTCGTGGGTCCCATGGACCTCAAGCCTCAATTTTTCCGTCTCTTCCGCTGCCCCAACAAGGCATTGCGCACGCTGATGTTCTCATCTCACACATCGTGTGTTTGCATTCGCCGGCTCAACCACGTGTTATCTCCCTTCCCCTCCCCCGTGCCACCTTTTTCACAACCGTGTGTACCGTTCTGCACCTGTTCCCCTGCAGCTCCTGGGTCCCACGGACCTCATTCCGCACTTCTTCCGTCTTTTCCGCTGCCCCGACAAGGCGTTGCGCAAGCTGGTGTTCTCACACATTGTGAATGACATTCGCCGGCTCAACCAGAAGCACCGCCACGAGGGCGTCAACAGGCCCATCCAGAACATGCTCTTTTCCCTCGTCCAGGTATGGTACAGTCCCTTGTTTCGCTCATCACTCAGTCAGGCAGGTGAAGGGGCGGTTTATTTGTACTGTTGTGAAAAGCTGCTGTAGAGAGAGGTGAACCATCCATTGCCTGAACCAGAAGCACAGGCACGAGGGCGTCAACAGGCCCATCCAGAACATGCTCTTTTCCCTCGTGCAGGTGCGGTTGCTTGTCGGTCATTGTGTCAATGACAAGTGAGACAAGTGGGTGGGAGGGACAGGGTGAGTGGGAGAAGGGCGTCAGCCTCCCCGTCCAGAACATGCTGCTTTCTCTCGTGCAGGCGCTGGAATGAGACAATCACTCGTTGCAGGTACGTACGTACCATCCAGAACATGCTGCTCCTTGTTGCTCTTCTCTCGTGCAGGCGCTGGAATGAGACAATCACTCGTTGCAGGTACGTACGTACCGCCCAGAACATGCTGCTCCTTGTTGCTCTTCTCTCGTGCAGGTACGTACGGGCCCGCCCTTGTTGCTCCTCCTTTCACTCTGCGCTGCACCGCTACCTCTCCCGGCGGTGTGCTATGCTATGCACCTCAAGAGCTCGATGCTATGCACCACGTGCATCCTGTGTGTGCACGCGCTCATGCTCCTCCTTGGGGCTCTTGAGTCGACTCAAAAGTCACCTCGCTGCACCGCTACATCTCCCGGTGTGCTATGCTATGCACCTCAAGAGCTCGATGCTATGCACCACGTGCATCCTGTGTGTGCACGCGCTCAAGCTCCTCCTTGGGGCTCTCTCGAGTTGACTTTTGAGTCGACTCAAAAGTCAGCTCAAGCTCCTCCTTGGGGCTCTCTCGACCTCTTGATGTGCATCAAGCTCTTGAGGCACCTCAGGAATCTCAAGACTCTTTCTCCCTCTCCCAACCTCCACACACCCACACCAGGAGGAGAACGAGATGGCAGCCAAGAAGTCACTCGCAGTGCTCATTGAATTGTACCGGCGGAAAGTGTGGACCGACGCACGCACTGTGAACGTGATCGCCACGGCCTGCCTGCACCCGTGCACGCACATCATGGTGGGCGCGCTCAAGTTCTTTATGGGGGCGGACCGGCAGGGCGAGGGGGAGGAGGGGAGCAGCGAGGAGGAGGACGACGAGGATGAGAAGAAGAGTAGAAGCAAGGAGAACTCTGCTCTCGCTCTCGACAGGAAGATTGTCTACACGGTGAGTGTGTCGTCTGGTGGTGTCTTGGTTTGCGTGGCTTGATAGTCACTTCATAATGGCTGCAAAGCACGCGTCCCTTTCCTGTCCTTACTGCCATTTCTTCCCTCGTCCCCCCTCCCGTCCTCTCCCTTACTTCCCCCAAGCATACCACAAGGGCACGCCAGCCAGCAAGCGCAAGAAGCAGGCAAGCCAGCAAGGGTGAACTTATCCTAATGCCTTCAGTTGTCCGTGAGCCCACGGACAAGGCAAGCCAGCAAGGGTGAACTTATCCTAATGCCTTCAGTTGTCCGTCCGTGGGCTCTCCCTCACAAACCCTTCCTCCCCTTCCTCCCTTACAATCCCCCACTTACCCCCCCCCCCAGGCGTACCACAAGGGTACCCCGGCCAGTAAGCGCAAGAAGCAGGGGAAGCTGAAGCGAGTGATGAAGGGGCTGCGGAAGCAGCAGCGGGGATTGCTGATCAGTCCCCCCCTGCCCCTCTCTCCCTGAACGCTCTTTTCTTCCATCCCGCTGTTCCCTATACCATCTCCCTCCAACCCCCTAGGCGTACCACAAGGGCACACCAGCCAGTAAGCGCAAGAAGCAACTGAAGCTGAAGCGAGTGATGAAGGGGCTGCGCAAGCAGCAGGAGGGATTGGTGATCAGTCTCCTCCTGCCCTTCTTCCTGTACTGTACCCTCCCTTCCTCCAACTCGCTGTACCCTACACCCTCTCCTTCGTCACCCCCCCCAGGCGTACCACAAGGGTACACCGGCCAGTAAGCGCAAGAAGCAACTGAAGCTGAAGCGAGTGATGAAGGGGCTGCGCAAGCAGCAGCGGGCTGTGATGGGCGGAGGGGGGGAGGGCACGGGGGAGGGCGACGGGAACATGCACTTCGCTGCCCTGCACTTGCTGCATGACCCTCAGGTGGGTGATTGGTTGTTGTTACAGGGAAGGGTTGAAGGGGGGAGGACGGGGGGAGGGAGATGGGGGAAGGGTAAGGGCACAGGGGAGGGCGAAGGGAACATGCACTTTGCTGCCCTGCACCTGCTGCATGACCCTCAGGTAATGCTTGGTTGTTACAGGGAATGGGCCAGGGGGGGCGGAGGTGGGAGGGAGAGCGGGGAAGGGTAAGGGCGCTGGGGAGGGGGAAGGGAACATGCACTTCGCTGCGCTGCACTTGCTGCACGACCCTCAGGTGGGTGATTGGTTGTTGTTACAGGGAAGTGTTGAAGGGGGGAGGACGGGGGGAGGGAGATGGGGGAAGGGTAAGGGCACGGGGGAGGGCGAAGGGAACATGCACTTCGCTGCGCTGCACTTGCTGCACGACCCTCAGGTGGGTGATTGTTGTTACAGGGAAGGGTTGAAGGGGGGAGGACGGGGGGAGGGAGATGGGGGAAGGGCAAGGACGCAAGAGGGCGAAGGGAACATGCACTTTGCTGCTCTGCACTTGCTGCACGACCCGCAGGTGATGATCGGTCGTTACAGGGAATGGGCCAGGGGGGGCGGAGGTGGGAGGGAGAGCTGTGGGAGGGAGAGCGGTGGGAGGGAGAGCTGTGGGAGGGAGAGCGGGGAAGGGTAAGGGCGCAGGGGAGGGCGATGGGAGCATGCACTTTGTCGGCCGGCACTTACTGCACGTCCTCAGGCGGGCAATCTGATTCGATCTGATTCACTTTGTAATCATTCGCCGCTGGAGAGTGACTGACTGACTGACTGACAGACTGCACTGACTGACTGACTGACTGACTGACTGACTGACAGACTGCACTGACTGACTGACTGACTGACTGACTGACTGACTGACTGACTGACTGACAGACTGCACTGACTGACTGACTGACTGACTGACAGACTGCACTGACTGACTGACTGACTGACTGACTGACTGACTGACTGACTGACTGACTGACTGACTGACTGACTGACTGACTGACTGACTGACTGACTGACAGACTGCACTGACTGACTGACAGACTGCACTGACTGACTGACTGACTGACTGACAGACTGCACTGACTGACTGACTGACTGACTGACTGACTGACTGACTGACTGACTGACTGACTGACTGACAGACAGACTGCACTGACTGACTGACTGACAGACTGACAGACTGACAGACTGACTGCACTGACTGACTGACTGACTGCACTGACTGACTGACTGACTGACTGACTGACTGACTGACTGACTGACTGACTGACTGACTGCACTGACAGACTGACAGACTGACAGACTGACTGCACTGACTGACTGACTGCACTGACAGACTGACAGACTGACTGCACTGACTGACTGACAGACTGACAGACTTACTGACTGACTGGGTGATTGGGTGCAATCGGTGGATCTTTGTTGCACTGCTCTGCACCTGCTGCACAGCAGTCTCCCATTTTCCCAGCCTCTCCCTCTCCTCTCCTCCCCTCCCACCCTCTTCTTCCCGTTCTCTGCAGGGCTTTGCAGAGAAGCTCTTCAGCCGGGTCAGCAAGTGCAATGAGAAGTTCGAGGTGAGTGCGATAGCCAAGCTCTGAGGCGTTTTCAGACACTTGAGCTTTGAAGTAATAACACGTGAGCGTCAGAGGTATCAAAGCTCGTGTGGAGGGGAGATGGGTGGGGGTGAAAGGAGGGTGAAAACGGCGAATGGATGAGTGGCATTCTCTTTCATTCTCGCGCTCATGTCCCGTGGCCCTTGGCCTGCAGATGAAGCTACTGATGCATCAGTAGAAGATTTGTTCTCGTGCCCTTCCTCCTTCATGCGTGTTGCCTGCCTTTTGAGGCGCCTCAAAAGCTTGTTGTTGGCTTTGAGCCTGTGACTACCCGCTTCAAACCAGGGGATCTTATGAGGCACTTCAAAAGCAGATGAGGGTACTGATGCATAGTAAAACAGTTTCGACCTGGATCCAACAGGTAACTCGTCCTAATCTCCTCTAGGCAGATGAGGGTACTGATGCACGGATACTCTCGTGCCTTTCTTCCTTCATGCGTGCTGCTGCTGCTTGCCGCAAGGTGAAGCTGTTGATGTGTTGTTGCACGGAGTCTCATGTTCGTCTCCCCCTGCTGTCTCCTTGCAGGTGAAGCTGCTGATGCTGAACGTGGTATCACGGGTAATAGGCACGCACAGATTGCTCCTTCTCAACTTCTACCCTTTCCTGCAACGCTACCTCATGGTATGCTTCTCCTTCCTCTTCTCCCTCTCGTCCCTCTCATTCCTCTTCTCCCTCTCCTCCCTCTCCTTCCTCTCCTGCCTCTTTGCACCTTCGACCACCGCTTTTCCATGGCATTTTCTTCTCCTTCGTTAGCCCTTAGCAACATGCAGCGCGTAGCTGTGCTCTCTCCTTGCCAGCTGTACATCCGTCCGTTTCTGACTCTCTTTCCATCCGTCCATTGCTGCGCTTGATTGCAGCCGCACCAGAGGGACGTGACGCACCTCCTTGCCATCGCCGTGCAAGCCTGCCATGACCAGGTGAGTGGGTGTCACGACTCACAATCTGGGGATGTCACGCAGGATTGATAGGCAACGCGCCTTGTGCGTGCCACAACCTGGCGGCACAAGGCATCGAGGTGACAGCAGTGAGGGAGGTGTGTGCGCGTTACACTCTCATTAATCCCATAGTTCCCCTCTCTCTCCCTTCTCCACCTCCCCCTTCCTCCTCTCCCCCAGGTCCCCCCAGACGCAGTAGAGAGCATGGTGAAGCAGATAGTGAACCTCTTCGTTCACGACAGGGCACGGCCCGAGGCCATACCCGTAGGGTTGAACGCCGTGAGGGAGGTGTGCGCGCGCATGCTGCTGGTAATGGGCGAGGAGCATGGGTGCTGGTCTACACAATCCCATACTTCCTCCTCCTCTTTCGCTCCCTTCTCCACCTCTGCTCCGTTCCTCCCCTCCCCCAGGTTCCCCCAGACGCAGTAGAGAGCATGGTGAAGCAGATTGTGAACCTGTTCGTTCATGACAGGGCGCGGCCAGAGGACATAGCAGTGGGGCTGTGGTCTCCTTGTGTTTCCATACGTCTCTCTGTTCCTCCTGTCTCCTCCTCTCTCCCCTCCCCCAGGTCCCCCCAGACGCAGTAGAGAGCATGGTGAAGCAGATTGTGAACCTCTTCGTTCACGACCGTGCCCGGCCAGAGGTCATAGCGGTGGGGCTCAACGCCGTGAGGGAGGTGTGTGCGCGCATGCCCCTGGTGATGGGCGAGGAGCTGCTGCAAGACCTGGCCATGTACAAGAAGGCTCGGGAGAAGGCCGTTGCTGCTGCTGCAAGATCGATTATCTCACTCTTCAGAGAGGTACGGAGCGGTACAGAGCGGTGCATGAGGGTTGAGGAGCTCTGGTAGGGTTTGGGATGGAAGTGACAAGTGAGGGAGGTGTGCGCGCGCATGCCCCTGGTGACGGGCGAGGAGCTGCTGCAGGACCTGACCATGTATAAGAAAGCACGGGAAAAGGCCGTTGCTGCTGCCGCGCGATCCATGTTCTCACTCTTCAGATAGGTACGGAGCGGTACAGAGACGTACAGAGAGGTACAGCAGAGAGGTACAGAGAGGTACAGAGAGGTACAGATCCATTATCTCCCTCTGCACTCACCCCCCACCATCTCCCCCTGTCCCCATCCCCCATCACTTCCCCCCTTCCTCCCCCCGTCTCCCCCACAGGTGAATCCGTCGCTGCTGCAGCGGAAAGACCGGGGCAAGCCGGGGAAGGCAGGGGAGGCTGTGCAGCCAGTGGCGTTTGGCCACGTGGCAGTGTCTGATCACGTGCCTGGGATTGAGCTGCTGGGGATTCCGGAAGAGGAGGGCGATGGGGAGGAGGGGGAGAGTGAGGAGGGAAGTGATGAGGGGAGTGAAGGGGAGAGTGAGGAGGAAGTGGAGGGGATTGATGAGGAGATGGAGGAGGGAGAGGAGGGAGAGGAGGGGGAGGAGGTGGAAGGGGATAGTGATGAGGAGGGGAGTTCAGGGAGTGAGGAGGTGGAGAGTGAGGGAGAGGAGGAGGAAGTTGAGGAGGAAATGGAAGAGGAAGAGGAGGAGGAGGAGGAGGAGATGGAGCAAGATAGGCCAGGTATTTCCAGAAAAAGAAAGGCAGAGGGGGAAGCGAGTGGAGATGGAAAGCGGAAGCGAGAAGGGCCGGTGAAAGTGGAGGGTGCGAGTCTGAGGCAGCTGAAACGACTGGCAGCACAAGGGGATGGGAAGGCCGGAGAGGAAGCAGGGGGGGAGAAAGCAGGGGAGAAGGTGGAAGGGGAGGAGGAGGAAAAGGATGGGTTTCTGTCAACAGAGGATTTCAGGAAGATCAGGAGGATGCAGGCTAAGCAGGCTGCTGAGTCGATGTTGAGGCGCAAGGGCATGAAGAAGGCAGCCAATGCGCTCGCCAACTCGCATCAAGCACGCTCGCACTCCCTCAGTGACCGCCGAGTGGACCCGTCTGACCTGGAGGTGAGTCGTGCTGACGTGGCGTGGGCTGCTGCTGGCTGTGGCATCAACCTGTGGTTGCATGTTAAATGTATCCCTGATTTTGCTGCTTCGTTTCCCTTTTCATCTGCACCAGCACAATGCCATTCCTTCCTTCAGACTTTTGAGGCGACTCAAAGGTTCATCTGCACCAGCACAATGTTGTTCCTTCCTTCAAGCGTGCTGGTGTCTTGTGTCACATGCACCTTCGTGTATCTGTCTGTCTCTGTCTCTGTCTCTGTCTCTGTCTCTGTCTCTTGCTGCATCTCCCTCTTTCTCCTCTCCCCATCTCCCGACTCTTCCCACTCCACCCCTCCCCACCGCCCCAGGTGCACATAAAGGCACGGAGGGACAAGGAGGAGCGAATGGCAGCAGTGCTGGCGGGCAGAGAGGACTGTAGCTACTTTGCCAAGTCGAAGATGAAGCAGCAGAAGGTAAGGCTGCCCCATCACAGCACCAGACACTTCGCGATGCACCTTGCCTTGATGCATCGACACATCCACTGCATCCTGTTTTCGAGAATTCTCAAGAATACTTGGCGATGCACGTTGCCTTGATGCATCGAGACATCTACTACATCCTGCAACGCATTGTGAAGACGTGACTTTGCGAATTCTCAAAAACAATACTTGGCGATGCACGTTGCCTTGATGCATCAAGACATCTACTACCGTACATCCTGCAACGCATTGTGAATGCCTCAATTGGTCTTTTCTATACTTAATGCGCCTCAAAGGCATTTGGCGATGCGCGTTGGCATCAAGACATGCACTGCATCCTGCGACGCATTGTGAAGAGATGACTATTGCGTCGACTCAAAAGCACTTAGCGATGCACGTTGCCATGCCATCAAGACACCCACCCACTACATCCTCCTTTTGAGAATTCTCAAAAGCAACAACTCTTGAGAATTCTCAAAAGCAACACTTAGCGATGCACGTTGCCATCAAGGCATCCCACTGCATTCTGCGGCGCACTGTGATTGCCTCGATCGGTCTTTGCTATCTTTGTGCGCCTCAAAGGCACTTGGCAATGCGCGTTGGCATCAGGACATCCACTACATCTTTTGAGGCGCCTCAAAAGTCGTCTTTTGAGGCGCCTCAAAAGAAGACACTTGGCGATGCACGTTGCCATCAAGGCATCCCCTGCATTCTGCGACGCATTGCAAATGCCTCAGTCGGTCTTTTCTAGTTGAGCCAGTCGTTCTCAAAAGCGACAAAAAGATCATGCTTTGTGAATGCATGTTTTCTACCTTGTTCGTGTGTGTTGGCTTGTGGGTGGGTGGGAGAGTTGTCAGCAGGGAGGAGGTGGGCCATGCTGCCCGTCTTCCTCTCACCCCCTCCTTCCCCTCCTTCCATCCCTTCCTCTCACCCTCTCCTCTCACCCTCTCCTCTCACCCCTCACCCTCTCCTCTCACCCTCTCCTCTCACCCTTCACCCTCTCCTCTCACCCTCTCCTCTCACCCTTCACCCTCTCCTCTCACCCTCTCCTCTCACCCTTCACCCTCTCCTCTCACCCTCTCCTCTCACCCTCTCCTCTCACCCTCTCCTCTCACCCTTCACGCTCTTCTCACAGGTGGGTGGAACATCCAACAGGGAGAAGGAGAAGCGCAAGGCAGCGCCCATGGCAGCACAGCGAATGAAGCTCAAGAGGCGCACGCAGGGCAAGCGGCGCAACAAGGGGAAGAATTTCCAGGGGAAGAAGGCCTGGAAGACGTGAAACATGGGTTTTGCAATTTCGTTATAAGCTATTGTTAGTCTGTTTTTATTTGCTGTTATGTTGAAAATTGTTCACGCATATTTGCTACAAGTGTATATTGAGCTTTCATTTCGATCCATTCCCATCGAGCATTGAGCTTCTAGTCTACCCCGCAGCTCCCAAGGATGATGATCTCGAGAAGGGGATGTTCTGACTTGGAAGTTCCAAGCATTTCAAGCATTACGGTACCTCCTCGCATCTGCAGGATTCGCACACCCAAGGCCATTCATGGCGTCTGTCAAACGCACTGTCGCCGTCGCATTGGCTTTCGTCCTCGCGCTCGTCGCCGCATACACCGCTGTTCACAGCGTCGCCCTCCTCGCACCCACGCGCGCGCGTAACTCTCGTCCCCTTTCCGCCCAGAACTCGCTGACTCTAAAGTCGACTCAGACGAACCCTCCTCGCACCCTCGCGCCAACGCGCCCGCGCGACTCTCGTTCTCTCTCCTCCAGGTCTTCGTTCATAAGGCTCTTCGCATTCACCGCACCCGTCGGAAACCCGCAGTCAAGCGTGAATGACGCCGCAATCCCCGCTGTGGTCCCCAGGCCCGCGCCGCCGCAGCTGCAGCAGCAGCCCGCGATTCACGCTCCCGCCGACAGCGCTCCGCTCGAGCGCGTGTGCGGCTCGCCAGCTGTCGACGGTTATGCGCACGTGAACGCCACGTGTCTAGAAGCGTCGCCCACGAATCGCATGTGGTGGTCCATGCATCCTCAGGTGAGTCCCCTCTCTGCTTCAGGTGAATCCCCAGGAAATCTTCAGGTGAACCTCCCGAGGAGTTGTTCCTGAAGCGCAAAACAGCACGTCTGTCTCTCCTTGCCATGTGACTGTGATTGTGCGCAGTGGTTGAATGAGCTAATCAACTGTCTTGTCGGAGTGTGAATGTGCGCGCGACTGACGGCGTGTGACTTACGGCATGAGACTGACGGCATGTGACTGACGGCATGTGCCTGTGCTTGTATCTTTTGACATGGTTGTGAGTGTGTGCAGGGAGGGAGGAGCGGGGAGGGGTTGGATTGCCACATGGAGCGCGAAATGAGCCTAGATGGGCTGGCCGTGCGGTGGGGCATCGGCCACAAGACCACCACTCCAGAGCAATGCTGCCAGGCCTGCAGGTACCTCGTACATGGACTGGACTCACAGGTCTCCGAAGTGCCTTAGAATTTTACTCTCAAGTCACCGTAGATGGGCTGGCCGTGCGGTGGGGCATCGGCCACAAGACCACCACTCCAGAGCAATGCTGCCAGGCCTGCAGGTACCTCGTACATGGACTGGACTCACAGGTCTCCGAAGTGCCTTAGAATTTTACTCTCAAGTCACCGTAGATGGGCTGGCCGTGCGGTGGGGCATCGGCCACAAGACCACCACTCCAGAGCAATGCTGCCAGGCCTGCAGGATAAGGGTGGCCCCTTATCCCCTTTGCCCTGAAACATCTGGGTCTTCTGTCCTCCCATTATTCCACTACTGATACCCTCTCCTCTCCGACCACCCTTTCTCCCTTGAGACCACGAACAGGACCTACACCACACCCGGGCGGGCCCTTCCCCCCCTCCCTACAACAGCTGGTTCTTTTGCCCCCCCCTTATTCCACCACCCCTCGCCTGTTCTCTTCCCACCCCTTCCCCCCCAGGGACCATGAACCGGACCCACAAGTTGGGGATCCCTTTGCGCGCCTCCCCTGCAACGTCTGGGTGTTCTGCTCCGCTCCTTCCTGCTTTGAACCCGACGCGCACACGCACACGTTCGGCGACTGCTGGCTCAAATTCTCCGAAGCCCCACAGAGCCCCGAGGTGAACGCGCGAGGGGAGTACCCTCGGGAACTCCGTGCGAGGCATGCCGAGGCGCCTGAGCGGTGCCAGTGGGTGGCGGGGGTGCTGCTGCCGCCCGGACAGACTCTCACCAACGGCACGTGGAGCCCGAGGCATGAATGGTGATGGTTGGATGAGAGGGCTCGAGGCACATCTGACTCAGTGGGCAAGGAATAAGCGAGCTTCAATTCGTCTGAAGGCTCAAAGGCGCATGCAAGGCTCGGCATTCGGAGTCGGATGAAGGAGTGGTGCATGGATGGGTGGAGGAGAGGGTTCGAGGCGTATCAGATCCTGTGGTGGAGTGGTCAAGAAAGATACAGGGGCGAAGGCATTGAAAGAAGGCATCTTCATGGCACATGTCAGGTTCGGCGCATGGAGCTGGTTACAGGAGCGGTAACATGGATGGGCGAAGCAAGACCAGTGCGTTTTTGTGATGCTGAGAAGATTATGCCATCACACACTGGTACCGTACGTTCATGGGGGTGCATACATAAGCAATTCCTTTGTATTTCCCCCCCCTTTTTTTTTTCCTTCCCCGGATTGTTCCTTTCTGACGGTCTTGCAGCTTGTTGTGCATGTGCAGGCTCTCTCGGGTTCCTTGTTGAAGACTTGAGCATTTGTGGAAGATTATACCTACCGTATCAGCTGCCACCAGGAGGAGTGTTTGGTTTTATATTCCATACGTGCATTGCCCTTCGGGTTGACCCCGCACCCTCTTGAATTGTTGCTACGGGTACATGTGTGAAATAGCTTCAAATATAGTGGAGAAATGCTATAATTCACACTTCGGAAACAGAATATATTATTGTTGTATCAGCTGCTGCCATTCCCCAAAATGATGTCAGGACGTATTTCGATCCACCACCGCACTGAACCCACGCGTGTCGTCTCTGCAACTAGCAGAACCAGCTCAGAATCCGTCAAAAAAACGATCCCGAGGGCCGAAAGCACGTCTCGCCTCTTCTGAAAAGATCGCTGACAGCGTTGTCGAGCCGACTGACAGCAATAACAGCGAGGCGAGGAACTCTTTGTGGTAGACCGAGTTCGAATGTTTGATCTGACTGAGCAGAGACCCCAGGAGCCGCTTATCAACGACGCGTGCTGTGCAGTTAGGTCTTTCCTGGCAGGCGATTACTCGTGCTATAGAATATATGAACCGTTGTCGCACTTGATTAGCCAGTCATGGCGGCGTTGCTGCACGCGATGTGGGTGAGGTATCTCGACTCGCTCAAGCATCGCCCTGTCCTCACCAAGGTACAGCCCCCGGCGATCCCCACCGTTCCATCTCACTCGCGTCCTTCCCACCATTCCAACAATCACTCGCAGCATCGAACCGTTCCAATCCACTCGCATTGCTACACTTCTGCGCACCTGAACCATTACTCCTCGCCCGAAATTTGTATCGTTTCGACTCTATATCCGTTATGTTCGCCAAATTTCACCGTCCCCGTTGTTCAGGCACTCACGTCGGCGTCGCTAGCGGCCGTGAGCGACCTGATGGCGCAGCGACTGGCGTCCCGCAAACCCGTGGAGCTCAGGCGTACGATTCTCATGTGGGTGCGTGTAGGAGGGTGCATGCAGAGGAGATCACTCGTTGACAGGGAGGGTGAAAACGGACATGCCTTGCCCAAAATTTCGTGTCCTGTCCTACCTTGCTTCATATTTTTAATCCACTCACAATGCGGACATGGTTCTCTTATTACCTTGTGACCATACCTTGCTTCTCTTATTCCTTAGCTCATCTGACCTTTCTCCCATTTTGACCGCTCCACGGTCCTTCCAAATAATGGTTTGCTTCCATGTTCGCTCCACCCCACACTCCACCCCTCAATCCGCCCCTCGTTCCACCCCTCAATCCACCCCACACTCCACCCCCACTCCCCCTCTCAGCTGTTCGGGCTGCTCTACATGGGTCCCTCGGCGCACATGGTGCATCGTGCGCTCGACGCCATTTTTGCAGCCAAGAGAGACACCAAAACCGCGCTAAAAAAGGTCAGGAGAAGGAACCTTCGGTTTCGGAGCGAGTGGTGTGAATGGAGTCGGAGTCGGGGGTGAGAAGAGGAGGGGAAGGACGAGAACTTCTCTTTATGCTCTGCCCAAGCCATGCATAATGCCCGTGTACGAAAGCCTCTGAGTGTACACATTCGGCTCCTTTCTTTCATTCCCTTGTTTTCAGGTGGTGGTCGAGCAGTTGACATACGGCCCGTGCTGCAATGTGGTGGCCATTACATGGATCGCCTATGTGGTGGAGCGACGCTCATGGAAGGCATCCAAGAGACGGCTCTTTGCTGCATACCCAGGGATCCAGATGAACGGATGGAAGGTAAAGTGAGGCTCCTGGGAATGTATCACTCACAAGTTTGTGTTTCATCTGAATCTCACAGTTGCGGTCTTGCTTGGCCCATTTTTTGTCGTGATGTGTTTGCTTCAGGTGTGGCCGCTTGTAGCACTAATTAACTACAAGTTTATTCCATTCAACCTCCGTGTGCTCTTCTCCAATGTTATCGCCATCTTCTGGTGAGTCATCATATCGCATGTGGTTGTCTCGTTTGCACAATCTACATATTTTTGAGTTGCTGATGAATTTCATTGCGGCATCTTATTCCACATTCCAGGTCTACATTCCTCATTCTAAAAGCACGAGGAATCAAGGACAAGCAAAGCTTGGAATAACGTGTGGATGCGCCCGTTGCATCAGTGTAAATACTATAGGCTGTACAGACTCGTGATTTTAATCAGCATACTCTGTTTTTCCACACAGGCCAGGCCATGGACTACATGGCCAACCATGGCATCATTAGTTTGGCAATAAGTGAAGATTGGCTATCGTGAAGAAGGCAAATATGATTTAAGTTCCAATATCGAGGTTTTCCTTGAGAAACAACACACACAGAGGCGACAGGGTATGCGACTGTCTCGCCATGAGTTTTCTCGCCAGGCGTGGGTGTCGGTCGGCCTCTGACGGAAATTCGCGCCGCTAGAATCTGCGTTGTGTCAGGAGGGGCAAACGAGCGGCGTTTGGCCAATCACATCAAATAGCGCCTTGTTCGCTGCCAGTCAGCCGGTGGGAGCGAATATGTGGAGGCAAACAAACCGCGTGCGACTGCTTCGCATTCCGTTCTGGGGAGCTTCGCTTCGCCTTCGTAAGTACAGTTCACCACTCGCCGAGCCTGACAGATGGGCATGGAGAAGGTGGACGGACGCACCAGATTCAGGGGAGGTAAGGAATGGAGGTACGGAAATTAAATAAGCGTGCTAGACGACAGAACCTGAACCGAGAACCAGCTAGGCAGAAAAACCATCGGTTCGGGCAGAGGAGGGCGCCAGAGTCTGCTCTGCAGCAGCCAAACCTGCATCAGATTCCTCCCCACAGTTCAGAACAAGAACGGTCCTTCCATACCTCCTCAGTTGTCCCACCGTACCTCAATTCCATCCCTCAATTCCTCCTGTCCCTCCAACTCACTCTCTCGCTGAATTCCCTTCCCTCCCGCCTGCTGAGTCTTCTTGACCTTATTTTCGCACTTTACTGTTTATTCACCGTCCTTCTGCCATGCTGCTCGAGCCAGTTATCCCGCGCTTGACTTGAGTGCTTCGCGCTCCGCCAACTGCGCTTTGTCCCATTTCCGTCACCAGATTGCACCACCGCCATATCCTAACTGCATTTTTTAAAACTCTGTCGCCTAGTATACTTAGCATGCCGTACTAGTTCTAAGACCCTCTGACTAAGTCCATATCGAATAGATTAAAACTTAGTGCCCTTCTTTCTAAGCTCACCCGCCATGCACCGTAAGCCGGTTCTCCTCTCGCCCGCCAAGGAATGGCGCGACCCAATATTCGCCGCGCCTTCACCGTCTCGTAAGGATACCGGACCGCTCACTACCCCGCGGCACCGAGAGCCGCCGCTCTCCCCATTCCGCTCGCCATTGATGGGCTCCGCCAACCCTGCAATCCCCGCGGGGTCTCCTCTCGGGTCGCGCTCCCGCCGCGCCTTGGCCTCTCCGGTGCGGGACGTGCGCCAGGCGGACCGCGGGGACCACGGCGGCGGCGGGGGAAACAGCAAGCGGTTGGCGCAGCTCTGCATTCTCCGCACAGCGCAAGCGCAACTAAACTCCGCGCACTTCCTGCGCCCCGCGTCTTCCGCGCAGCCGTCCCCCATCTTCTCCGCCGAGTCCCCCAGCTCTCTGCTGTGTCAGGCGGGGAGCGCGCTATCGTCTTCCGCGCAGGCGCGCGCGTCGTTTGAGTCGGTCCAGGCGCCGTGCAGCGCGCCGAGCGGTCCCATGTCCGCGCGGGAGGGCGCAGCGGACATGTTCGACCCTTTTCTCCTCCCCGCGCCCGCCTTTCCGCTCCGCGACCAGCCCTCCTCCCCTCCGCCCCTGCCGGTGGCGCAACCCCCGCAAGCGCCGTCGGCGGACGACACGGGAGCAGCTTCCACGGACCGCGGAGACAGATGTGAGATGGCGGAGCCTCCCCAGCATGCTGATGACGATGCCACGGCAGCTGCTATGGCGGCGGGAATTGCGGAGAAGAATATGACAATGGTGAGGGATGAACGGAATGGGGAGAATTTGGGAGGGCAGGAGGGGAACGGGGTCGGGGGTATTCGGATGGGGGTCGAAAATGGCGCGCAGATGGGCGTAATGCGGGCGGGGAAGGCGTATTTGGCGGAGCCTTTGACAGCGCGCGCGGGCGCCGTGTGTGCAGATCGCGAGAACGTGGGGCGCATTGACAGCCGGGGGAACTTGGGGGGGAAGCGGGGGGACCATCTGGGCGCGTGCAGCCGTGACGCGCAGAACGCGTCAGTGCGAAGCACGCTCATGGAGCTGGCAGCCAATAAGAAGCTGCCACATGGCCCGCGCAAGGGCGACCCGATGTACGAGTGCAAGCGCTGCCCCTTGGCTTCCCCCGCCCGCTCCCCCCTGTCCCACTCCGCCGCGCTGACTCCCCCCGTGCACCTCCCCTCCCGCCTGCACATCCCTGCTGCGCTTACTGGTCTCACTCGCGGGGGGAATGGGGGGGTGGGCATGGGGAGGCTGGGGCTGGTTGCGCCGGTTAGCTGTGGGAGCAGCCCTAGAGGAGACTCTTCCTCTCTGTGGAGCCAGCAGCAGCAGCAGCAGTACGGGCAGCAACAGCAGCAGCAGCAGCAGCAGCAGCAGCAGCAGCAGCAGCAGCAGCAGCAGCAGCAGCAGCAGCAGCAGCAGCAGCAGCATCAACTGTTGGTGCAGCAAGTGAAGCAGCTACAGCAGCGGCACCTGAGTGAGTCGCAGTGCAAAGAAGATATTCATAGCTTTGGTGTGAGTCATCATTCGCTGCAGCCCAGTCATGCCAGCTCAGCAGCCACGTGTCCCAGTGGTTCCGTTGCTCCACTTGAAGCACAGTTGGTGTCAGCCTCGGCTCGCAGGCTCGGCCGGAGAACCAATGGAAGTACACACGCCGTACCTGTTGGATTGGTTGGAATGGGCGCAATGGCTGGAATGGGTGGAACTGGAGGAATGGGAGGAATGGGAGGAGTGGTTGTTCCTGCTTCGTCGAGAGAAGGTAGATGTGTGGCCTCTCCTAACCGCTCTGCAAGGCGTGCCATTTTGTTCGGAGGAAATTGAAGCAGCTGGCTTCAACCCAAGGCAGGACCTTGAATGAGACCTCGCTTACGTTTTTCAGCAGCTATGTGAAACACGTGCAAACGTCCTAGTGTGGTAGGGCTTTAATAACACCTAGAAAGTTTGACTAGTTTTCAATGTACAAAAGTTCTGAAAGCTATGTGAGTCTGAATTTGACTTGCATGTAGCGAAATGAATACAAAAGCCTTCACTATCGGATTTGTTCTGGCACCAGCCTCGAACTCCTCGGGAATACCTCATGTGATTTCTCGTGTGATCCCACCTCCCGCTCTTTCACCTCGTTCATTTCTTCCTCACGACACCGTCTCCCTTTTTTCCCAGCGCGTATGACGCTCGCTTCTGTTGCACGGCTCTAGCTACGATGCCAGCCGCTTGCGCTTCGACCCTGAGCCGTCCCGCTAACAACCCTAAACTCGATACCGCTGTTCCGCCTATTACTTCGGGTCAACGCTCAGCCATGCTGTCTCTCTCCCGTTCCGCGCGGCGCGTTCTGCGGGCCAGCGGAGCCAACGTCGGCACCGCACTGCTTTTAACGAGAAGCACTATACAGCGTGTAGCCCCGGCCGCGTCGTACTCGTCAAATCAATTCGGCGAGAGAAAGGGATCGTACCGGCTGCAATCGCAGGGCTACAAGGCGGGAAATCAGCAACGGTCATATGAGAAGCAGTCGTACGGAGGACAAGAGTACCCGCAGTCGAGTCAGTATAAGCGGTCCGATCAGCAACCGCCGTCGCCGAGTCAGTTTTCCCAGTTCGACCAGCAGCCGTATCAGTCTAGATCGCCGGGTTCCTATCAACGACAAGGCGAGCAGCAGCAACCGCCGCAACAGCCGCTGCCTCCGCCGGCGGCGCAGCAGCAGCAGCAGTACGGGCAGGAGGAGCCGAGCGATGAGATCAAGACCATTGAATGGCAATCCGATCTGTCGAATTCCGTGAATCTGATTGGTCAGTGAATCTGTTCTGTAGATGCATCCTATCCGTGCGCCTGTATGTGCCGCTCCTGTTTCACATGCACCCATGCATGCCGTCTATGACCCATGCACAATCCATTCATGCCTTATCCAGATCCCATCCATGACCCATCCATGATCGATCCATACCATGCATATCCCATCCACGGCCCATGCAGGGAACTTGGCAGCGGACCCAGAGTATCGGTTTCTCGACAGTGGCAAGTCCGTGGCGAGTGTGAAGCTGGCCGTGGGGTGGAAGAGGAGAATTCATGACACATGCATGCCACCCTTGCCCCATCCTCGCCCCATGCAGGCAACTTAGCAGCGGTTTCTCGACAGTGGCAAGTCCGTGGCGAGTGTGAAGCTGGCCGTGGGGTGGAAGAGGAGAATTCATGACACATGCATGCCAGCCTTGCCCCATCCTCGCCCCATGCAGGCAACTTGGCAGCGGACCCAGAGTACCGGTTTCTCGACAGTGGGAAGTCCGTGGCGAGTGTGAAGCTGGCCGTGGGGTGGAAGAGGAGAATTCATGACACATGCATGCCAGCCTTGCCCCATCCTCGCCCCATGCAGGCAACTTGGCAGCGGACCCAGAGTACCGGTTTCTCGACAGTGGGAAGTCCGTGGCGAGTGTGAAGCTGGCCGTGGGGTGGAAGAAGGGCAACGGGGAGAAGCACACTGACTGGTGAGGACTGACTCGGCTGAAAAGATAACGGCAGGTTGGTGGTAAATGCATGACTGGCGGTGCGGTGCGGTGCGGTGGGGTGGGGTGGAAGAAGGCCAACGGGGAGAAGCACACTGACTGGTGAGGAGGAGGACCATGGACCTAATTCTGGACCGACTACAACACGTCTCAAAACTCGGCTTGTAGTGCTCAACACGTAGGCTTGTAGTGCTCAACACGTAGGCTTGTAGTGCTCAACACGTAGGCTTGTAGTGCTCAACACGTAGGCTTGTCCGTGCGTGCGTGTGTGCACAATTGTGTGCGTGAATGCATGCATTCGTGTGTGCATGTGCGTGTGTATCCGCGCCTGCATGTGTGTATCCGCGCTTGCATGTGTGTATCCGCGCCTGCACGTGTGCCCACACAGGTACACAATACAGATGTGGAACGACGTGGCTACGCTTGCACAGAACCTCAAGAAGGGTGCGCGCGTGTATGTGAAGGGGCGGCTGCACATGGAGGAATACACAGACAGCAGGGGGGCGACGAGGCTGGATCCCAAGGTCAGCATGCAGGCGGGTAAAGGGGTGTGTGTGAGGGTGGGTTCGTGTGTGTGGGGGTGGGTTCGTGTGTGTGCACGTGTGTATGTGAAGGGGCGATTGCACATGGAGGAATACACAGACAACAGGGGGGCAACGAGGCTGGATCCCAAGGTCAGCATGCAGGCGGGTAAAGGGGTGTGTGTGGGGGTGGGTTCGTGTGTGTGGGGGTGGGTTCGTGTGTGTGCACGTGTGTATGTGAAGGGGCGATTGCACATGGAGGAATACACAGACAACAGGGGGGCAACGAGGCTGGATCCCAAGGTGTGGCTCGTGCATGTTTTTATTGGTTGTCTGGGTGTTTGGCTTCTGAGTCGACTCAAAAGTCAACTCGGATCCCAAGGTGTGGCTCGTGCATGTTTTTATTGGGTGTCTGGGTGTTTGGTACGTGTGTGGGTGTGTGCGTGGGCGGGCTTACATGCATGGGGGTATGTGATGCTTATCTTGAGCCGGTGACAAGATAGCTCTGTCCTTCTGTCCTTCCTTGCTTACATGCAAAGGAAATAGCGCTTGTAGCGAGCAAGTTTGGCGGCAGCAACAATGCTTTTTGAGGCGGTTAAGAACTTTCTCCCTGAACTTTTTCCTTCCTTCTGCCTCCTCGCCCCCACAGGTGGATGCGAAGCAGACAGCCCTCGTGGCCAGTAAATTCGGCAGCAGCAGCCTCCTTCTGAGGCGGTTAAGCAGTATCTTTCCCTTCCCTCCTTTTTTTTTCCTTTTGTCTTCTCTCCCCCACAGGTGGGTGTGAAGCAGATAGCCCTCGTGGCTAGCAAATTCAGCGGCAGCGACAACGACCAGGGCAGGAACAATCAAGCCTTGTCCTTCCGTTTACCTACTCTCCCCCACAGGTGGATGTGAAGCAGATAGCCCTCGTAGCCATGAAGTTCAGCAGCAGCGACAACAACCAGGGCAGCAACAATCAAGCCTTGTCCTTCCGTTTATCTACTCTCCCTCGCAGGTGGATGTGAAGCAGATAGCCCTCGTAGCCAGCAAATTCGGCAGCAGCAACAACAACCAGGGCAGCAGCAGCAGCAGCAGCAGCAGGGGGCGTGAAAGCAGTCCTGGGGGCAGTTACAACCAGGGGGGTTACAATCAGGGGAGTTACAACCAGGGGGGTTACAACCAGGGGGGTTACAGCCAGGGGGCGTACACCCCGCAAGAGACCACCTATCCTGCACAGAACAGCTACAGCAGCAATCAGGGGAATTACGGTAACCAGAGCTTTGGTAACCAGGCGGGGAGCGGCGGGCAGGGGGGAGCGATGGATGCACCGGTGGTGGTTACAGATGACAAGGGGCTGCCTCGGATTCCACGATTTGATGGCAAACTGAATGGTGCGCTTTAGGGGGGAGGGAGGGAAGGGAGTGGTTTGAGTGGTGAGCTGGGGAAGAAGATAGGTGAGGGGGAGTTGGAATGGAGCGGCGGGCAGGGGGGAGCGATGGGTGCACCGGTGGTGGTTACAGATGACAAGGGGCTGCCTCGGATTCCACGATTTGATGGCAAACTGAATGGTGCGCTTTAGGGGGGAGGGAGGGAAGGGAGTGGTTTGAGTGGTGAGCTGGGGAAGAAGATAGGTGAGGGGGAGTTGGAATGGAGCGGCGGGCAGGGGGGAGCGATGGGTGCACCGGTGGTGGTTACAGATGACAAGGGGCTGCCTCGGATTCCACGATTCGATGGCAAATTGAATGGTGCGTTTAAAGCCAGGATCTCAAGTAAGAGAATTGGCCTTCAATTGCAAAACACTTGCAGCGCTTGTTACCCTATTTTTGTAGGCGAATTGACTGGCTGGTTAGGAAAGTGAGCGTGCGGCACACCCACGATTTTGCCCCTAGAGCAAATGCAAAACATTTTGCTGGTACATGAGATTGTTGTGTGTGACGAGAAATTGCAGGCATTGGAGCTTCGTCACCGAACCAGTTTCCGAGCCTTGCTTGGTTCGGACTGAACTTGCGATTTGTCTTTACTTCGCACCCCTCGCTTCACACCTCGTCAGATTGTTCACCTCGCTAACCAATCGCAGCCCAGCTCCCCTCACCAACTGCAAAACAATTGAACTACTTGAGATCCTGGCTTTAAGAAGGGGGTGGGTTGGTGCAATGGGAATGGAAGGGGGAAAGGGGTGTTATACGGTGTGTTGGGGAGGGAGAATGTGGAGGGTTGAGTGGTGAGCAAGAGAAGATGAGGGGAAGGGGGGGTTGGAATGGGGAGCTGAGCTGGTGAGAGAGGGGGGGCGATGGGTGGATCGGAGGCGCTTTCAGATGGGTGGATCAGAAGGCATGCCTTGGATTCCTCGATTCGATGGCCAACTGAAAGGTGCGCTGGGGAGAGTGGGTGGAAAATGGGGGGGTGGGGGGGTGGTGAGTTAGGAGGGGGAGAGGATGCTCGGTATTGCTAGACGCAGTAGCGCACCGATTGGTACAGCAAGCGTACCTATGTTAGGAGGAGGATCTCCTTTCCTCACCGCATTTCCTTTCCTCACCGCATTTCCTTTCCTCACCGCATTTCCTTTCCTCACCGCATTTCCTTTCCTCACCGCATCTCCTTTCCTCACCGCATCTCCTTTCCTCACCGCATTTCCTTTCCTCACCGCATTTCCTTTCCTCACCGCATTTCCTTTCCTCACCGCATTTCCTTTCCTCACCGCATTTCCTTTCCTCACCGCATTTCCTTTCCTCACCGCATCTCCTTTCCTCACCGCATTTCCTTTCCTCACCGCATTTCCTTTCCTCACCGCATCTCCTTTCCTCACCGCATTTCCTTTCCTCACCGCATTTCCTTTCCTCACCGCATTTCCTTTCCTCACCGCATCTCCTTTCCTCACCGCATCTCCTTTCCTCACCGCATCTCCTTTCCTCACCGCATCTCCTCTCTTCACCGCATCTCCTTGCTGTAGCGCACACTTTACTTCCTTTCCTCTCCCGACCAATCATCTTCACAGCCCACCCCCTCGCCCTGTCCCCCTATCGCTCGTCCTGGCAGCGGAGCAAGTGGAGGCACGGGGACCTTAATGGCATTGTGGCGGGAGTTCTTTGACGATTCCGTGCATTCTGACTTTGGAGACCTCAAAAGTGATTTCGACCCCGTGCTCTTCTTTTGAGTTTGGAGACGTCTCAAAAACTCCATCCCCGTTGTCCACTCTGTCCCCCGTCACTCGCTCCCCCATCCCCTCCCCGCTCTGTCCCCCATCGCTCGCCCTGGCAGCCGGGCAGGTGGAGGCATTGTGGCGTGACTTCTTTGACGATCCAGTGCAATTCTTTGACTACCGGGAGATGAAGGTACGGCATGTCATGCATGGGTTTAAGGTACGGTAGGCTAAGAATGAGTTTTAAGTACACAGTGTGTGGGCGTGGCTAGATGGGTGTACGGTACGGCATGCTTGATGCATGGTTCCACGGTATAGGATGCATGACGCGTGGGTACAAGGTATGTGTGATGCATGGGTGCAAGGTATGGCATGTGTGATGCATGGGTGCAAGGTATGGCATGTGTGACGCGTGGGTGCAAGGTATGGCATGTGTGACGCGTGGGTGCAAGGTATGGCATGTGTGACGCGTGGGTGCAAGGTATGGCATGTGTGACGCGTGGGTGCAAGGTATGGCATGTGTGACGCGTGGGTGCAAGGTATGGCATGTGTGATACGTGGGTGCAAGGTATGGCATGTGTGATGCGTGGGTGCAAGGTATGGCATGTGTGACGCGTGGGTGCAAGGTATGGCATGTGTGACGCGTGGGTGCAAGGTATGGCATGTGTGATGCGTGGGTGCAAGGTATGGCATGTGTGATGCGTGGGTGCAAGGTATGGCATGTGTGATGCGTGGGTGGGTGAAAGCCCTCTTTCCTTCTCTCTTCCGTTGCAGCAACACGGGGAAGTGCCCCCCAAGTACCCGGATTTCAAGAAGCTAGCCACGGGCGAGCCGCTGTGGGTGGAAAGTCGCGGCACCCCCCCCTGGGTGCACAACGCACAGCGAGTGGCTTATGAACCCTCTTCCCTTCCCCTATCCTCCTTCTCTCCCATCGCAGCAACACGGGGAAGTGCCACCCAAGTATCCGGACTTCAAGAAGCTAGCCACGGGCGAGCCGCTGTGGGTGGAGAGCCGCGGAACCCCCCCCTGGGTTCACGACTCCTTGCAGAAATACGATGATGCCTTTGCTGCAGCCCTGGCAGGCATGCCGCTTGAGGGGCAGGGGTCCGAGGAGGGTGCTGCTGGTGGGGAGCAGTTTCAAGAGGAGTTTGGGGGAGGCGCGATGGACGCTCGTGGGTTTTGATAAAAAGATAGGGATTCTTCTCACTCTCCCACTCTCCCTTGTAGGTTGGAAGCAGTCGGGGGGAGGGGTGTTGGACGTTCGTGGATTTTGAGAAGTAGGGTCAGAATATCTTTTACGGTAGTTGGTTCACATGATCACAGCACAGAAAACGGCCTTGCAGCACTAGGATGCTGCCTTTGCCGCAGCGTCCACTGGGAGGGGCAGTCGGTGGGTGGCAGGTCTTGAGACGTCTCAAAACTACACCGCTAGGATGCTGCCTTTTTTTAGGCGCCTCAAGGATGCTGCCTTTGCCGCAGCGTCCACTGGGAGGGGCAGTCGGTGGGTGGAAGGTCGGGTGAAAAAAAGGGGGAGGTGGGGGCGGAGGGAGGGAGGTGCCCGGGGCAGGGATGCACGTGGGTGCTAATAATGAGGGACACATGTGTGTGGGTGATGCACATGGCCTTGCATCACCATTATTCACGAGGCTTCTCAATTCATGTTACATGTGGACGTTTAGTGCCCCCCTGGTGCTAGCGAGCTTGTGTAGTGGATAGTAATCACAGCACATTCACATCCGCGTGGGAATTGTTTTGAAGGCAGCAGGTACAGTACACGAGAGCGAGCACCGCATATTGAAGCCCAGTGTACCAGTATATGACATACTCCAGCTTGTGAGCGCTGTACTGTCAAAGCATATGCTTGTTATACATGTGTAGGTTGTAGTGGGGTAGCCAATATGGGGTACAGCCCCTTCTAGGGTTTCATACTTGTACCCAACTCTGTGATAGTTCATTCATTCTTGCTGCTAGATTCTGACATGGTTTCAGAGCACCAGGTCCCTAGGACCGTTTTTTTCGGGCCCACCTACCGTTGCGGTTACCGCGTTACCCCACGTGTTGGCCTGCCTGCCTGCCTTGCCTTGTGACGTGCTGCGCTGCGCGCGCCGTCCTGCAGCCCTCGTACTGCCTATTGCTGCCCTAGGCCAGAGCGCCGCCCCTACAGGCCCGTAAGGCCCACGCGCCGCGCCTGCAGACACGTCACGCCTGCGAGCCGCCCCTGCAGGCCCGTCAGGCCAGGGCGCCGCCCCGCCAGGACGCTGCCCCGCGCGTCGCGCCCACATCCCGCGCGTCGCGCTGCAGCCGCGCGCGTCGCGTTCGCTGCCCGCGCGTCGCGCTGCAGCCCCGCGCGCCGCGGCTGCCGTCCTCGCGCAGCCCGCGGCGGCTTCGCGCGTCGCGCTGCAGCCCCGCGCGCCGCGGCTGCCGTCCTCGCGCAGCACGCGGCGGCTTCGCGCGCCGCGTCCGCGGCTCGCGTAGCGCGCTGCAGCCCCGCGCGCCGCGGCTGCCCCTGGCCGCCGCCGTCGCTCCTGCAGCAGCTGCCGCGGAGCGCCCTGCCACAGTAGCGGCCCCGCCCTGCAGCAGCTGCCGTGGAGCCTCCTGCCGCCGTCGCGGCCCTGCCCTGCAGCAGCTGCCGCGGAGCCTTCTACCGCCGTCACGTCCCCGCCCTGCAGCAGCTGTCGCGGACCTGCCCTACCTCCGATGCGGTGCTGCTCTGCCGCAGCGGTCGCGGCCCCGCCGTCGCCGCTGTCGTGCACCTGCCCTTCCCGCCACTGGTGAGCACCTGCCTACTTGCCTGCCTGCCTGCCTGCCTGCCTGCTTGCCACGCCTGCCTGCCTGCCTGCCTGCCGCGCCTGCCCTGCCCGCGCTACTACTACCGCTAGGCTGCTGCTGCTGCTGCTGCTGCTACTCCTACTACTGCTACTACTGGCGGTGGCCAGATGCAGCTCCAGCGACGTTCACGCGAGTCTCTCACGCCCCAGCAGCTTCGTGAGTGGTACGCTAGTTGGGGTTGTGGCGGTAGCCGTCGTGGCGGTCGCCCTGGAGCTGGTCGGTCGGGAGCGTCTAGCAGTGGCCAGCTGCAGCTGCAGCGGCGTCCGAGCGAGACACTTACGTCCCGGCAGCTTCACGAGTGGTACGCTCAGAGTCGAGGGTCTCGGAGTACCGTTCGCTGCCCGTACGTCCTTCGCACAGGTGATCGGGCTGGTCAGGCTTGCGGGACACTTGGTCACACCCAGTCCCGCTGCTTCGCCCGTCTGAGCGACGCCTGGCGTACCGAGTTTGGCGACGAGGCTGAGCTCCCCACCTGGCTGGAGCTGCTTGGGCAGTGGGTAGATATCTTTGCTCTTGACTATGATGCTATTCTCACTGCTATGTATGCATTGCCTACTAGTGATGACCGTGCCTGTTCCCTGTGCGTACCGCCTGACCCAGGTATAGAGCCTGCTGCCCTAGGTGCTGGTGAGGCTGCTGCTCTAGGTGCTAGTGCGTCTCCTGCACTAGGTGATGGTGCGGCTTCTGCTCTAGATGCTGGTGCGTCTCATGCGCTAGGTGCTGGGGAGGCTGCTGCTCCAGGTACTGGTGAGTCTGCTCTCTCTGGTACTGCGCCTCCTGAGGCCTTGTACACCTTCACACTTGACTCAGGTGCTTCCCGCTCCTTCTTTCGCGACAGCACCACCCTCACACCGCTTAGTCGGCCGGTTGCAGTCTCCCTGGCGGACCCCTCTGGGGGTCCAGTCCTTGCGCACTCCTCCACGGTCCTGCCGTGTCCGGCGGTCCCGTCTGGCTCCCTGTCAGGTCTTCACCTCCCCTCGTTCTCTACGAACTTGGTGAGTGGAGCTGACCTACAGGATGTGTGGGTTGACCAGTTCACCTCTGGAGGTCAGCGTGTGACCCACTGTACGTGCTCCCGGACTGGTCGGCACCTGGCCACGTTCACCCGAGAGCCTGGCTCGAGTCTGTACACACTGACCACTGTGTCCCCTCAGGTAGCTGCGTCTGCGTCTGCGTTTGCGTCAGGTCAGCTAGCGGCCCCCTGCTCGTGTCGCGCTCTGTCGCACCAGACCCTCCTTTGGCACCACCGCCTTGGTCACCCCTCGGTGCAGCGCCTTCGTAGCATGCACAGCCGTTTCCTTGTCTCTGGACTTCCAGAGACTCTGCCTCCTCTACCACCCTCGCCTGCTCCTCCCTGTCTTCCCTGTGTCGAGGGGCGGCAGCGCGCCGCTCCTCACTCCTCCTCGTTCCCTCCCAGAGAGGCTCCCCTGCAGACTCTCCACCTGGACGTGTGGGGCCCAGCCCGCGTCCGTGGACAGGGCCACGAGCGGTACTTCCTGCTGGTCGTCGACGACTACACGCGTTACACCACGGTCTTCCCCTTGCGCAGCAAGGGGGAGGTCCCTGATGTTTTGATCCCCTGGATCCGCGCTACTCGTCTCCAGCTCCGTGAGCGGTTCCAGTCGGACTTTCCTGTCCTGTGTCTGCACTCTGACAGAGGTGGTGAGTTCTCCTTAGACCTCTTGGCAGCCTACTATGCGGAGCACGGCATCCGCCAGTCGTTCACGTTTCCGGCCTCTCCGCAGCAGAATGGGGTTGCTGAGCGCCGCATTGGCTTAGTCATGGAGGTCGCTCGTACCTCCATGATCCATGCGGCTGCCCCCCATTTTCTGTGGCCGTTTGCGGTCCGGTACGCCGCGCATCAGCTCAACCTCTGGCCCCGTGTCTCCTTGCCGGAGACCTCGCCCACACTGCTGTGGACGGGGAAGGTTGGCGATGCGTCGCGTTTCCGGGTCTGGGGTGCTCGTGCCTTTGTCCGCAATACCACTGCGGACAAGCTCTCCGCCCGCGCTGTTCCCTGTGTCTTCCTTGGCTTTGTCCCTGACGCGCCTGGTTGGCAGTTTTACCACCCCACCTCGCGCCGTGTCTTCCCCTCTCAGGACGTCACGTTCGACGAGTCGGTTCCCTTTTACCGTCTCTTCCCCTACCGCACTGCCCCTCTCCCCCCCCCCCCGCCGCTCTTCCTCGCTCCAGGTGCTCCCCAGGTAGACCCCCTCCCCGCTCCTGGTCCTGCTCCTTCAGGTGTGTCTCAGGTAGACCCTCCTCCCTTGACTGAGCCGGTTGAGGTCACTGTTGACTCAGGTCCTGCTGAGGGTGGTCCTGCTCGGGGTGCTGCTTCTGGGGGTGCTGAGCCTGGGGGTGCGGAGCCTGGGGGTGCTGAGCCTGGGGGTGCGGAGCCTGGAGGTGCGGAGCCTGGGGGTGCGGAGACTGGAGGTGCTGAGCTTGGGTGTGAGGAGTCTGGGGGTGCTGAGCCTGGGGGCGCTGAGACATCAGGTGAGCAGTCTCCCTGGGGCGACCGTCTCCGTAGTCGCTCCGCTGGTGCCTCGCCGCTGCACTCTCGTCGTCGACTCCCTCTCTCCCCACAGCAGCTGCTTGAGTGGTACGCTGGCCGTCAGGGTCGCGCTGCTGGAGCTAGGGGCCCTGCTGCGGGAGGCGCGGGAGCTGGTGACTCTGCCACTGGAGTTGTTTCTGCTGGAGGTTCTGGAGCTGCTGAGGGTGCTGGCGCTGGAGGTTCTGGAGCTGCTGGAGGTACTGGCGCTGGTTGCGCTGGCGCTGGAGGTTCTGGAGCTGCTGAGGGTGCTGGCGCTGGAGGTTCTGGAGCTGCTGCGGGTTCTGGCGCTGAGGGTTCTGAGTCTGCTGTTGCCGCCTTCGTCCGCGTGTGTCTCTCACCTCGCAGCAGCTGTACGACTGGTACGGTCGCCGTCAGGGTCGCGCTTCTGGAGCTCGGGGCTCTGCCGCTTGAGGTACTTCTGCTGTCGTCACTGGAGCTGGGAGTGGTGCTGGTCTCGGAGGTGCTCGTACTGGAGGTACTGGAGCTGCTGGAGCTGGAGGTGCTGAGTCTGAGGGTGCTGCTGCTGGAGGCACTGAGGCTGGAGACCCTGGGACTGGAGGTGCCGGTTCTGGGGGTGCTGCTGTTGGTGGAGCTGGTTCTGGAGGAGCTGGCGCTGAGGGTTCTGGAGCTGCTGGAGGTGCTGGCGCAGGTGGCCCTGGAGCTGGAGGTTCTGGAGCTGCTGAGGGTGCGGGCGCTGGAGGTTCTGTAGCTGCTGGAGGTACTGGCACTGGTGGCGCTGGAGCTGGAGGTTCTGGAGCTGCTGAGGGTGCTGGCACTGGAGGTTCTGGAGCTGCTGGAGGTGC